GTTTCAGTTAATTATGGCTATTTTAATAAGCTTGTTATATACTATTATTTTGATATCTAGTACATAGAACTGTATTTCTTAGCATAGAATAAGTTCTATTGAATAAAGGAGTTTATTTTTTACTATCATGTTATTTATCTGGCATTGTTAACTATTTACTGTATTTTAAATTCATCAAGGAATAACTTTTTAAAAAGTTGGTATTACACAAAGTTTAAAATCATGAATAGTACTTTTAGTATTTCACTTCGTACTTATCATTTGAAAACAGTTAGTTTAGATAAGTTGAAAAAGTTCCATACGAATTGTACATTCATATTGAAGAAGTATGTAAAGTTTAAAGTAATCAGTGAATGTTTCAATAAAACAAACTACGGTAAAACAAATTATTTTTAAGGTAATTCAAAACAATAACTCACTAAAATTGGTAAGTATATAAAAAGGCAGATAATATTATGTACAAAACTATCTCGATAGAATTTTGTTTTCTGAACTAGATGGTTTATTCATGGAATTTTCATCGTTCTATTATCAAGCTGTACAATCGTATATGTATGAAAATTTTCTTTATTTTGTTAGTTCCGTTAGGAAATGTGAACACAAATAACCAAGATGATGTAATAGATACTAGATTACGTAGTACGAACGATAACAATAGATTTAGATTTAGTAAGTTAAGAACGCATGCGGGCACACGTCCCAGTTTGGTTCTACAAAGCTGAAAGGAAAGCTATAAACATTCTACGGATCCACAGTTTGATTTTTAGGTTGTATATATGATTCGTTCAAATCTATCTAGATTTATTCGTATACACCTCCTAAAAGTAGCCGAAGCTCTTACCACCAAAACAACGCGTACAAAAGAAGTACGTCTTATCGTTATCATTAACATGGCCTTAATTATTATTATTATTGCATCCTCTACTTTGCTTATGTCTTCTATTCTCAATGTTATTATCATATCATCTTATTTATTTTTACACCTCTATGACCTTTAATTATTGTAACAAAAACATTTTATCGTCTTATTACACTCACTAAATCTATTATTACTATTATTATTCGCATTACGTAATCTAGTATTATAATCTTTCTATTATATTATCTTGGTTATTCGTGTTCACATTTCCTCATGGAACTAGTAACTTAATAAGAAAAAGTTCATATATATACGATTGTACACCTTGATAATAAATTCGTTCAAAAGAGATATGTTCGCTGAACTTTGTGCAATTTAATTTTTAATGTTTAAAAGGGAATTATCTAACAAAAACTTTTATTCCCACACTATTTATTTATTCTCTATAAATAAAAAAGTGGGGTTCAACCAAGTCTGTTGTGAGATAGTAATTCACAGATGACAATGATGGATGTGTCATTCAATTTCGTGGATTAGATGAAGTTAGACATTAACACCGTTGGACGCTGGCAGACTCAGTGGTCTAGTGGTTAAGAGCTCGTGCGCGAGACTGATAGATCATGAGTACGAATTTCGCGGGGGGGATCGTGGATGAGCACTGTTGAGAAGTCCCACAATAAGATAAAACGGCCGTTTTATCTTATTGTGGAACCGTCCAGTGCTTTCAGGTTCTCCATGGTGGTCTAGCTTCAATTGACTCATGCTCTCAACCATTGAAAAAAAAATAATTCATGTTCACGTACAAGTCAATATTCAAAAAAATACAAAGAAAACATACAATGAAATGAATTTATTAAGACCTTGTTGTCATGACATTTACTTAACCTTGAAAATTATATGATTGATAATTTGTTAGTGTTTCTTTTCGTTTCTTCTTTTTTTTTAAATTTTTCGTCTTTACTACATTGTAACATTTTCTTTCGACATTTTCATCTATCATTCATATTTGAAAAAATAAAAAAAACTTTTTTCATTCCCTTTTTGTAGAGAATAAAAACAATTCGATTTATGTTTATAGATTATTAGATAATTAAGTAGAATGTATTCAGATTATGTAATAGTCAACTAAAGCAAATTCTTCAATTGTAAAAAGTTACATTTATTCATGTAAGAAAATGAAAAGATTGATTTGGTTATTGTATATAGTAGTGTATAGTAGACTATTTGATATCATGCTGATAATGTGTAAATTAAGGTCAGTTTTGTATTTTTAAAAACGAATGTTCTTTTCAATACTTTTCGTTTGTATACTTATGTCTTAATATGATGAGAATTTTTTGATTGAGGTCATGAATCGATTGATGTTAGACCACGGCGGGAAACCTGCAAGCGCTGGTTGGCCGTTTCGTTCTATTGCTGGACTCCTTAGCAGTGCACATTCACGACCTCGCCCCCACGAGATTCGAGTCCCACAATAGAACGAAACGGCCGTCCAGTGCTTCCAGGTTTACCATGGTGGTCTAGTTTCAACTGACTCATGATCCTAACCATTGAAAAGGATATTTGTGTAATATATAACCAGTTATTAAGGTAGTGATTTCATGGTAGTCGAGCTTCAACTGACTCATGATTTTAACCATTGAAATTACTATAATATCCACAAAACCCATCTGATATAAATCTATAGTTCTCAATAATTCTTCATATAACTTCAATTCTAGAAAAATTTGAACAAACATTCACAAAACCTGTTCGTAATCGAATTCATGAAGGATGATGTGATCAGCTTTAATAGAATAATCGATTGATGATAATGAATTGAATTTGGAATCTGTTCTAATTTGACTGAAATTTCAATTATAGCCTTTAATTCAATGAGAATTAGGAAATTAAGTTATCGAATAGTTCATTGGAAATTACTTGTCTATTTATAGGTTTAGTTTTAATGCTTGGATTACAGTTACTTATAATAGTTGTTTTGAATTACTTAACTTCTTTGTTTAGTATCAGAATGAGATATTTTTATTGATGAATTAAGTTTTCAAACTGAAGTTTTGTATTTAGTTGATTGACAATTACTGACATTTTAAAGAAAATAAAGCCTAAAGATGTAGTGTCGGTTATTATGTTAAATCTATACACCTTATTCTAGCTTTCTAACAGTTCAATCTATTCATTCTACTTGAGTCACATTTTGACCTTGGTAATTATTCGCTTATTACTCATGACTTTTTATATGAGCTTATGTTTGTGTGTACATATTATCCTACTCACCACATGTCTGTAGCTTATTTTTGTGTGACTATAAATATTGATCAACGCCTGACTGAATGGAGTTGGCTTACACGCATTCTCCCGCTGTGCGTCATTTCGCTTCGCTCTCTTCCCTATGTTTCATTCTCTGATTGGCAGTAAAAAGATTTGAATTATAATCAGAAACTTGTTGTGATTTATAAAATAGGTTTGGTTATAAAATACGAATGCATTTTGTTGATCGCAATCCAACAAAAATGTTATTTTTCCTCTCTTGACCTTCTAGGATCAATAAACTTATTCTATTCTAGTTTTTTGTTGCAGCATATTTATTAAATTTCACGTATAAGAATTAAAATTGCACATTCTTACTACTTAAATTAATCATAAAGTCAAAAAGTTTCTATTGTTGAAAGAAACACTTGTAAATGGCTTTTGATTCTAATATTTATTCATATATATATATATATATATATATATATATATATATATATCGAGGGGACTTCGGTGGTTACATTTACGTTTAAACTCCAACTAACATTATCAAGATGATGGCTAAAATACTCCAGCTAGATACTTTCAAAATGTGTTATAACAAATGAGCTACTAAAACAACTAAAAAGTAGTATATATTTGTTTGCGAAAGTTTTGTAACACTTGAAACTTGTTTTGAATAAAACATGGGTAGGAAGAACGAAAAACATAACACGCTTCCATAACATAAAGAAGTTAATTATTAGTGAAAGTTGATTTCACAAAAACTCTAGTATAAATAAAACCATACTATTCCATTTGGCTGTCAATAGAGTTTTAAGAACATGTACATCGTTTATCTATCTAATTGTCGGTTGAAGAGGTTAATTCAGAGGACTATGTACATGATTAAAATATTATAAAATGATCCTTGTCCAACTAATCACTGACAGCTTCAATTAACAATACAGTTTCCTCTACAGTTAGAATGTGATTTTCAGGAGCCTTGAAAATATCGACTGTTAAATAGATTTATTCAATATTACTTTCACCCATCATTAATTGTCAATACTATGAAATATAGTACAACTTAAACAGTTCTTGACAGCTTCTAATAAATGCATATATATATATATATATATATATATATATATATATATATATATGTTTGGCGTACTTCTTGTCATATCCTATACAGGTACAGGAGTAAATACTGGCTAGTAGAATTATCAAAGAATGTGAGTAATTAAAAATGGTTAACATTAACCAAGGCGTTCATCTATCAGAATACTTTATGCAGATTAATTAATGAATTTCATCTTTATGACTTATTCCTTCATGGTTATATTTTATTTTTTATCAATAATTTTCAAATAATGATAAATAGTTTTATCATAATTAAATCATCGCTCAATAGATAAACTATATTAGGTTGAAATTGCACTATAATGAAAAATAATACCCATTCATTATTCATCTTAATATTATTTTAGATTGATATTACGTAATATAACAAAGTATTAACAACAAGATTGTAAAACATATCTTATCTCATAGTCAGAGTAGTTAGTATAAAGATACATTCAAATATTTCAAGTTATTCTATAATAATCCAATAAAAATTATTTTAAACAGTTGAGATCATGAGTCAATTGAAGTTAGACCAGCATGGAAAACCTGATTTCGAATCCCGCAAGGCGGGGTCGTAGATTCGCACTGCTAAGGAGTCCCACAATAGAACGAAATGGCCACCCAGTGCTTCCAGGTTTTCCATGGTGGTCTAGCTTCAATTGACTCATGATCTCAACTGTTTAAATTACTACAATCTCTACAAAACCCCTTCTGAAAACTAATTTCTCAATAAATTATGTTTTTTTTTTCGTTTTTTTTTCTTTTTGTTTTAATCTCCATCTAGCCTGAACGTTGGTATGATTATACATTATTCTTTATACATTCGGATTATTTAATAAATCATATTACACAAATCATTTCAAATGATATTGAAATATCATTTAGTCTTTCTATTACAGATTCTATACAAAAATCAACAATTTTATTAAATGATCAAATGGATACAGCCATAACAACTAATCAATGTAATAATAATATTTCTTTAAGAAATTTTTTAGATTTTTTAAATATACCAAGAAAACGATTAAATGTATATAATGGATTATTAAAAGATATAACAAGATATATTGCCTATGATAAAACATTAATTAATAATCTTGAATTAGCCATGATTTATATAAGTAGAGTACAAAGATGTTCAGAGGAATTTATATATTTTTGGTCAAAAGTTAATATAAATTTTAATCAAATATTTAATATAGAAAAATTAGATGACAATAGATTATTATTATTATTATTTGGTGAATGTATACCACCGCCAATTATACGAATAGTAAGTTATATTGATTAAATGAATTAATGTATTTGAAGAAAATTAATGAAAATTTATTCAATTTTAATGAAGTGAACATTTACTTAAATATGTTAAGATTACAGGTATATCAAACTGATGAGTTACGAAATAGGATGCAACGCGCGTTCTTCATTCCACTGCTAGCCACTATCCATCTTCGCCTAGAATGCTTGTGAATCAACGCAATATCGAGGCAATACACACAGTATGTACATATGTCAATGAGACTGATCAACTGAGATCCTAAATAACAATGGGAAGATACAAGTAAAACAATACTAAGTGAATTTCAACTTCATCTCATTTCACAGGCAAGTGACTGTGAGGACTCAGTAGTAAGCGGATAACACGATGAAGTTTGGAGCGAACGGTACTGGATTTGAGTGCCACAATGAACATCAACTCTGGGTTGCAGGTACATCCAGTTAACGAGTCCCAAATAGCACGAAACGCGGGTACTCCATTCCACTGTTAATCAATATCCATATTTGCTTAGAATGTATTGGACAGTGTATGCAATTATAAATATAAGGGTTTGCATTCACGGAAAATAATATGTTTAACATACAATTCAAACAATATTATGTTTTTATCTCAAGCTACTCTAACCAGATTTAATGGTTTTTAACATAGTTGGTGAAGACAAATTTAATTAATGAATAATGGATTTTACTGATAATGTGGAAAGATTTGAAATATGTTTTTAAGGAGTAAATTTCATTCAAAGTGAAATGATCTCCATAAATACGTTGAAAAAAAAGGATTTTAGAGAGTTGAGTTTTATTTATCAGTATAGTAACAAGACTTGATTTTAATATGTGTGTAAGAATGTGCATTAAACAGATACAAATATAAGGGATTTATAATGACCGGATGTTGTTTATTTAGCTTATCATGAACTTCATCCACGTTCCAGACCTTAAAGGAGAATTTTTATATAGAACTTTAGAGTCTCCCATATAATAATCCGGAACTTACGGATTCATATTTTCCAAACTAAACTAATTCTTCTCATGCTAATACTAAAACTTGTGAGTTGTACAACTGATTCTAAAAGTAATCTTGAAAGTATACTATTAAGGTGTTTCAAACTAGAATCTTCGATGACCTCTAGTTTTTGATAGTTCTACAACTAAACTCATTTCATCATTAAACCATTCATATACTGTAGAACTTTCCCAAAATTACTCTACTGGAAATATCTTTCAACTACATGTTCTAATGTATTGTATAGTCATAATAATCTTACCAACTCTTAACTGTCTACATCTTTGCTTTCTCTCTTTCTTTCTTTGTTCCATATATTAACATTTTCTTTAAAAAAAGACGGATATTAAAATTGGTCAACATAAAAGTATTCAACTAGATCAAAACGAAATGAAAATGGAAAGATTAATTCTTCTACCTGATCATTTATTATCACTTAAAAAAGTCAATGAAAATAATTCAGTTTATTGTTGGAAAGTGAATAGAATAATCAATGTAAGTCCCGATATAAATTATATGACATCCTATATTTATTGATGCAATTCATAATGAATTCACAGTTGATTTCATGAGTCAATTGAAGCTGGACCAGCATGGAGAACCCGATAGCAGTGGATGGCAATTTCGTCCTATTGTGGGACTCCTCAACAGGGCACATTCACGATCTCGCTTCACCGGACTTGTCAGTGTCGCGCGCAACCGCTTAACCACTAAACCACCGAGCCGGCATCCAACGGTATTAATGCCTAAGTTCAACCAATCCACGATAGGTCCTGGGTTCAAATCTCACGAGGCGGGATCATGGTTGCTCACCGCGGAGAACTCTCACACTAGGACGAAACGGCCGTCCAGTGTTTCTAAGTTTTCCATAGTGGTCTAGCTTCAACTGACTTATGAACTTAACTATTTAACTACTATTATATCCACAATAATGATTCCTTCATGTCTTTTTTCTGGTCAAAATATTTTAGATATTTTGATAGTTTCCTTAGCCTTTGTATTTTATTATAAATGAAATATACGATTGGGCTAAGTGATTATATTTGAAGGTATATGTTTATTTCTTGAAATGAAATCTGGTGTAAGATGTTAAATCAAGATTGAAATTCAACTTTAGTGATTTTGAATGTAACTCTTTTATTGTCATATAGTGAATTTAAATTTTCATAGATAGAGATAGTAACTCACTGAAGACAATGGTGGATGTGTAGCTCAATTTCGTGGACTAGTTGAAGTTAGACATGAACACCGTTGGATGCTGGCAGACTCAGTGGTCTAGTGGTTAAGTGCTCGCGCGCGAAACCAGTAGGTCCTGGGTTCGAATCTTGCAGGGGGCAAGGCCGTGGATGCGCACTGCTGAGGAGTCCCACAATAGGACGAAACGGCCATTCAGTGCTTCCAGGCTTTCCATGGTGGTTTAGCTTCAAATGACTCATGATCTTAACCATTGAAATTGCTATAATATCCACAAAACTCATCTGATATCAATACATAAGTGTCAATTGTGAGATAAATACTACCTATGGTTACATCTGTTAGTCACATACTGTCGTGTAAACTGGTTGAAGTTAGATGTGTAAACTGTCGGATTTCAGATGAGTAGTGAAACTGTTAAACGCCTTCTTCTTTTATTGAAAGCATGAAGTGATTAATGTTAGACCACCATGGAAAACTTCTTTACTGTAGGATTATTACTTTTTTATGATCGGCTTGAATGTAACAAGTTCACTTATGAATGTTCTCAACTTAGTGAAGTAGTTAATCAGCTTTTAAATCATAATCATTAAAAAATGGTTTAGTGATTTATTTATACATGACTAATAATTCTAACTGTTAATAGGTAGACAGTTCACAAAAGTGCCTTGACTCACAGCACCAATCATTTTTTCAATCTCATAGTTAGCATCAAGAGATGATCTTATTTAAACAACTACTAAAAACAAATAAGCACTGAACAGCTTTTTAGTACGGACCTCCTGATCAGTGAACATCCACGACACAACAACAGGGAATAGAACCTTAGGACGTCGATCTCGAGCAAGAACATTAAAACTTCTGGGCCACTGAGCGGTTATCTAATAGGTTACATGTTCAACTTTAATCATTTTGTAATATATCAGTTTGTTTCAGTGATATTCTATCATTCCATATAAATTTTCTCGAATTAATTGGCTAACAAGCACATCCTGATATATAAATATTTGCTTCATGTATTATATATATTCAATTTTTCTTAGTTTAAACCTACAATATACACGAAATGCTATCACATGGCCACTTGGATACAACCACTGTCAGGGAATTCCTACTCACTGCCTTCTCGCACCACGGGTGTTGTTTACGAAATTGAGGGGACGAAAAGCGAATGTCTGGAGCTTAAGCCGGGTTGGTGGATATGGAGGATCCACCTAGGGTAGTGGGAAAACCCTCATTCCAAACCAGTGGTGCTCATGGGCTTCAGGATCGTGAGGGAACAAATGGCGTATGAACCACTTGTTGGTCACCAGCTACCATGGACCTGCATCTCCTGACGTTGCTCCAGTGCTTTGTGAATTAAACTTTTAAGTTGAAGGCTCCAGATGTGGTCCCCTAAGAAAACCACCTGTTTCGGTTTGGGCATTCGGACGATATCCCAGCCCTCATATAAATCGAATGATTTATGTGGCGCATATCTATCTGGTGCCTCCTTGTATCAATGTTTATGTGTTTGAATAAATAAACAAATAAATGTTTCTAATGAATGTTTTCTGTTGAAAAAATTTATTGTTTTATCCTTCAAAGCTTGATGAACTTCGTATTGGTGAATATGGCAACGATGGAAATGATGAAACATCATTTGAATTATGGAATATATCAGGCGAAGCTCCAATTAAATTAGTTTTTCGTATCACTTGTCCCAATATTATTAGTCGTAATGCATGGGTTGAAGATATAAGATATGCAATCAAAGAAAAACGTGAGTTATTGAACTTCGGCATATAATGCTTAATAAATGAATCAGTAAATTGTGATTTTATTAATTATTTCTACAAAGAATTTGTCGTCAAATCTAGTGAATTGGATTACCTTTTTGATTTAGGGTTGATATTCATAGTTGAATTCAGGAAATTAAAAGTTTATATTGTGCATATGATTATTTTTTGTAATTTATGATCAATGTATTATGATTTCGCGTAGAGTCCAGGAGAGCTGGTTCATCTTATTTGAGATCCATAATCTGGACATACTTAAGTGCAACGAGGCATTCCTCATAGAGTACATGTAATCCAACAAAGACTGATCAAAATTCGGTCAATAATACCAACAATGAGATAACTCAAACATCTTCTAATGTTTAGAAATCATTTATAAATTCCTAGTACTAATTAGGTTTTTACAATATTTGCTTTATTTTCCATTATCATTGGGTTGGCTTTTATTCGATTGCAGAAACTATAGTAGAAATTCCATGTTGTTTTTTTTTACTTATTAATCAGAAGAATAACAAGGTTTCATTGTGGTGTTAAAGCTGATATCAGTTAATAATCAAACCCTAATCCTAATCCGCAATCTTAACTCATAACTTAAGCTAAACTCCTAATTTCTAATTCTAACCCTTTTCATCATAGTTAAAATCAATTGATAAAGAAAACTGTATAGGGTAATCGATTATTCTTACAATTCTAGCCCAAATCCTGATAAGTAAGCTTGATATTTCTCTTTAAGTTTAATGAATAATTCAATATATTAAAGTTAAATAAATCATATCTCACTATAATTCTATTGTTTTTCATGGTTTATTGTTTTAGCATTAAACACTATTGCCTAATAAGTCAGTCAGTGTTATCATTATCGTATAATTATATCACTACAATCATCATAGAGAGTGAAATTAATAAATTTTAATGTAAACTAGAGATTAGATCAGTGTTTATTATTCATTTTTGTCAGGGATAGAGCAATTAGTCTTAAAACAGTAATGTAAATAATGTTATGTAAATGATTACTTACCTACTTACTCCTATTACTCCCAATAGAGCATAGGCCACCGACAAGTCTTCTCAAATCCATTCTGTCCTTGCCCTTCTTTTCTATTCCTATATGATTCTTGTTTATTCTTCTCATGTCTGCCTCCATTTCTAGGAGTAATGTGTTCTTTAATGTTCCTCTCCTCTAGTCTTGCGGATTCCAAGTGAGGAGTGGCCTTGTGATACAGTTGGGTGCTTTCCTCAATGTGTGTCCTGTCCACTTCCAGCACTTCTTCCTGATTCCTTCCTCCTCTGGGATCTGGTTTGTCCTCTCCCACAGTAGCTTGTTGCTGATAGTGTATGGCAAACGGGTCGAAATTATTTTGCGTAGACAACCGTTAATAAATACTTGTATCTTCTGGATGATGACTTTCGTAGTTCTTCATCTTTCCACCCTATACAATAGAACTGCTTCGACATTTGTATTGCGAATTCTGACCTTGGTGTTAGTTGATAGTTGTTTTGAGTTCCAGATGTACTTCAATTGTGAATATGCTGCACTTGCTTCACATCTGCATCAGATCCACCTTGTTCATCAACAATGCTGCCCAGATATGTAAAGGTTTTTACATCTTCCAAATCTTCTCCGTCAAGTGTGATTCGATTGGTGTATACTGTGTTGTATCGGAGAATTTATGTATATGATACTTTCATTATAATTCTCATAATCAGTCACTTTCTAGTCAGAATAATGGGATGTAAGCCAAGATATTGATCAGTAGGTAACTTTAAAAAAAAAACACCACTTTGACTATTCCAGTTAAAGAAATCGAGTAATATCATTAAACTTTATGCAACTGAACTTAGTTTCAAAATAGAATACATAAACCTTTACACTGTGAATAAATTGAATATTAAATAGAAAGTAGAATAGTGTAACTTAACTGAAATTGTCAACACAACGTTCAATACTCATCATCATTCATTAGATTAATACATACACAAATCTTCAGTGCTTACTCATCCTAGTTTTTAAATGTTCATAGTAAAGGGTACCTTCCATTTGAATATGATTTATATAAATGTTAATCCTTTTAGTATTTAAGCAATTTATTTCAAATGATACATTACTACTAAGAAATATCGTTAAGAATTGAATACAAATAATAATTAAAACAGTTGTTGTAAGAATCTACTTATTTAAATAAGTTGAGAATATATTAATTACCAACCTAATGAAAGTCATTATATACTTAATTAATATATGAACAAAACAATCCCTTGGTTAATTCAAACTTTACGTTTTTCAATCGTTAATGACTAGATGAACTTATTATTTACAAACTATACAATCCTCATGGTTTACTTGATTAGTATCAATTGTCAGATGATTTGGAATAATCATTGTCATATTATCATGTTGATAATGTTGGTAAAAATAAGCTCGATCAATGTTTTATAGTGGCTATTAAACAATAAGTCAACTATATGGGGTATTTTGTATGATTTTAAGTGATTGACATCAACAGAAAGAAAGCCTAAGAGTTAAGTTACACAATAGAAACAAACGTTAAAGTATATAGAAAATTCGTTATTTTTGTTTAGATTTCAAGTTTTTGTCTGTTGTAACGGCGAGACTATAATTTATGGACGAACCAATCGCGTGAAGAGTCCCAAGATAAGACGAAAAGGCCGTTCTGTACTTTCAGGATTTCCATGGCAGTCTAGCTTCATTTGACTCATGATCTCAGCTACTGAAATATCTATTCAGCAAATTTCCTGCAAAACAACAGTAAAAACTATTCAATCTAATACGATAGTAATGATTCATCTACCTATAACTCAGTCGAATAGCATACATATCTATTGTACATTAGCTCTCATCTAAATACTATTGTTACATGGTAAGCTATGCTTGTCATAAAGTGTTAATATATAAGTTAATTTCCAAGTAAATACCACTTTCTGATATCTTAAAATAAGTTGAAATACTTTAATACAGTTTCCACTTCTTCTTCTTGACAAAATTCAAGATTTAATATGCAATTCTTCTGCCCTTTTCGATTTGCACATTAAAATGTATTGGTGTCAGACTGTACAAAAGTCTATATTTATGTGTGTTGCACAGAAAAACATTTTTTGCCTATAATATTTGTGAATCTATTCAATTTTCCTTCAGTCCTATTATACACATATACACACAGATTATATTAAATAGGCATATGAATATGGAAATTTACTTAAAAATTGTGTATCTTCAATTCAATATACCACCTACACAATCGATTCCATAGTTGTTATTATTAATACCAATTGTAGTATTAGTATGTTTAGTTCGATATTAAATAGAAACAAGACTATTTCACTGAAAGCAAACCAGATGATAAATTCTGAAGAAATTTCAAGAGGCAAAGTTCTTGAATGACTTGGTTTTTTTTTTTATATTTTCAATTTCTTCAGAATGTATCTAGAAAACACTAGTTCATTTCATTGATTTACATTGGTTATTTTACATCTCTCACAATATTTACGGTATAAATTTTTAAACCTTCCATTCATTTAAACTCAATAATCAAACAAAATTTTCGCATTCATAGTTAATAACTCTATAGAAGATACAAATATACCAAAATCAATTGTCGGTTCACATATTGAAGCATATTGGAATTCAAAGAAACGTTTCAGTGGAATAATGGAACTTCCATCGTGTCCTAGTGAATCTATCAGTGAAATGTATTTTGATGCAATGGAAAATATTCAACAAATTAATTCTCAAAATGTTCATGCATCACAGTTATCACAAATAGATAAATGTGAAGTGATTAAAAGTAAGTACTTTTAAATAAAATGTTTAATTAATTTTATTTTCAAAAAGATGAAAATATGATTATGCCCGAATATCACTTAACAGTTTTCGAATTGTTTAAACTAACATACAATTTCTAAGCAAAGATGGATAGTGGTTAGCAGTGGAATTCAGGACAAGGCGAGTTTCTTCTTATTTGGAACTCGTCAGCTGGATGCAACTGCCTCCCAGAGTTGATGTTCATTGTGGCACTCAAACCCAGTACCGTTCGCTTCAAACTCCATCGTGTTATCCGCTTACTACTGAGTCCTCACAGTCACTTGCCTGTGCAATGAGATGAAGTTGAAATTCACTTAGTATTGTTTTACTTGTATCTTCCCATTGTTATTTAGGATCTCAGTTGATCAGTCTTATTGACATATGTACATACTGTGTGTATTGCCTCGATATTGAGTTGATTCACAAGCATTCTAGGCGAAGATGGATAGTGGCTAGCAGTGGAATGAAGGATGCACGTTTCGTCCCATTTGGGACTTGTCAGCATTTGTTTCCATGTACATCATGAAATGGGCTTACGTAAACCCCAGCTGGAGAAACAGGTTACTAGATCTTTATTATTCTATGGTAAAATACACCATTACACTTCTGTTGTTCCGTCCCCAATAATAGATATCATTAAGACTGGATTGATTGTGTCAATAAGGAACTCAACTTGACTGTTAGTTGGTTTGTAGATAATCACTATCTCTTCACTTTATTTTCCTTGTAGAATTGCTGTCTTCTCTGAAAATTGGCATGTTCACATCTCATGTTTATTTCTTTGAATTACAACCTATTGTTATGTTACAGATTATTCTTACATATAATATGGGATAAATGTTTGCTATCATTACTTGGTTAAATGATAATCTCACTAAAAACGTTAGCAAATCAGTTTTAAAACAGTTAAAAGCTAGTATGTTGAAAAGTATTTTGTGGCCAGACTTTTCATGGGCATTTTTAATGTAAACATTAGTCTCAAATGGAAAGTAAATCTCTTCTCCTCTTCCCTTTACAGAGGTTCTAGCCTGCAAGATTAAACTCGTTTTCTAAACTATCCCTGTTATACAGATTTCCAACCTTATAGCCTGAAAAAAGATCACGTGACCATCTTGATGTGACATTATATAAAATCATAGAATTTTACCGAAAACCAACTAACAAGAATCAAATTTACTTTTCGATTACATAAGTTTAGAGACTATCTAACATCATTTTAATTATTAGCATCTAGAGGATATAATGAACAGACAGTTTGAGTTTTCCCATATAATAAATTTTTTCGAGGTTGTATTATAAGCAAGTTTAAGTGTAGGCAGTTTAATAGAACTAAAACTATTCTATTCATGAATACTGTATGTATGTAAACTATTTAAGTTACTTTAGCTACCTATGATTTATCATAACGTGAATTTTATCATGAAGCGTTAACGCTTATAACCCTGTTATAGCTTTTGTTGACTAAGTTAAATGGATAAAAGTACATTAACATCGGCTCTGAGATGAAGACACATCCAGCTGACGAGTCCCAAATAGGACGAAACGCACGTCCTAGATTCCATGGCTAGCCACTATCCATCTTTGCATACTCTGCTAAGTGAAACCATTAGTATTAATCTATAACATTGGATCTACGTCTTTACGAAAGGAGACACATATTTAAAGTGAATATCAGCGAATAACAAAATGTAATTTGTTACGTCCCAAGAGTTGACTTTAACTTTTAAAAACTAGAATAATTTCTTACCCTATCATGAAACTTGTTCAAGGTAAACTATTCAATATAATAAACTCAGCGAATTCTACCATTGAAAAGCAATTCGCTTTTATGATGTGGCAGTAGATTCCTGTGTATGCATAAATGTATCATTGTTAATGTTGTTTTTCTCCAGTCCATATCATCATTAAGAACAATCGTAGTCCCACTAATATTTTTTAAATCTCTGTCTAAACAGTAATTTCAACAAGGATTACTGATCAGACCAACATAAGAAGCAGAATCATATGAAACATTTTAATTAACTGAAAGACAACTGCAGAAAACGATTGCCTAGTCAGCATTACGATGAATGTATTGAAAGACAAGATCTAAAACAGATTTAGGAGCTTTTAAAAATTCCAGCTTCTTTTAAGAAGACGAAAAATATTAATTTCAAGATTTCTGACACTGTTCAGAATCAACTGGGAAATACTCAAAGAGTTTTTTTGAAAATTAAGAAACTATAAAAATTTACTAGTTAAAGTACGAAACAAGGATGAATACACTAAGTTTCAGAGTAGCTTCGAAACCAACATCTACTTGAATAGCCAATTTAGAATCATAACTGTGTAGATTGTGTAGATTGTTGAATTTCATTAAAACCATAAACTGATACACGTTAATAAACCATTAAAAACCTGAAAGCACTAGACGAGCTCTTCGTACTAGTGTTGAGCTCCTCAGCATTATACATACACAGACGCACATACAGGAGTCGAACCGAGGACACTATGTTCTGAATCCCGGCGCCCAAACTTTAGGCTACGGTGTCGGCATAAAACATCGTTAATGTCTTCATTCATTCCACGATATTGCGCGACCATCATCAGTAGGTGACTACCTCACACCCTGTTATATCCTAGTGAACACTAAACTACAAGTAACTTCTGAGATCTATTAATAGACTCATATTATATGTGTATTCCTATCGTGAAACTGTTCAGTAACTATATTCCCCTTATTATAAGCTTTACTTTGACCTATGGATTATTATTTACTGTTCTTAATTTATGTTCAGTTTATTGACTACCGTCTCCCACGTTCACAGCCACTTTTTGGCTTGATATTGTATAAACGTTATTTCCTATTTAGTGGTGTGATACGGTCTGTTTGGCTGGTATACAGACCAAGTATGTTTGAAGTAAATGATTTGCATAGTGGAAGGTGGTATTAATGTTCTGGACTCAACTATCAGGAATAGGCGAGCAAAGGACCAATAAGGATGCTAGGCTGCACATACCGGTCGAACTTCATTGGTTTAACATAGTACTAAGATTGAATAAGTCGATTGGCGAATAAATCACGTGATGACTAGCCGAGCTTAAAATACACAACATAGTCGATACAGTTTATCTTCACCTTTTACGAGACTGAAGATCCTGGAGTCGGTTCCTGCACACGGGGTTGCTAGCTTTCACTGCTGAGGAGTCCCATACCAGGATGAAGCTGACTCCAAATGCTTTCAAACTGTCAAAAATTGTCTGCCTTGAATCAGTTCATGTTTTTGATAAACATTCATATAAATTATTTTTTTACAAGTTTATCGTTCAATATTACAAATGACAACTTGACTCCCTAAGTAATAACATTGTTTATTAACTTATTAACTTCAACTTATGGAGCTGACTACTGTATTCTCGCTCGTCTCATCAATTCAGGTCAGTTGGCTGATTGTTTAAACATCTTACATAATTACACAGTAGTACTTTAAACTGTACCAAAAAAGTATGTGTATAGTGGAAAAGATTTGTAGCTCAGAGGACAAAACTCTATCAAATATGTGTATAACATTTGTTCTCAGTCATGAAAGCAGCATTCTATAAATTCATGTTCATATAGGAGATCCTAAGGAATTACTTACAACATTAAACTTTATCGCAGCTCTCATAATCTTTTTTACGAATATTTCAACCAAATTAAAAATGGCTGCGAAAAAGGGTTATTTAACATAACAAGATATAATAAAATTGGTGTCAAATGTAAACGAAGAATATATGTAATAAGACAAGTAGGTTAAGGGTAAAAGTAAATAGGGGGGGGAAAGATAGGAAGTAATGTCTTTAGTAAACTAAAGTTTAAGATTGCGGTTTCTATAGCCACAATGATAACATTTCATTTTAATGTCAGCGATTTATATTATTGGTAGATGATAGAGAATATTTCTAGTTCAGTATAAGTATTTTAGAAGCATTATGTTGTTAAAATAGAACAGTTTAGTAATAAAGCTTTCATTCCATTTATAAGCAACCTTATTAGCGTAGACTTCAATAAGAAATTCTAATTGCTCACTTCTATTTAAAGTACTTTTTCTATGTTGTCTAGAAGAATGATGAAATGTTCTCAATTACTTCATCACTTCACTTCTTCGTGTAATATCTATGACATTCTTGGTTAAAACAACTTCAATAAAATAATTTCACTTATTACGTACTCTTATTCTGATAGATCCATTAACGTTAAATCAACAAACTAATATTGAATCTAGACCACCATGGAAAATCTGGAAGCACTGGACGACCGTTTCATCCTATTGTGAGACTGCTCAGCAGTGAGCATTCACGATCCCACCTCGCGTGATTCAAACCCAGGACCTATCAGTTTCGCACGCGAACGCTTAACCATTAGACCACTGAGCCGGCATCCAACGGTGTTAATGTCTAACTTCAACCAATCCACAAAATTGAGCTATACATCCACCTTTGTCTTCAGCGAGTTGATATCTCACAACAGACCTGGTTGAACTCCAGTGGTCACTATTCCTCACTAGAACTCCAGGAAATACCTCTTGGAGACAGTACTTCCAGGTTTTCAATGGTAGTATAGCTTTGATTGACACATGAATTAAACTATAAAATTACTAAAATCTCCACAAAACTCTTTATGATAATAATATTCTTGTCTTATTTGTCATCTATTTATGGTCATGGTTATTATCAGTTATGCTGAACTTATATGACCAGTTTTTAAACTTAAAAAAGTACCTTACTCTTAAGTAATATATTCAATGACATAATTTGTGGCGTTTAGATCTTCTTGAGAATTTCTGTACCGTTTTAAACATTTAACTAAACTTAATTAACTTAAATATGTCAAATCTTTTTATTTAATCATCAAGTTATTCTATGTAGTTTGTAGTAAGCTAATATGAAATCATCAGTATAGTATTGTGGAGATTATCAAGCTTTTGATCATGAATCGATTGATGAGCTAACCCGTGTCGGGTAGAGACAGGTATCTACCTCAGTACAATGGAAGATGGTCGCGGAATTTCGCGGATTAATATGGAATTATTTACTTAATTTCCTTCAGTGAATCGCCTTCTTTCTTCTTTAATAACATAATAGGTGTCTTTCACTATTTATTATAAATTCATCAAATATAAAAGAAAAATCTCATTTTATTTTGTAAAATCTTGTTGTTTATCCAATGAAAGTGATTGATAAAAATCATTTTTGTTGACAAGAGTTAGAAAATTTCATTTGAATTGTTGAAATAGTATTCATCATATATATTATAATTCGACAACTAATATGTTTAAATGACTGTTATCATTTAAATTAGAATAGATTATATGTAACAGACGGTGAAATTCAAGATATCAGTTTTGTCTTTACAATGATTGATCACTGAGTGGTGATCAATGTCATGTATGTCAGGTCTTGCTTGGTGAAAACCGAATCCTATTGACCAAGTCACAATGTGGTCACGAGTTTAGGTAACTCGACATTGCGTGTACTTTGTTGAGATTAAATGTTGGTCGGAGGTAGTCAACAGGAATCTCTGGACCTAGGTCCTGTGCTACTTAGCAATCGTCAGCAAGGTGTACCTGAAATCCTGAAGGAACTGATGCTCTTTGATGGATTCGATCCCGTGTCACCCAGCTTCACAATCAGAGACGTTGCCACTGAGTTATCCGGGCCGCGACTGACCTCCTGTAGGACTGAGATGTTTTGTCTTATTTGGAATATCAATATGAAATGATAAGCATAAGTTCTGCCTAAATTGTACTTAAGTATCGAGAATCGAATCGGTTATTTAATAATGAGAAAGAGTTTATGAAAACACGTGAATAAAGTGTATTAATTAAGTGTTGAAATCAAAATCATGTAAGTCATCATACTAGCGTGTTTAACTATTCAATTAATTACCTTCATAAAAAAGATTACCTTATTAACTTTACAGCTTCATTTAATCAAAAATCTACTTCGTCCTCATCGTATTATACTGCTGAGGAACCAATAGATGAGATTGGAAAAGATCAAGCACCATCTACAAATCTGTTCGGTAAGTTGTTTCTGTGATTTAATATAACAAAATTTAAATTTTGTTTGAAATAATTCTATACTTTATGTGAAGGTGTTTGTAAAGAATTTACCTTAATTTAATTATATAAATGTAAAGTTGAGTACTATTTGATCTAGTTAAAGTTAGACATTAACACCGTTGGATGCCGGCTCAGTGGTTTAGTGGTTAAGTGCTCGCTTGTGAAACTGATAGGTCTTGGGTTTGAATCTCGCGAGGCGGGATCGTGAATGCTCACTGCTGAGGAGTCCCAAAATAAGACGAAACTGCTATCCAGTGCTTCAAGATTTTCCATGGTGGTTTAGATTCAATTGACTCATGAATTCAACTATTGATATCAAATATAGATTGATATTATTCAATTATTCCTGTCATGTGAAATGATGTGGGAACGTATTCAGCTAGCTTATTATTTCTTGTTTGTCATCAAAGTTTTCATGTATCTGTTCAGAGAATAATCATGACTTCATCGTAATTACTTGTAATTTTAGATCATATAATTTTCACCTGTTTTTTTTTCATTATCAAGAATCTTATTCAACATTGGATGGTGTACAGACGCCATTTTCAGAGGATCAACAATCTCTTGCAGACTTCCAAATGTCTCCTGAAAGTACGTTCGAACTGTATTATCTCAAAATCATATTTGTTAAAATTGATTTTACCAACAAACAAATAAAACACAAATGTTAGACTGTCAAAATATTTAGCGCCAGATGCCTGGTTAAAATGAAAGTATCTTATTCACATGAACTTCAGTAGATTGCTAAAAAAGATCGCATCATAAAGTGATTCAATAATCTAAATATCAAATGAGGTTACGCAATAATCATGGGATTAGAAGAAGAATAGAAGGATGAAAATAATTTACGGGTCAGAATTATGAAAGATAAATGTCCGCTTGACAGATAAGAAAAAAACAGAAATACATAAAGGTCATATTAATTGAAAATTAGTTATTAAAAATTGTCAAAGGATAATAATAAACGATTACGGTGTAAAGTTATAGAACAGTAATTAAAAGAAAATAACAAGACCAAAACACCCTACACAAGGGAACCAGGGCCAAGAAAGGATGAGAGATTAGACGTATCGTTTTTGAATTCAGAGTTCGGCGTTGAATTGGCGGATGGCCAACGTCCTAGCAGTGCATAAGTTTTTAATTCAACCTCCTTTGATTGGGTAGATTATTTTAAAGGAAGACTCCTTTGGAGCGATGAGTCCAGAGTATATTAGATGTTCGTGTATTGAATTGGTAACTGTTTCGCATTCTCCCTTTTAAACCACGTCGGGTAGTGTTCTGAGATGCGTTTGAAAAGTATCACATAAGAAGATAATATAGAGCTTAGCTGAATGAAATCTGGCCTACCATTCACATATGTGTTAAGGATAAAATTTTGCTTTGGGCCAAGTCGATGTGCATCTATAAACATACTTGCTCCTATGAGGCAGGTTATGTTTGCCTCACAAACCTAAATATCAATCACCATTATGCCTCAACTACATTTTACGTAATAATTCATATGGATCCATGTTTATTGCTATAGGTTAAAGTATTTCACATAAATATTAAATTTGAGTAGTATTTCATTCTTTGAGTTGGATAGTTTGATCGTAAATTTTTCATTATCATTCTGAAACAGGCTATCAACAAGTTAAATTACATAAAATATACATAGCCTTTTTCCCCAATCTGACCTTTGACCTCTGTTCAATGATTATTCTGTTCATACTCTGGTAGATTATGTCTATTTTAATGTCTGTAAAAACCAGAATTGTGTCCAAAAGAAGCTGGTGCAATCTTTTCTTCTAGCATGGTCTTAATCCCTCGAAATTTTATTTCTTTTTCATACTCTTATTCCTTCACACCCAACTGATCTATGGGCCTTTTACTCCTAACTGGTTTGTTTCTGTTTTCTATGTTCCTCCTGATTACATTTCATCTCGATTTCGACATTTTTTCTTATTATACTGAGCCTTTCTTCCGCAATTATAATTTCCGCATCTGTCTTCATGATGATTGTTCAAACCTTCAACAATAAAACTATTATTAGTTTCCCTGATAAAATAACGTTTTAATGCCTTTATTCTAACTCACTGTTACCATGTTTAACAGAATTTTATTATCCCTATTATTGTAACTATAATCATCTTGAAAATAAGGTAGTATATTTGTAATTGTACAGCTTTGAAAATGAATTCACTGAACCAATCCTTCTCATTTCAATATTGATAATGATTGCTAGGTGACTTAGGTGCCTGTGCGGTGTTCTTTACTTATTCTCCGACTAAGGCTTCAGCATTTCCTAAACCTGATTCTTGTCTATGGATGTTTACAAGAATTAATGTGAACTCATATATACCTCGATTTTAGACACCCTAAATGATATTTGCGTAAACGAAAAGGTTTATCATTATTTCCGAACGTATGTTTTCATAGTTCTTAAAGTTGATTACGTACAGAATATTCGCTTTGTTTTTCCTTGTCATTACATCTTTCAATTCGCACAAAATAGGATGGAAATGGATCTTATTTATGACGCCTCAACAACATAAGTGTAATCTCTGAAATATTTTCATATACGATAACTAAGAACAGCTTAAATTTACACTATTAGTAAAGATCAGTATAGTTGAGCTCATTAGGCTTATTTAAGAAGCCAAGTTTTTTTTCAACCAGTTAAAAACGAAGTATTTCAAAATCCAGAAGTAAATCCCAAGAATAATGTGAACGCTCTCCATGATTCGAATAATAATTCTCACAGAGATTAAGTCGCAAATAAATAGACTTTAGATGTAAAATTATGTTTGTAATGACCTCAATGATTGAAATTCAACTAGTTCCAAAGCTTTACTAGGAGATCTATTCACATCTTTAGGAAACTAATTAAAATATCAGGATAAATTAGGTCAAAGCCATTTCTGTATTTAAAGCCTGATCAATAAATTAAGAATGTTCTATTTTGTTTATGGTAGGGGTATTAGTCAAATGTCACAAATTGTATTCAAAATTCTCTGTGAATGCTTATATTCGTATGGATATCCATATTCTATATTTCGTTTAATTTCTGAGATGATTCCAAGGAGACTGTTGGTTTATCTTTGTTAGAAAGCCTATGTGTTTAAACTCTTCTAGTTGTTCAAAGGGAATAGTGAGTTTGATTTTAAACACTATTTTTGGTCATTTTAGTATAAAGCGTCATATTTCTCTGAAATCATTTAAAATTATCCTACATCTAGACCCTTTTGTTTTTATTTCTTAAGAGGGATTTATTGACCAAACACGTCAGACAAACAACATTTTCACGACCTATAGTTTATAAGTTGCCAGAACGGTACAAGTTTATATTCCTACTCATTTGAAGTTCGCAGATTTAATAGTTAATGATATTTTTATTTCTATTACCTGACTAGATCGGGGAAATCAAACTCAACCATTAACAACTACATCTACTAATATGGCAGGAACTGATACTTTAGCTAAACAGTTTAACGGTTAATGCTGGTGAACAAATTCAGTTCAATGCATCATTCACTATAACTGGTCCAGTTGCTTATGAAACAACTTGGTATATGAATGGTGAACCAATGAAACCTGATATAGGTGCTGAAATGATATTGTCGGATCGTGATACACGTTTACTTATATCAAATGCTGATCCTTTGATACATTCAGGAACATATTCATGTCGTTGTCGTCTTTTTGAGGGCACTGAAACTGCTGTTTATTTTTGTGTTAATATACTAACAGCCAAACTAGATCGCAATGATACAAATGATAATGAATCAGATCAGCTGAAAATAACAAATTGTATGCAGGCTGATTTATTTCATCCAATTACCAAAGAATTAGATTTACCAATAGGTAAACTTTTAGAAATTCAAGTTAAGATTGATGAAGAAACTCTATTGAAACAAATGAGGAATAATAATAAGGAAAATATTCAAGTTAATTGGTATCAAAACTCAACACTAATTGAACCTAGTTCAAGGTGTGAAATGCTCAAAATTAATGACCAGTTTATTTTACGATCAACTACAAATAATTTACAACCTGATAAGTTATACAACTACACATGTATGTTGAGACTGCCTGAAAATTCTTCTATGTCTCCAGCACCAAGTATCACCATACCGGTAAGTTTTCATTGTCCAACAGTTAAAGAATTAGAAACTGAATTCAAGAATTGTATCGACAAAAATAAGGCAACAGTCGAAAATAATCGAATCTTTGAAGTCAAATTAGGAGAGGATGATGCATTTCAATTAAATATACCTATTCAACATTGTTCTCAGGACCAAGATTTTGTCGTATGGTGGACACATGAAGATGAACTTTTGACAGGTGATCATTTACCGTCAAAAGAAAGTGAGTATAATTGTTCACTTGAGCTCAGTAAACAGTCGAACGAAATGATAGCCAAACTTTCTAAAACTCCGACAGGAACCAACGAGTGTGGTATATATAAATGTTGGACTGTTTTCACAATCATTGAAAGATAATATCGTTAGGTGTACAAATGTTGCAGTAACAGTGAGACAAGAGGAAGCTACACTGAGTGAAAAGTCAAATGACAAAGAGAAGGAAAAAGAAGGGAAGAATTTACAGGGAGATAAGATAAGTATGGTCGATGGGGTTGAAACAAACCTTCTGAATAAGGAAGACGAGGAAATAAACCGGGAGGTCCCCTCAATGAAAAAGGAAGAGGAAGAAAAGAAGAGGAACACAGAAAACACTTTCAAGCAAGAGGAGCAAGATTTAAAGAAAGGGAAAAGCGAAGAGACGAAAAGAAAAGAAGAGGAGATCGTTAGACTGAGACGAGACGAAGAAGAGGCTTCAAAGAAACAGGTGGAGGAGGAAGGAAAGAACAAGGAAGTAGAGGAAACTGCGATGAAGCGAAAGCAGAAAAAAGATGCTGAGAGCAAACGAAAAGATGAAGTTGAATTGAGACGAAAAGAGGAAGAGATTGCGAAAAAGGAGGAAGAAGAGATTGAAAGGAAACGAAAGGAGGAAGAAGATGCTGAGAGTAAACGAAAAGAGGAAGTTGAATTGAGACGAAAAGAGGAAGAGATTGCGAAAAAGGAGGAAGAAGAGATTGAAAGGAAACGAAAGGAGGAAGAAGATGCTGAGAGTAAACGAAAAGAGGAAGTTGAATTGAGACGAAAAGAGGAAGAGATTGCGAAAAAGGAGGAAGAAGAGATTGAAAGGAAACGAAAGGAGGAAGAAGATGCTGAGAGTAAACGAAAAGAGGAAGTTGAATTGAGACGAAAAGAGGAAGAGATTGCGAAAAAGGAGGAAGAAGAGATTGAAAGGAAACGAAAGGAGGAAGAAGATGCTGAGAGTAAACGAAAAGAGGAAGTTGAATTGAGACGAAAAGAGGAAGAGATTGCGAAAAAGGAGGAAGAAGAGATTGAAAGGAAACGAAAGGAGGAAGAAGATGCTGAGAGTAAACGAAAAGAGGAAGTTGAATTGAGACGAAAAGAGGAAGAGATTGCGAAAAAGGAGGAAGAAGAGATTGAAAGGAAACGAAAGGAGGAAGAAGATGCTGAGAGTAAACGAAAAGAGGAAGTTGAATTACGACGAAAAGAAAGGAAAGTTACCAAGATGAAGAAAGAGGAGGCAGAGACTGATAAGAAGCAAAAGGATGGAGAGATTGCCGGGTTAAAGAAAGAGAAGGATGAAGTAGAAAAAAGACAACATAAGGAGGAGGAAGATGAGAGGTTAGCTAGCCATAAGGCAGACAAAGAAGAATCAATAACAAAGACAAAGAAAGATGATATGAAAGGTAAAGAAGGCAGCATGAATAAAACGGATGGAGAACGATATAAAAAAGAGAGTAAAGAAGGGAAGGATGAAAAGAAGAAGAAATTAGTACCAACGAAGGACCAAACGGATAACGGAATGAAAACGAAGCCAGTCGGAGATGTTGAATTAAAGCCTGAATCAGAAACATCTCAGAAGAAGAATATCAGAGGCGTAACAGAACAAACAAAAGACACAGGACAAGAGGAAGAAATCGAAACGGTCCTAGAAACCGATTCTGAAATGAAGAGGGTAGTTGGAGAATTTAATAGGGGAGAAAAAGATAGTGAAGAAGATAAAGTGGATGTTAGAGTAGGTGACACAGCTGAGTCACTCAATGACGAGAAGAGAGAAAAAGGGAAGAATAAAGTGGAGAAATCCGACGAAATACAATCTTTAGATAAAGGTAAAAAGATAAGGGGAAGTAGATCGACTTGGAAGGATGACAATAAGGACAGTGAAAAGCTAGTTGGTCAAATCGAAGTGCAAAATGAAGTGGATAAAACAAAGCAAACGCTGGAAAAAGAAGATAAGTTAGATGACCAAAATCAGAAGGAAGTAATCACTAGTGAAGCAGAAGAATTCCTGGAACACCATGATGAAAAAGACAAGAATAAGACTGAGACAGTGAAAGCAGTACACAATCAAATTACAATAGATTTCAACAATTCAGAAAGCACAACATCTCAAAATAAACAAACTTTAATTGATCAGGTAACGATCAGTGGATTAGAACTTAAATCAGTTAAAAAGGATAAAAAGAAAGAGAAAGATGGCGAGACTGGCCACGAGACTAAAAAGAAGAAGAAAAGTGACGGAAAGATAGGAATGGATAATACTGAATCGATTGTTAGTACAGAATATCCAACAGAAAATCATGTGAACAACAAACCAGAATCATTTGAGGATTACCAACAAATAAATACAGAATCATTTCAGAAGCCACAACGTCGAGAAAGTAAGGCAAAGAAGCATGGGAAAGATACAAAGAAGAATAGATCAGTCGCTGATAATACTAGTACTACTACTACTACTACAGGAAATGATGAAGATCTAGCTAAAGATTACATAAAAAACAAAGAGGAAAACGAACCGAAAACACAGATGAACCTGGTTGGAGTAGAAATTGGCAAAAACAATCAGGAAGTACTTGATACGATGCCAACAACCGATGTTTTACAGAATGAAGCAGAAAATAGAGAAAAACAATGGAAAGAGGGAAAGAAAAAGAAACGAGAAAAATCGAAAAATGTTGATAAGGAAAATGAAGATAATTATATTAGCACTAGAAGGCAATCAATAGTCGACGAACAAGATCCAAACAAAATAGAACTGATTGAGGACCAGAAACAAGTAGAAAAACGTAAGAAACATCGAAAATCAATGACAGAAGTTGATAAAAATGACGTACAGTGTGAACCATTAAAAGCTGAAGAAAAATATATGGAAACCAACACTATAGATGATGACCAAAGTGAAGAAAAGAAAATCAAAGAAGAATATAAGGGTATGGAATTAAAATCCGGTAAGTTTGAAATTCTAACATAATTGTTCTTAAATTTGTACGTTACGGGTGACAGAAAATATGGAAAGTTTAGATCAGCTCACCGAAACAAAGGTCAGGATAAATCCCGTAGGTGTGTAACCAATTAACTCCCATAAGATGTATGATTAAAATGAATTGTAGCTCATAAAATCTAATAGATGTCCGAATGAGTGATATTGATTGTATATTCTCAGCTCAACAAGCCGAGATTTAACATTAAGAAATTCACTAGAATTATTTAAGCATCAACAGCCTTATTAATTTAAAATAAATTTTAATTAACGACGGACATCTAGAAATTCTTCACATTTTATAAAACTGAACCTAATCGATTAGCCTACCTATGCTATTTCAAATAATTATTATGTAGTCATTATCAAAATTTTAAGAAAAAGTAATCGTTGTAAGATGCCTAGAAAATTTTAGGTATAACTGAGGCTAGTTGTTGCACACCACGATAACGACTAAAACAAGGTATTAAAAGAAGTCATCAGATTTAGATGGTAGTTGGAGGTAGTCAACAGGAAACTCGGGTTTCGTGCCACTTGGCACTCGTCAGCAAGGTGTACCTGTAATCTTGAGGTAACTGGTGCTCCCTGGCGGATTCGATCTCGTGTCAGGGTTTCCTGTTGACTACCTCCAACTACCATCTAAATCTCAATACATAGTGCCCGCAGTGTCGAGTCACCTAGACTGGTGGCCACATTGCAACATGATCGATAGCATTCGATCTGCACTAATAAGGACTAGACAAGCATGACATTGATCACCACCCAGTGATCAATCAATTGAGAAGTCATCAGATTTCGACATGTTGACCGTCATGACTTGCGATGTTAATCGATATCACGTGCCAAATTCATCAATCAGAATTTTGACTATGAATTTTCATATTCCGTATTAACTATTTCATTCATACCTTAGGGTTCTAGACTCGACTCACCGTACGTTCCGACCAACACAGTGAACCTTGAACAAATGCAAACTACAGTCCTACTAGTCTGAATATCCGCGAGATTTTCTCTATCTTCTACCTTGAGTCCAAACAAATGTCAGTAGTCAGCTCCTACTATATGTAAACTTCAATGAACATAGCCCAGCAGATAACTACCTTATCGTGCGATCGATATGCGCACTTCTGAGGAGTCCTATACTAGGACGAAACGGCCATCCAGTGCTTCTACGTTTTCAATGATGGTCTAGCATCAATCGGTTCATGATCTCAAGTGAAAACTCAATAATCTCCATAACCCCATACTGACATTTTGATATCTTGTCATATGTCATTGTTTTCCACCAAAATAAAAAATCATAGCAAACAAAACAAGATTAAATTTGAACAATACAATAGATTTGTTTAATTTCATAGTTAAATTATTTAACTATACATCACAAAGTTTTATTCTTTTTTTATTTTACAATAAATCCTAAAAAATTTTATCATAAACTTATCTAGTTCGATAAAAGTTGAAGTTAGACATTAACACCGTTGGATACTAGCTCATCAGTCCACAGGTTAAGCGTTCATGCGAGAGACCGATAGGTCTTGAGTTCACGAATCGGGATCGTGGATACGCACTGCTGAGGAGTCTCACAGTAGGATCAAACGGCCGTCCAGATCTTTCAGGTTTTCCATGATGATGTAGTTTCAATGGACTCATGATTTCATCTATTGAAATTACTAAAATCTCCACAAAACCCCTTCTCATAATAATGATCTACGTATGCTCACTAATGACTGGCTTCAAGATGTATTTCCTGGAGTTCTAGTGAGAAGACGTACCCAATGAAATTCAACCAGGTCTGTTGTGAGATAGTAACTCACTAAAGACAATGATGGACGTGTGGCTCAATTTCGTGGATTAACTAAAGTTATACATTAACACTGTTGTATGCCAGCTCAGTGGTCTACAGGTTAAACATTCATGAGCGAGACCGATAGGTCCTAGGTTCAAATCTAGCAAATCGGGATCATGGATGCATACTGCTGAAGTGTTTCACAATTGTACCAAGTTTATCATAATGATCTAGTTTCAATTAATTCATGATTTTAACTATTACAAATATATTTATTAATTTTTTTTTCTAGATTTTAAATTAAATAACAGTGAAAAACAAGATATTCTTAATGAACTATATAAAACAAATGAATATGATACTGTTTATTTATCACCAATAAAAGATCTTGATCATGAGCATGAAGATGATAATAATAATATTTTTTCTACTGAATTATTATCAAAATATATTTGTAAACAAGGTGAAACATTGAAATTAGCTGTTGAATTAAAAAATAATGTATTTGTTAAATATTTTGAATGGTTAATAAATGAAAAATGATTGATGTAAGTTATACTTTTTATTGATTTATTGATTGATAGAAAATGGTATTGTATTATTAGTTTACTTTACTTACTCCTGTTAAAACCCCTCCCCGGTCAATGACGGCTTTCGTGGTTCTCTATCTTTCCGCCCTATACAATAGAACTGTCTTGACATTTGTATTGCAAATTCTGACCTTGGTGTTGGTTGATTGTTGTTTTGAGTTCCAGATGTACTTCAATTGTAAATATGCTTCTCTTGCTTCCCCGATTCGCGCCTTCACATCTGCATCAGACCCACCTTGTTCATCAATGATGCTGCCCAGATATGTAAAGGTTTTTACATCTTCCAAATCTTTTCCGTCAAGTGTGATTCGATTGGTGCATGTTGTGTTGTATTGGAGAATCTTGCTTTTCTCTTTGTGTATATGCAGACCTATTGCTGCTGAGGGTGCTAATGAGTAGCTACATCTTAGAAAAATTAGATCATTGTTCATGTGATTGTCTACTTCAGTATCTATATGAAATATATGAAAAAAATAGAATAAATAATTTTTTACGCGCACTATAAGCATAGTGTAGTGTGTGATACTGATGTCGATAGATGTAAATAGCATTTATCACTAATTGAAAGTATAATATTGTTGGGATATTCAGGAAAATATCCCAAAAATTATTCTATTAAGTCTAATGCTATTCTTGAACTTGGAGATGGTATTATTTTCTTATTGGTCAGTACTTATTTCGCGTGTTACTTTCCTACTGGTCAATATTGTACAATGTTATTTTCTATTTTATGGTACTATGTGGTCTACTTGATTAGTATATAAACAGAGTGTGTTTGAAATACAATGATTCATGTATCCGGGGCTGAGAATTGCGTTCTGGACTCAACTGGCTGGGCTAGACAAGGAAGCGCGACCAATCAGAACCCTAGGCTGTTCTTTGTGTTTGCGTGTCTTTGGTCCGATCAATAATTCGCTACCCTCTAATCTGCCGTCACAGTTATAGCAAATATCTTGTGGCAGAAGGTTGAGAAAATCAAAGAGAATAGAATCAGAACAGATAATGTTTAGTATGGAAACGAGGGAACAACAAATTTTGAAACAATTGATAACTATTTTGAAGGCCAATATCGCTATTGGTGAAAGAAATAATAATAAACACCCTAATTTTGTTCATATAAATCATAAAAGTCTAATTGTTTCAGCCTTTATTTTGATTGGTAAAGCATGTCATTTATCTTCTTTGATTTTCTCATAAGGTCTGTCTTGAACATATTCTTTAGTTCCTGATACAATCACATAATGAGTGGTATGAGTGGTACCTTCGTCATGACAGTTCTCTCAACTTTATTTGACTAATTCAAGGTGTTTAATTCATTCTTAATTATATTAGAAATGTAGGGTTTTCAATGAAATAAAAATGATGATTTATTTATTAAACCATCTCTTCAACAAATTTAACTTTGATGATAACCCTGAAGACATCAAAATCAAATTCAAGAAGATTTCCGAATAAATTAATTTTTAATCACTGAGATTTTTTTTGAAATCTAACTTAAAACGTAATGAATTTTTTTAGTCTGTTTAGTATTAACGTGTAGTTATAACTACACTTATGTATTTTGGCAAATATTATGTTACCAGTATAGGGGTTGTGGAGATTGTTAAGTTTTTGATTAAGATTATGAACCGATTGACGTTAGACACTAACACGCTTGGATGCCGGCTCAGTCGCTCAGTAGGTTAAGCGTTAGCGCGCGAGACTGAAAGCCCTGGGTTCGAATCCCGCGAGCGAATTGTGGATACGCATTGCTGAGGAGTCTCACAATAGAACAAAACGGCCGTCCAGTGCTTCCAGGATTTCAACGGTGGTCTAACATCAATCGGTTCATGATCTCAATCAAAAATATGATGTTATTTGCTTGATTTGATAAACACAAATATCTTCACTTACAATTTACTACTTAGAATACTACTGATATTCAAGATGACTTTTATTTCAATTCATGATTGCTTGAATTCCACTAATAAATATTACTCGATTGTGATTAGTGGAATATATTCATTATGTCAATCTAATGTTATTCAAAGTATCTCTTTGTCTAACTAATCAATGTTTTCTAACTTTTGCGAATGCTATTTTATTGATAAAAAGTGTAATATACAGGAGAAATATGAGTTCTTCCATTTCTTATTGTTACCTTGTTCGATAGTCTATCAAGTGTAGAATTTGCTTGTTTGTCATACGAAGTTAAGAATATAGTCTGATCAAATTATATAACTGAATGAAATAAGTCTATTATATTTCGGTTATCTAACTATGTGCAAGCTTAATTTCTCTTTAAATGACTTGATTATTCAATTATTTTTAAACCGTAATCATAATCTAAAGAAAAATTATGTGATCGCTGTTTGTATAGTGAATCAACACACCGGTAGTCAGTTATTACTCGCAAAAATAAACTAAATATGATTCAACTGTACATAAATCTCACTAAACAGGACATTTGTTCTAAATTATCAAAATTATGTTTTCTTTTTTTTTATATTGGCAGCCTGAATCAACTGCCGATTTTGTTGTATGGCAAACTGGTAATTGGATTGCATTGACAATACCAAATGTTAGACCAGATTTAACTGGAACTTATAAACTACGTGTTGTTACTCCATCTGGTGAATATTTTACAACAGGTGATCTGTCAGTGAATGGACAAAAACTACAAATGAAACCATATATCCCATCGTAAGTTTATTACTACTGACTTTACTGACTTTCTGTCTTTATTAATAATAATAATAGTAGTAGTAATAAAGCAGTTATATAAAGAACAGAATAGAAATGAAAATTATTTGAAGATAGATAATTGTATTTAACATGTTATAAGTATACAACCAACATGCATTTATTGTTCCATTTTTTTATGGATATTCGTGCTCTTTTTATAAAAAGTCGCGTTCGAACGCCTAAGATCTAGAATACTGAGTCGGCATCCATCGGTGTTAATGAATAACTTTAACCAGTCTATGAAATTGAGCGACCATCTTCTATTGTACTGAGGTAGATACCTGTCTCTACCCGACACGGATTAGCTCCACTGGTTACGATTTCTCACCAGAACTCCGAGAATCTCCTCACGAAATTAGTCACTAGTGGGCACATGGTAATTATCAGTATAGGTTTATGAAGATGATTAAGTTTTTGATTGAGATCATGAACCGATTGACGTTAGACCACCATTGAAAACCTGGAAGAACTGGATGGCCGTTCGCGCGCAAGACTGAATTTCCTTGGTTCGAATCCTCCAAGCGGGATCATAGATGCTCAATGCTGGGAAGTCCCATAATAAGACGAAACGGCCGTCCAATGCTTCTAGGTTTTCTATGGTGATCTAACATCAATTGTTTCATGATCTTTATCAAAAACTTAATTAATTTTACCTACTTAACATTTTATAGTTGGTTTATTTGATAAATTAAATGGTTTATTGAATATTTTTCGGTTGTTAATCTAAGTAAATAAAATGTTAATCATTTATATAATTAACATTTTATTTAAGCGGTAAATGAACTTACTTTTAGTTTTCGGTGATAAGGTCATAAGTTAATAGGCATTAAATGATTCTATTATGAACCCAATAAAATGAAATGCGGAAAAAAATCAGTTATAACCAAAATTGAAATTTCATGCAAATATATTACTAACAAGAAAGAATTCAATTAATTCTGTAATAAAGTTTGAACTAAATCTATACAAAAGGAATGTTTAAGGATTGATTAGGGTAGAAAAGTATCATTATCAATGATGAATTTGAAAAAAATATAGTGGATATGTCATTCAATTTCGTGGATTAGTTGAAGTTAGACATTAACACGGATGGATGCCAGCTCAGTGGTCTACAGGTTAAGAGTTTATGAGCGAGACTAATGGGATCTGGGTCACAATCTCGCGAATCGGGATCGTGGATGCGCACTACTGAAGAGTCCCAAAATAGGACCAAAACCAATGCTTCCAGGTTTTCTATGCTTGTCTAGTTTCAATTGACCATGATCTCAACTATTAAAAAAATTTGTTAACAATTTTCAGTAAAGCTATAGAATATATAACAACGTCGAAAAGGGAAAATTTTATTTTAAAAACAACTAAGTAATAAATTGATTTCTTGATAGTACTCTCAATCCTTCCGTTTGAAATCTTTCTGGCATCAAAATTAACATTCTAATATATATATCCATTATGCGACAAGCGTCATTAAGCAGAGATGTATGGTGAACATTAACTCTGAAATCCAGGTACATTCAAATAAAGAGTTCCAAATAGGGTCCCCCTGCTAGCCATCTCTGCTTAATATTCTTAAAAATATCATTTGACCATACTGAGATGAACAATCAAAAATAAAAGATTTGAATAAATAAATTTCTTACATTCCCATTTGATTTATGCATACATGTTTTGCTTTTTGTCATTGTTCAAAACCAACAATTAGATAATCATAAATGAATTTTTAAATTTTCTAGCTTAACTTGCTCTACATAAAGAAACATTGTATGTTGCGGTTTGTTGATGATGAACTATGTTAGAACATGATCTTTACTGATCTTTACCGACCAGAACTTGTACTATTTATATCTAATCTCAAATAAAACATAATATGCATGTATTGTTCACTTATCAACAAATCTTAACACCCATTCATATTCATTTAATTATAAACAACAATAATCTTTTCATTTCATTGTGTAGTACTACTTCTCCAAATTCATTTTTCTGCATTTTATAGACAAGTAGAAGGACTTAAACCATTATTTACCAAAAAACTTCAAGATTACACCGCTGAAGTGAATGAAACAGTTAGATTTAGTGGGCGTTTAGTAGCTGAGCCACCTGCCACAATTATTTGGTAATATGTCGTAATTTTTTCTTCATTTTAAAATTTATTTCTAATATTAAGAATGTATGTATCATTACCAAGGTTTGACTTGATAGTTTCGAATAAATTGAGCATTGGGTAGATTGTTATAAATAAATTAATATACCTGTAATATCACAATAAGTAGAAAAATTAGATTTTCTGATGTTTCGTGACTCAGTGTAAGTCACTTCTTCAGAGAATAAATAAATGACCAAATCAAAATTAATCCAAGTTTAAACAGTGCAACGGAACAATGAGAATTTTATGTGATTAACCAAAGAACACGTCTGAATAAATCAATGTTATGTCATTTAGGTCAAGGTCATAAGCGACATGTTTGTTAATTTGTGTGTATGTGACACTGTTGGGGATGAAAAATTTGTGACCTATATGGTAAGAAAGGATAGAGTTTAAATTTGTAATATGGTAGTGTGAAATTGTAAATACGATCAGACTGAATGGTTAGGATAGATGGTCCAAGTAGGATGTATGGTAAGGCCTTTTCTATTGAGAGAAGTAGGATTAAGCATTATATAGAATTCTTCAGCTACTCTCCTTTCTTTGTAATTGGAAAAACCTTTTTGTAATACTTTGATATTTTTGAAATGGATTTGGTGGTCGTTGAAAATGGCATGAAGCGGCTTACATTGAGTTATGAAACGTCAGAAAATCTAATTTTTCTACTCATTGGGATATCAATAATCTTTGTGAATTGTTGTGATGAAGTTAATTCACTCACGAGCTTTAAAATCCAACTTTTGTAAGTTAACTTGCTTCCGACTACTTAAGACAATTTTTTCCATAGAACGTTGAAAGCAACACTTAGATACGGTCGGTACTTCCATGAATGACCGATGGACAATACCAGATATCACTGTCTGTTAGCTCTTTCTGGAGCCCCGCTACGGTTACTGATAGTCTCAAGCCCTCGTAAAGGAGATGGGTTGAGTGCAGGGCTAACAATCCCACCACTTAGAAAGGAAACATTACACAAAGACACTAACAAGAGAAGAGTGATCGAACCAGTGGTACAGAATACTTACTGATGAGACTGGGATTACATCTTTTATCCTAGAATATTGTAAGACTGTTTTGACTTCAGATATCTTTGTTAAACACTTCCCATATGGTTTTTGTATCATTTAGTGCAATTAATCAAAATACAGGTCTGACCAAGTTAATGTCATGTCAATCCAGTCAAAACGATTCTTGTGAGACATGTTTATGTATTTGTGAACGCGGTAATAGATGAAAAATGTGGCATCTGAAATGTGAAAGAATAGAACTTTTTCAGTTTGGGGTTGTGGAGTTTGCCGATCAGTTAAGGTTACCAGGGACGGTGTTAATGTAAAATATCTGCAGGTAGAGAGGTTTAATTAGTGGGCTCAGTAATAAAACGAATAAACACTTAAAGCTGCCATAATCTCATTTGTGAACTGGGATATACTAATGTGTGTAAGGACGTTTAAGGTGTTTTCAGAGGAGGAGTAAGCATCGGGGCAGCTAATAAAGGTTGAGAGTGGTTTTGTTTCATGATCAGATTATGATAAATTATTCTACAGTTCCAAAATCTTCTTGGTAAAGTATGTAGAGAGAGGATTTAGAATGAAATTGTTTCACTGACAAACGGTTATGAATGCTATATCTATCAGGTTTTCGCATACTGAATTGCTTCATCGGATGTAAAAGATAGTACATTAAGTATTTCAACGAAAAGGATTAGATTCACTTCAAGTTTTTACTCCCACAAAAGGTCAAGTCTATGTTCATTATATCTGAACCTACAGTTTAAGATATAATCAATCCCAAGAATGAGAAGTGTCGATCGTCTCTAAAGGGATTCCTTGATGCGAATACTAAAAAGACTAATTGTACAGTATTCTAGGAGCAGTCGAATACATTAAAATACGTAACTCGGTGTTGTAAAGGTTAATAATTATTCAAACCAGAAGACGTTGAAACATGGAAATCTTCTTTGAAACCTGTTCTGTGGAGGAAAAGTTGTCCTAATCTCACTACTGCATGTGACTTGGATAACATCTTACCATTTATAGCAAGATCTAGGTAAAGTGATGTATTACCAAAGCATATCTATCCACATTTAGCCGTGGTAGGCTCCGTCCGCCATTTTGAGCACCTCTGGGCTACCTTTTTGAGCTTCATTTTTAAAAGATTACAAATCTCATCGACAAGTCACACCAAACACAGGTTATGGTGATCGTTTAATTTTATCGCGATCATGTAACGGTTTAAGTTAAACAGCCAATGGAAACCTAGAAAAACTGGACGGCCGTTTCATTCTAGTACGGGACTCCTCAGTAGTGCACAACCACGATTCTGCCATAGAGAATTGGACGCAGGATTTTATGTTTCATGTTAGGACGCTTAACTTCTACAGTAGTAAGTTAGGATTCATTATTGTACACATCTGATCTCAATCAGTCCAAAATAATGAGTGGTTATTTCCCGTTGTCTTTAGTGGATACTTTCCTCACACTTGACATGATTAAACTTCACTAGCCATGACTTCTCTCTAGAACTTCGTAAATCATCTCTCAAAGTTAGTTATTAGTGAGTACATGATAATTATCAATATGGATTGTATATCTAACTTAGATTAGCTCGTGTTTTCAATACAAGAAGATTGCTTACTTGTTTATCTATCAGAATAAGTAACAAATCAAAATTCTTTAATATAAACAAACAAAATATTTGTATATTATTGATTTTTAGCCATTCTCAGCTTCTCTGCAATATAGTGGTTACAAAAAAAAACGAATTAAAGTTTACACATAATTAAGGGAGTTCAAACTGCATTGAAACAAGTACTATATTCTACTTCATAATCAATAATTTAGAAACTTAATGAAGGTACTCAATAAATCTTTAATATCATAATTCATTTTCACTTTCGTTATGATTTATTATAGGAAACATAATGGTATTCAAATTGAAAACAACAAAAGAATTGAAATCTATAATGATAATATTAATCCATTACTTATTATACAGAATGTAAAAGATGAAGATTATGGTGAATATATATGTTCCGCATCAAATGTACTTGGTCAAACTGAAACAAAAGCATTTCTATATATACAAAGTAAGTTAACTACAAACAATTTGACAATATATTTCTTCAACAGTTGAAATCATGGGTCCATTGAAGCTAGACCACCATGGAAAACCTTAAAGCACTGGACGGCCGTTTCGTACTAGTTAGACATTAACACAGTTTGATGCCGGCTCAGTGGTATATTGGTTAAGCTCTCGTGTGCGAGACTGTTAGGTTCTGGGTTCAAATATCGCGGAGAGCGGGACCGTGGATGCACACTGCTGAGGATTTCTATACTAGGACGCGACGATCTTCCAGGTTTTACATGGTGGTCTAGATTCAACTGACTCATGATTTCAACTATTGAAATTTCTAAAATCTCCACAAAACCTTCTTTGATAATATATCTTCTCTCTAATCTTTACAATTGAATATGAATTTTTAGAAATTTCATAGGTTGAACTCATGAGTCGATTGAAGCTAGACCACCATGGAAAACCTGGAAGCACTGGACGGCCGTTTCGTCCTAGTATGGGACTCCTCAGCAGTGCGCATCCAATTCTAAATTCGACTTTTTATTAATTTACTAATGTTTTTTTCATTTAGTTAATAAAATTAAAGAAGATGTAATGTATCCTATTCATAAATTCTAACAATATTATAATACAAAAATAAGTTTATTAATTAAGGTTCCAGGTTTTTCATGGTGGCCTAGCTTCAATCGACTCATGAGTTCAACCTATGAACTTTCTAAAAAAAACTCCACAAAATCCATTCTGAAAATATGAATTTACTTAGTTTAATATTGATCATTGTTTATTCACGTTATTTAATGATTTAATCGTTGAAATCATGATTCACTTGAAGCTAGGCCACCATGAAAAACCTGGAACCTTAATTAATAAACTTATTTTTGTATTATAATATTGTTAGAATTTATGAATAGGATACATTACATCTTCTTTAATTTTATTAACTAAATGAAAAAAACATTAGTAAATTAATAAAAAGTCGAATTTATAATTTTAATGAATGTCTTACTAGCAGTACATATTAAATTTTCAATCTGTTTCCCTTTTTCTTATTTTATTTGAACACATAAATATTAGTACAAACGGGCACGGAATACATATGCGATACACAAGTAACTTGATTCGTGTGTGGGCTGTGATAGTGCCTGGATAACCAAAACGAAACAGGTGGTTTTCTTAGGGGGAGTCGCACTCGGAGCCTTCGACCCAAAGGTTTAATCCACACGGCAGTGGAACGACGTCAGGAGATTCGGGCCCATTGTAACTGGTGACCAATAATTGGCTCATACGCCATTAGTTGCCTCAGGATCTTGGAGCCTATGTTCACCACTGGTTTGTAATGAGGGTTTTCCGACTGCCCTATCTGGATCCTCCATATCCACTAACTCGGTTTCAGCTCCGGACATTCGCTTTTCGTCCTATCAGTTTTGTAAACAACACTGGCGCCGCAAGAAGGCAGTGAGTAAGACTTCCTTGGCAGTGTCTGTATACGTGTGACCATGTGAGAGCATTTCGAGAGGGGGGATGACTCTCCTCACCTTCGACCATACCAGGGCATTCAGTGGTCCTCCTTTTTCTAGTCCAAATGAAGTGATCTGTGGAAAATTCAAAACATTTAATTTACAGTTTTTTAAAATAAGCTTAGAAAGCAAAATATATTCTCGTTTTCATAAATGGAACACATTAAATGCAGAAACATTTGGAATAATGAATTTTAAAAAATTCCAGTTATGACTCTTTAGGCTTAAAAATTAATTGATCAGTTAATTAGATCAAGTAAATTTATGTGCACAAACAAACGTTAATTAACAACTAAGTCAAACAATATGATAAAAGTGACAGTAGAATTAAAGAAAGTCTTTTATAGCTAGAAAACAAACTATTAATGGTTCATGAACATATCAAATTATCTTGAGGCTTTGTAGTAGACAATCGTAAGACAATTCGAAGTATCAAGTAATACAAAGTTCAGAACATTTCTAATGATTCATTGAAATGATTGGATGTATTAATTAGAAGCAAAGTTACGGAGCTGACAGCTAAATAAAAAGAACAGGATTTGTAAGATACATCATGTTCTTACGAAGAAAGTTGATTTATTGAGCAAAAGAACGATATTTAACACTAACTATGCATAATTTATGATACTCTAAGTGTTAATATTTCTATTAGGTTACACTATAAAATACGTCTGTTTTAATTAGCTTCAGTATTATCTATTAGCAATCGTCAAATGCGATCCTTACACGCATATATGCATACATCTGTAGATGTTTCAATATCATAACAGTTATAAAGGTTCATTTTCCCATAAACTAAACAAACTAACTGAGTACGATTATTGGACGTTCATGAAAGACAACAGCTTATAAAAAACTTTGATCGACAAATATAAATCTCCACTAAACACCTATAAAAAATACTATAACAACAATGTAAGCAGTAATCCTTCGATATGTCAAATAACACTACACAAGAAAAGTGATTTGTTGAATAGATCACATTTTGCAGCTTTCATATAAACAGTAGATTATAGGTAAACAAAACCAATAATTGCTACTAATAGATATTTAGTCTCATTTCGTTCGAAATAAATTTGTTTCATACATAACTTCTTGTTATTACTTTTGAATTCAAATTCAGGTACTTATATGAACCCAGTAGTTACGAGCATGATACAACTGAACCGTACGAGTCTACTGCTAGACCAACACGGTGTTCAGGTAATGTTAGTTTGAGATTTATTCTTGATTTTTAGATCATAAAAAACTCCATTCATTTAATTTCAATACACTTTAGTGTCACTCATAAGTTAAATAGTTTTTCATTGCCTTACATATACTCCAGGATCTTCTGTGAGATCATTCAGTTCACTGGCAAAAATGTAAATTACTGATGCAATCTGTAACGAATTTAAAAAATTAAATCTACTCGTGTGTGACCCTAACAAGAGCCTTCTCTTAGTCTCTTCACATTTCCGTTTGTCATTGAACTCTTTCGAGTTTATTAAAATAATATCCTCTTCTTCATGATTTGGCGTGGCATACAAATCCACGTTCGTTCGATAGTTGACACTATTTGTCTGTTGGATTCCTGGCATTGCTTCATCCATTTATGGTGCCAGAGACATAGTTCCATAAACCAATTGATGCGTGAATTTATCAACAGAACTATGTTGTTTTTCAGAATACGCCGAACTAAGAATACAGTATTTTTGGATGCCTGGCTGTCCAAGTTAAAAAAGGAAAATAGTTGTCAATAGTGACGCTAGTGAGGTTGTTGATGGCGTTTCGGAGACCCTGTAAGTGCCTGTGGCGTCAACAGTCGTGAACGTGTCGGCTGATGTAATGAAGCCGTATATTAAATTTGTATGTTGGAGAAGTGATCGTAGAGCACCCAATAGATCTTCACAGCCGATTAGAGATCCAACACAACAATTTGATACCAAAATAAATTTTCATTATTAATTTTATGTAGGTCCCATGAAACCAACAAAATCAAGAAAACGATATGTCAAATTCATCTGATAGGCAATTACGAAGAAAAAGTACCTAGGATCATTTTCGTCATCAATTTCATACTCACAAAACCAACCAAGTGAAATGGTGTGAGCTTTCAGTTTGGCGTAATCACCTACCATTTACAGTATAAATAGACACATTGCTTATCTGGAAGGTGGCCTGCAAGAACAGTTTGTGGTGCATGTTAAAAACATCTTGGGGATTCATGGGCTTCCCATAAGACTGGTAAACGAAAGTCACAATATTGAATGCTTCTGTCGCCAAAATCAGCATAGGTCGCGCTGTTTTAGATTCCGCATCCGTTAACCTGCGCATCCAAGAAATTTTGCCGTACCCCAGGAACGTGCACTCACGACTGTGATGCACATTCCCACGAACAACAGTCAAGTAGCCCTCATTAAATTTACAATATATGAAAGCCGGACATTGAGTGTTTATCGCAGCTCTTCATGAACAATATGATAACACTATTCAATTTCCCTCCTTCATTTAATCGGCTGTGAAGATCCACTAGGTGCTCTACGATCACTTCTCCAACATACAAATTTAATATACAGCTTCTGTTTTTTTTAACGAAATGAGAATCGCGAACTGCATAATGTTAGTTGGGCGCCTTTCCATTATTTCTGACGGCGCTGTTGGATGCTACCAGATACAACGTATTCAAGAACATGTTATCCGTGTCTGTAAAACGTTCGTACTATTGTACGTTGGTGCGTTATTTATTTAAGAGAAAAGGTGAACAATCGAGAAATATTTACTTTATATATCGATTTTTCAAAATAACTAACCAATACTTATCATTTTCAAACAAATCATTTAATTGGATGAAATGGGATGGAAACATTTTTATTAAAAAAAATATACAAAAATAACCTTTCGATCAATGATATTCGATAGGTTTACTTGTTATGATAAGAATTCATACTTGAATTCATGTTTCATCATGAGAAATAGGTCAATAACTGGAATATATCGATGCTAAAATAAAATTCATAAAAACTAGATTACGTAATAAGAAGTGTTTAAATAGTTGGACAATGAAGCGTATATTTGAAATAAGTGTGGGATGGGTTGAAGAAAAATAAAAGAAACAAGGAGTATGGAAAAATAATAATAAATAAAATCTTTTATTAAAACTTATTTGTCCAAGGAAGAGATGGTGTTACGATTCCTTATATATACAAAGACTTGGATTATATATATATATATATCAGAAGAGAGTTTTGTGGATGTTATGGTATTATAGTTGGGATCATTAGTCAACTGAACCTAGACCACCATGGTCCAGTGCTTCCAGGTTTTCCATGGTGGTCTCAACTTTTAAATCATATATGTATATATATATATTTGACTTAAAAACTTTCTCAATTAATTCTATTAAATATATAGTTGATTTACTCATGCAATGAATATGACAGTTAACGACATTTTACCTACTGGTTACTCTTTGTTCCAGTTTTGCCGTCAAGAGTAAGTAATATTGAACTAATTGAAGTAAACGATGATGGTTTCAAGATTGCCTGGGATCCACTAAATGAACAAGTGACATATAATGTGGAGATTAGTAATGATGCAGGTAGATGGTGGAAACCTGTACTAACCAACTTACACGAAGTTTCAGCTTACATCTCAAACGACATTGCGTGTCCTTTGAATCCCGTACAAGTAAGGATAGTAGCTGAAAATGAATTTGGCCTTGGACCACCTTGTTTCCCGGTACTTCGTTTACCTATACGAGCATGTCTTCCTCACATGCAAGCAGTTAAGCCAGAAGTTGAATCTGAAGAAGCAACGGCTATTAAAATTCGATGGTGTCCAGCGGTGCCTGCACTTACACCAAACCAACTGCACAAGAATGTTATGTTAAATCCATCGCAATTACTTGGTAAAGTAACTTACGCAGTTGAGATTAGGGAAGGATCTCAATCAGAATGGTGTAGAGTGGCAAGTGATATACCTTTTCGATCCTACACTTGTCACTTACGACCTGGTATCAGCTCTGCTATACGTATTGTTGCAAAAAATAGATATGGCGAGTCCTGTCCCACTCCAATGGCAATAGTCCAACTCGATCCTAATTCATTAGTTCCGGATTTATCACTAGACCCTCCATGGATAGCAATAAGCCACCCAGGAGATAATATCACAGTAAAGAAAAGTAATATTCGACTCCTATGGAAACCTGCATACATGCCAGAGTTCTGTACCAGTTGTATAAAAGGACTAAAACCTTTGTATCGAATTGAATGGAGGCGTGGATTATCTGGACATTGGGTTGATTTGGCTTGTGGCATTAGTGAATGTGAGACGGGTTATCCTCTCCCAAGAGATCTTGTAGAATCCGTGATTAGAGAAACTCATATGGGAAATGACTTGTCTTTCAACACTGCAAATTCTAATAGTTCCATTGAATTTCGGATATTTTCTTACAACGATTTCGGCGAAAGTGGTCCGACTAAAAGCTACAGATTGAAAGCATCTCAGATATCTAGAGGTCAAGATTGTCGAAAAAATAGTCAGATATCAGATAAAATAAATGACAGGGATCAATACGACCACCTAAGTCTTTTGGATAAGCTGCCGATTATTTCATCCAGTAAGATACCAAGACGAGAGGTTCAAATGATGTCAGTCGATCCCAAACTGGGTGTCACGCTCAAGTGGGATCGTTGTACAAGTTCAGATATAAATAAAAATTCTGATGATCACTATAACTTACATGGTCGCTATCGAGTTCAACGTAAAATTTCAAATGACGCTGACAGTAATTCCTCACCTGATATGTCTAACTGGACAGTAGTTTGTAGAGAAGATGATCTAATTCATGGTGAACAATATGTTCTTGATGTGAAACCGGGTAAAACAGAACAATTTGTTAGGATTCTTAGTTTACAAGAAGATAAAGAAGGCAATTTAAATTGGTTGGATACCCATGAAATTCTTCGTATACCAGCGTTACATGAAATCTGCCCTCCAGCACCATTAGATATAGAGGTAAAATTGACACCCCCAGTTGAAACATCAGGTTCTGCAGGAGTTCGTGTCACCTGGAAACCTCCCAACTTTGAACTTCCATTGAACGACGATTATTTAAGACAGATTAAAAATCATGCTCAAATCGACTATAGAATAGAAGCTCGTACAACCTTGAGTGACTTAGCACCTTGGAGACAGATTGGTCTTGTATCTGGATTATTAGGTAGTATAGATGACCATAAAGCTGAACCCGGTTCACAACTTATTTATCGAATAACACCTATTAACCAATTTGGTGAAGGTCCAAGTTCAAGTTCTTATCCAATCAAACTTCCACTTTTGTTAACAACTTTAGAAAGGTGAGTTAAAGTTTAGTTCATTCAGTTTTTCTAACAATTTTAAATTAGCTCAGCTTTTTACTAATTTACAGATGATAAATTATATTTGTCTTTCATGGTGTACGTTATGGAACGATCTTACTTAAACAACCATTGGAAATCAGGAAGCACTGAACATCTACTTCGCACTATTATGATGCTCCTTACCAATGTATATAAAGGACCTTACCGGGTATCAAACTCAGGATATTCGGGTCTCATGGCACTTGTTTAACCACTAAACTAAAGAGCTTGCATCCAGTTATTTAAACTTCTAGTTTTAGTCGATTCGCAACAATCCTCGATCAACATCCATTGGCATAGGTAATATGTGTCTCACGCTCGGTATGGCAATAAATGATGATCGTACAATATCACCAGGAAAATAAAACAAAAAATGAAAACTATCGAAACCTACCACTTAGACCTAAAAATTATCCGCTTCATGTGAGATCTGAATGCTCCACCTTTGGTCCCAGGTAGGATCGTGGATATTCATTGTTGACCATTCTTATCTAGGACGATAGAAGGGTGTTCATTGCTTCCTGATTCTCAATAAATGTCTAATTAAGACCATTTATTGATGTATACCGTGAAATCCAACAATCGTTATGTAATTTATGTTACTTATGTTGACAGATATAAGTAGTATGCAGTACCAATCGGGAGTGAAACGCCTGCTAGCAGAAGGTTGAAATGAAAAGAAAAGAGAATAAAACTGAAACTAATCGAAATAACAACAGGAATGAAGAAACGATTAAGTTTGTAGGAGACAACTGATGGATGTGCAAATGATGTATTTTATGTATAATTTTCATATTTTATGAAGGCTCTCTGTAATCTTGCATCAAACAATAAATTAATTTTAGCCACCTGAATTCTTCGTGCACTGCGATTATACACCGTTTCAGTAATAAAAATAAGGGTTGAATAGAGATCTCTGTAAACTCATCTTTTACAGCTGAGATTCAAATAATATAGTTATTCCGGATCTACTCCACCTACCTAACATATAAACATATTCTTTAAAATATTTGATCATTGTTTACTGTACAGTTCGTTTTAGTTAGATGGCCTATTATCGATGTGATTACTTTCTTAACTACCCTTTTATTTATTCTAGATAGGTTAAAATTGTTGCATAACATACGGCATATTATCAATAAATAATCGATAGATACATTGACACATTCGAATACAATTAATTTATCGTAACTTAAGCCATGGGAGTTTGGATTTATAAACCAGGTATAAATTCTATTTGCGAATTCTTTAAGATCAACTGGTTTAAAAGTTTAAGCCGCTAATTCTATAAAATAGTCATAAAAGCTACACTACAGAAATAATAAATTTATTTCAGGTTGCAATACATATAGTTGCTGATTATACACTAAAGTTCCCTACATTTAAGCTTTTTTTCAAAAAAAATTCGAATGTATTTTAGATACTATAATTTGTCTCTGAATGGGATATAACGAGAAAATGCATAACTTCTATTTAAGTAATCCAGAATATACGATATGAATAACCTAGAATTTCTTGACCAATATAGACGTTTGATGATCGTTACCTTTGAACAATTCCAAGTACTAATTATTCTTTTGATGTCTGATTTCAATTCCTGACGCAATGTGCTCCTTGGTCTCCCTCTTTTCCTCTTCCCATCAGGATTACAAGTTAGGGCTTTCCTCGTGATGCAGTTTGATGTTTGTCCTAACTACCTTCAGCGTCTTTTCCTAACTTCCTTTTCAGTTGGAAGTGGGTTTGTTTTCTGCCATAGTAAGTTGTTGCTGATTTTTCTCTCTTCTTCGTATTACTAACTTTTGAATGGTTAGAAGTTTCAGTCTGTGTGTGTGTTTAATGATGGATGCTTTTTATTTGAAACAAGAATAGTTGTGTTGGTCACATCACTAAAGTTCTTCGAGTCGTCCATATGGATAATTTCACCTGGTATTCTCTCTTTAATTTGTGGTCATATACTCGATAATTCGTCAAACGCTTACAGTGTGAACATGAATGGTTTTATTGTCAATATGTTTATTCATATACACTAGCATAATTTACTTTTTTCTGTCTCTGCTTACAATCATAGATGTATTGAAGATTTTCGTTTTCTAATACTTGGATCAAATACAATTCAGTTGCGTTGGCGTTTAGGTGATACAGTGATTGATGCATTAGGATTTCGGAGAAATCCAAATCAGTCATACAATATGACAAGTCATTTAGATACAGATGAATCAGCTGAAATATGTGAACGTGTAAAATTTTCAATTGAAAGACGAGATGGTTATGCTGGTGATTGGTATCCTATTAGAGAACAAATCAATGGAAATCTTCATAACAAAGTTATACTATCAAATTTTGAATATTTAGATAAAGAAATTGCTTGTAGAATAATTGCAAATGTGGATGGTCAACAAACTAAACCTAGTCGACCTATCAATATTAGTATTAAGACAGGTAAGTTAATTTTATAAATATATTTCTATTTGTAGTTTAGAGTAATATTTTATTTGCATATAAAGCGATTTGAGTATGGCTGAGGGTGATAAATGCAAGAAGTTAATAGTTATACAGTTATGTTATTTTGATGAGTATTAGATATATTCAGAATATCTTCTAATGGTTGAACTCATGAGTCGATCTAGGTTAAACCACCATTGGATGACCATCCATTGCTTCCAGGTTTTTAATAATGATCTAGCTTAGGTCAACTATTAAAAAAATACTACCATCTCCACAAATTCCCATTCTGATAATATTCAGAATAGTTTAATAGATTTTAAAAAATGTTTTTATTGTAAAATGAAATCAAACAGAGAATTTTTGGAAACGAGGAAGTAAAAGTAAGTTCTAACCTCATGGTTTGAAACCAATCATCAGTGAAAAGTCACGATCATAAACGGTATTGAATCTAAGAACACAAGATTTCTCATTTTTAAAACATTAATTTAAAATGTTATTATGCTTTAGGATGATCTGCTGAACTAACTTTTAACTAAGCTTCACAATCTTTTAAAAATAAATATCTCAGTAGATGACTTTAGGTTTTGGATTTCTTACTGTATATTTGGGCATAAACTTGATCTGTTGTGAGTACTTTTTGATAGCGAATAAAACAGTACACTGTGTTTTGTATAGATAGAATTAGTAACACGATATTAACATCCATTTTAAACTGAGTTTATTTGTAGGCACTCAAATTCCTATTGGTATTCGTTAATGTATGTAGAATTCTCAAGAAACCTTACTCTGACGATATTTCAACTTCATATATAATACTTCAAATCAAAGATTATTTTCCGTGTGAATTTTGTATTCATTCAAATTTCTGTATTCTATTTTTTTCTCATTACCAAACAGATTTCTTAGTTCCAGATTTCTCAGCTTTTAAACCACATTTCAATGTTACATCAGTTGAGGAATATTTGATATCATGGGACGATCCTGATATACAATCATTGTATACAAGTCATATTTTGAATTTATCAATACCACAAGTGTTACAAAAAGATACTACTTATGCAATTCAAGTAATGTGGAAATCTGTAGACTGAGTATTATTTTCAATGTTCCTTTGTGAAGATTATTGAATTTTGTTGTTTGTAACACAGATGTGTTAAGCCGAACTTATCCTTGACAATACTAGTGATTGAACTTAAAATTTTCATGGCTCGCTGAGAGCACTTGAAACTTAAATTTTTGGGTCAAAATCCAGTAGTGTGTAGTTTTAACTTCAGTCAATCTGTGAAACTACACGCTCATCACCTGATGTTATTGCAGAATCCTCCTTATCCTTATATAATTTCGCTATATAATTTGGATTTAACATTTTTAATTCTGTAACTAATTAAAAATAATTAAATTCCTCCTTTTTCTTAAAAGATCGTTGACCATTTACGTTAGACAACTCAACATTATCGGAATCCTTCTTCTAGGATTCACCACCATACTATCGAATGCATAGGTCAACACAAATACAAAACTATATATACATATATTGCAACATGTAGTTGACTATAAATATACAGAAAATCAAATCGCTCGATATTATTTATATGGTTTAAAATCCGATTCAGTAGAAGATGTACGTTTGCATCTTTATTTGTACTGATAAGGTTTTGTTGTCTATTAATCTGAAACTAGTTCTGTGCTTATGAAAAACACTTTGGAGGATCCCTACAATTTTAGCCATCACTTTAATTTAATCTCACTTTCTTTATGTGTCATTGTTCATCTGTAAGTATATTTACACTTACATAATCCATTCCATTAAGTCATGTCGTACCCATAATTACTTCTTCGTCAATTTAGTACGTTATCTATACTAACGTGAAATCTACTAACTCGCATTACAAGTTCGGGTTACAAAGTACTTACTTACTTACTTACTTACTTACTTACTTACTTACTTACTTACTTACTTACTTGCACCTTTTACCCCTCATCGAGGAGCATAGGCTGCTCACCAGCATTCTCCATTCAACTCTCACCTGGACGATCCTTGTTTTCAGTTTCTTACAGAGTAGTTTAAATCAAATACATGTTTAGAAAATGAGAACATACTTCCACCGACTCTTCTGTATATATTTTTTTATGAAAACATAAATTCGCTTGTTTAATCATCAGAATACCGCTTATAATCTATTGGGATTGTTGGATTTGACTAAATATCGTAAGATTAACGGAACTGATCAATGAATTGGTTAAAGAGTTCTCAGTTTCACAAGTCAAATTTTCTTCACTGAACTGCTTTAAAATGTTTATTTGTCTATGATTTGTTCATTATATGCTTCCTCGTGATGTTAATCATGAAAACATTGTTTGTGTTCAGAAAACAAAAACCAAGTCCACTTATTCATATGAAATATGTCCGATTACATTGAGCTCATTTAAATTTGTACTAATAAGCCACATATGAGTAACCTGTATCATGTTGTTTATTCTATAATGTTGGTCAGATCCTATCAATCAAACTGGAAAATAAAGACTAGTTCAAGTAACGGGCGTACTTAATATGATGTTAGATGATTCAAAGTAGTTTCAATTAGTCCGAGTCGATTAGACTAGTAAACTTTTTTTAAAATTTAAACGGCTAAACAACATGATGATGGTTGTTGCTAAGTAGACAGGCAGATGGAATATCGAGATCCCAAGACAAATCCCTCAGTAATAAAGTCTTTTACTGTAATATGCAGTAAAGTAGGTTTGAATCCTACGAAAAGCATCAGATCCCTTGACATTATAGATATATTTTCTTGGCAAGTGAAAGATAGAACAAAAACTAGCTTCAGACGTTCTTGTGAATCACTTCTGACTATCTAACACCATGAAAAGTATATAAATCACATACTTACCTATCTTTTACCTGGTTGATTTTTAAACATTCATGATAAGTATCAAAATAATTTCAAAACTAATGAATTGTCAGTTATTTAGAACACTTACCATTCAATACAGTGTAGTTTTGTTAGATAAACAGTAAACATTTATCACTATATCAAACCAAAAATTAGAACACTGAACAAAATCCATTCATAAATTTTCCTAATATTTATCAAACACAATCATATATACACTGGACAAGTCATTTTCCATGTTCTAATGATCGATTTCTCTTATTAACTAATATCGGAGAGATCATAATTTTTGGACGTCCTTTGAACTAATCATAAGTGACCCTGAGAAATTTCGGCCAATCAGGAAACAGTCAGTACAGAGTAAAAATATATTATACAAAACCAAAAAATTAGAGTGAATCAATTCTTTAACATGTTTTAAGAACAGCGAGACTATAATTTCTGGACGAACTAATCAGATTTAAGATAACAGTAGTCTATAACCCTCATTTAGTTCTAGTTCCGAAGGTCGCTCAAGCGTCGCTCAAATGTCGTCCATAAATTATAGTCTCACCTTAATAACTTACCGAGGTTAGAAAGTAACTCTACAGTTCTGAAATCGTAATACATACGGTACAGGAACATATCCATGTGACTCTATAATAAATGACCTCCTTTTAGCCTCGACCGCATCGCTTCTTTATCATTAGTGTGTACTCGCGTAGTAGAGTTTACAAAATATCGCTTGTGGACGATTCACGTAACCAAGTATAGATAGGCATCGATATGCTCTCCAGTTATCCGTGTATATTATAGTACCAGGCTGCACGTACTATAGTATAATTGGTATAATATTTGTAGCTTGTCGGCTGCTCACGCGCTAAAAGACTCCGTTGTGAGATGATGTATCATATATACTAAGAACCTGGTAAGCATATCAAACGAAGTGCTACTTAACATGTCTTGTTTAACAATTCTTCCTCCATTGAATATGTGTTTTCTAACGACCGATTTGTTACTTTCTACGATTCTCCCGATTTTTCCAAACGACTGATGCAAGCTTGTCATTTTTATTGCACATATATCTCAACAGTACTCTTACCAGTTTTGGTAACTGCTGCAAAGGTTGCAGCCACCGTTACTGGCGCTTTAATTCCCCAGTTTGCAAAAATGATCATAATCTGTCTTGATGTCGATCGGAATCTAGAGAAAAAAGTCCCCGTTTTTCCAGACTTTTCCTCCAACATATATTACAGTGAAATACAACGTCGTCACGATAGTTTGCACGATGTCCTGAAGTCATTCAAACACCGCAAGCACTAATAACGGAACTTCTCAGTAATCCCATATGTTGTAGCCGCTCAACTATAGCTTTCTACTTGAAATCCGCCGTAAACTGATCATATGTAAGCATTGAGTACTGAAATTGACTCCGTGACCTTGAAATCGCTTACTGTTTTCTGATTGGCTCGTCCATAGATTATCGTCTCACCGTTTTTAACTCTATATCATGATTATACATAGTAATATATGTTTTGCTTTCGTGTGTTATGATATTAATTTTTTTGAGTGTGGTATCATTTCAAGATACGATATTCTTGTCTAGAATTCATTTGGATTATGCCCATCATGATAGACAGCATGTAATTTTATTATAATTCCGGGTATTTTCTACATATGTTCGTCTTAATTAATAATCAAAATGAGTGTCCAATCAATAAGTAAATGAGTGAATTTTTTACTACGATCTTCGTCATGTTTTAGGTTTAATAAATTTTCACTTGTACTAGTCTTGGTGTTCTTACTTTGCGTTGTGAGAATTTCATTGTTTCCCTTTTCTTTCAACTAAAATAATAAGCGACGCGGATACAACAGTTTGTGAAAATTTAGTTTTAATCATGTTAAGGTTACTTTTGAGTCAACACAGTAGGTAGTTAATATCAATACCTTTGTTACTGTTATCGTTATTCATGTAACATATTTAGTGCTTAGTTTTAAAATCTATTACTTAGTCATTATTCCGTTGAATGTAGGTAAGATGTATTTTTAAATGATTTTATCTAACATAAGAGTGAATTTAATAATACGATTAATTAATTCCATTATATGAAGATGTCTCATCTCAAACAACATTCAGTGTTGGGTAAAATATATGCAAAACGAAAACTAGGAAATATTTGGTAACTATTTGACCCTAGTTTTAAACCCTTCAAGAGAAATCACCCAAGACTCAGTTAGGCATTACAATGAAGCTTACTAACTTGGCATTACATAATTTAGCTTTGATAATTCATAATTTCAAATTTACTTAAATCATGAAACTTTAAATGCACTACTGAGAATTTCCAAACTAAGAAGAAACAGTACGTCGATACTTTCTAGTTATCAATGGTTACCTCCATCAGACTTCATTCTATGGTGTTAATCATTTTCATATAAATTCATATCTAATTCATTTATTTAATTAAAAAATGATGATTACCTTGAAATTACTCAAAATTTTTCCATTCCCCTGTTTTCATTAAACTTTTGTTTAATCCTTTAATTTAAACTAATTTGTTATTAAGATTCAACATGAAGGTTCAATTGAATGGACAACAATAGCTTCTAATCTAGATACAAACCAATGGACATGGATCCAACCAAATCCACTGATTGGTTATCATGTTCGTATTCTACCGTCGAATCAATTCGGTTTTGGGCATCCAACTAGAAATGTGTTAATACCACCACAAGTTAGTAAGTAATATTAAATTAATTCTACTTCTGTAAAATGTTATAATAAAACTAACTTGTCAATGGAAATTGATTCAGCCTTACCAAAACGTCATATTACTACTCATTCTTTTATTTCATGAAAAAAATTCTAACTGATTTTTTTTATAGAATTTAGTGTGGAAATTTATACTAATTTCATCGTTCAAATGGCATGTAGTACATGACTTCTGGGAATCTAAATGGTTGTTCTCAATTTCTTCAAAATGAACGACACAATAATTTAATGAAGTACATTACTTCATATTAGTAAATCTATATAATGGTGTTACTTAGTAAATTACATTACTTAGATTAAAGGCAAGTAGTATTAATGTAGGTCAGTTCAGAATTGAATCTTCTGCAATTAATATCAACCATCACTTATGAAAATCTGAATGCCTACTAATACAATGTTTTTCATTAGAATCAAATTATTACAACTAGTAACTTCATATCCGTTGATGAAGTTAATTATTATTTAGATGATATAATGGGATAAGAAAATGACATTATTTGAGCCAATACTTGATGTATCATTTCAGTATAGATTTTGTTATATATGGCAATTGTGAACTCGTTTAGTGCTCTTTTCAGTGTGACTTTGTGTCGTAGAAACTGCAGTGGTTTCCGTTTCCCAGTGTTACGGCCGAGTAAATTCAGTTATTCTCGATTTTTAGGTGAAAGCAGTAAGACTGTTGGTTCAGCATACATGATGTGTACATAAAAGATTCAAATCCCCGGATATAATAGTGGCTATCCGGATGCAACAGTGGTGACGTAGATTTAACTCAGCCGATCACCCAATTACAGCAGTTATAATCCTGAACTCAACAACGTAACAGATAACAAGTCGAGTATCTGAAGTGAAAGTTATTAAGTATCAGCACTTAGACTGATGTACATTCGGCTCTCAGGTTTCAAACAGAAAAGAAACTTATGTCTTCTAATGCTGGTCACATATCAAACATACTAAAACTTGCGGAATAAAGACTCATCAAGGTAGTCCGCCCAAGATGACCATAGCAAAAAAGACTGATCGATTCCAGTTCTGAATATGGACAACAGGAAATTACAAACCACTATCAGAACTAAGAAAATTCCTAGAATTTCCTGTGTGTTTTCACTTAATGTTAACTCATTTATTCTTAGTTCACTTATAAAAGACAGATATCGACCATTAGAAACTTTCTCCTTTGCTTTAAATTTTAGTTATCCCTGATCTAACATTTATGCGGCCATCTGTTGAGTCACCGTCGGATATTTTAATTGGTAGAGTTGCACCAGAACTTGTATGGCAAATACCAAAATCGTATACTTTAGACAGGACATTTACTCCATACACATTTGAAGTACAAATTAAAGCTGTAGAGAAGTCAATAAATCGTGAAACTAATGATGTGGGCAAGAACTCTGAAAAATCTAAAAGCACAAACAATGAAAACATATGGAGAGTTCTTGCATCTGGTTTAAAACGTAACCGTTTGTCACTGGAACATTTAAATCCCGAACAAGAATATTGGTTACGTATAGTTGCTGTTACCGAATATGGTCGTGGTACACCAAGTCAACCTGTACGAAAAATGGCTGATTTAACTGCAAGTAAGTTAAGACTCAACAATCTAACAAAGTGCAAAGGGTGAAACTCAAATAAATGAATAGAAATAATAAGAATAACAATAACCATAATAATGGTAATAATGATCTAAATAATTTGATTTATCATATTTGACTAGAAAGTTAATAACTTAAAGAATTAACTTTCTGCCCAATACTCAATTTATTCGAAACTATCAAATCCAATCCTGACAATAATACTAACATACTCTTAAAGTCTTTATGTTAATGAACAATATCAATTATTTTACAAATGTTTCGATAATCATTTCTTTCATTTTTCTTAATTCTATGGAATGAAAAAAGAACATAGCCGATGTGCATCAGCATCCGTTGGAGTGATACATGAGCCTACACCTAGTGAGTTAATTCACTTGCCGACTGTGTTTATTTATCTCACTTTGATTAGTTTTTCCTTAAATTACACTTCTAACATAAACGATTTTTTGTGAAATAATATTTAAAAGATGTTCAATTTCTGAAATCAGGAGTGTTTGCCTCAAGATATTCAAATTATGGGTTAATAATTTTGGAAAGTGTTCAAATGGTAAATTCCATAAATTGAGAATTTTAGGCTTTTGTTTCCAACTCAAATGACTTCTATCAAGCAAGTGTCATAACAGTGAAATTAATTCCTGGCTCGAATATACCACAAAAATCACTGAAGTTTAATTTACATTAAGGCGATCTCATGTATTAGGTTTTATCATTGATTTAAAAACTTCATACCTGTTCAGTTGAATTATTTGTGGAGATAAGGTCAGTTTAGAGAAGGTGTTCATTCCGTATAACATTGAGTGGAAAATCAATCTAAATCAAAGAAATATAGACAACAGTTTCCTGTTAATTTCAAACTCCTTAGTTATACTCACCTATCTTGAATACTAGAATTAAGTCGAAACATTAAGACCCTATGATAAACATGAAATCATATCCAATACTCCACTATTTATATAGTCTCTTCAATATAGCCAATTGTTTAACTAGTAAATTTAATGTTTATCTTGCATAACAAAATTACGTTTCTTCATGTTACCATACGCCCACTTTATCAACAATGAAAACTTTTATTTTAAGTGAAAGCTGCAAAAGCGCTTGTTTTTTAACCATGTTGATCCCTTAAGTAAAACAGTGAGATCAAATAATTTTTGATTGAATTCCTAATACTACGTACAGTAGGTTATACTTGTACAACCGATTTAAATTTTCCATAGAAGTAGTTAACTTATATTATTATTATTGTCATTATTAGCTTTATTCAATATTATACTTTTTGTACAATATAGAATTGTCAGCGCGAAGTATTTCAACAAGTTTCCTTTTCTCATTTTTGATCGATCCTGACGGTAAGTGTTTGGCGATCACCAGTAATATGTCAGCAGTTGTGGAATCGACATCTGAATGATTTTCGTTCCTTTCAATGTATGTTACTGGCCACGATGATGTTGCTAATTGTACCTTTTCGTAACCTGTACAGCGAAATATCGTAAACTTTTCATAAACGCGCCTGAATAGATTGTGCGCTCAATAGATATGATGATGTGTTAAAACAAACAAAAAACAGATAAGTTGTTGAAATATCTAGATGGCAGGAACAGGTAGCCCAGATATTCAAGCAGGCAGCTACCACAAGTATAATACATAGTGACTAGTGAAACACTACAGTATTTTTAGAGGACTTAGTCATCTCATCCCGGTTTGTGCTTGTGACCGAATAAAGAGTATTGTCATTAACTGACACTTTTCGGTCTGTATATATTAAGTTCTGATGAGAATCTTTTAACTACAGTAGATATATACGGATATAAATAAGTAACAATTATAAACACAAATAGTGATTAGAAGAAACATTATCCTATTGTTTTCAATGTAAAATCATTACTTATCTTAATAATACATAATTATGTTTCTGAAAATACGTTTTTTCTACATTTCAATCTTAAATAAGTATCTATTAAGTAGCACAATATTTGCTTTGAAAGATATAACTAAATAATTGTTTTACATTGTACAGTATATGTCAATGACAACAATATCATTTATAAGGAGACGCCGAATGATACAATGGATATTGAACTGCAACCTATATCTGAAAATCACTTTATAGATTATTTCTTTTATCAAGACTGAAGAAGAAGTGAATTCGAAAGAAAAAGAAACAATTGTTTAATACATTATGAAAAACCACTTAAAATAGTAAATCATACTTGTTTGTATGTTTCAGTCAAATCTTATTTCAGTGAAAACATGTAATTATCGACTAGTTTTCGAATATGTACACATGTATATTAACCGAAATGTTGGAAACTGAATGTTAAAAGTAGAATATTATTGATATATTTAAATATTTTGTAGGTCACTTTTACTTTTGAAATACGTAATACTGTTGCTGATATGAGTAGTTACTTAATCGTTTTGAATGTGTATTTTTAGTTGCTTAGTCTTTTCGATAGAATGTAAAATGTCATTAAGTGAAAATGTTTTAGAGTTCTGTCTTTTTGTGCTTCTAGGCCTAAGAACTTTAAATTCTGTATTGTTTAAAACCTGTTTGATGTACTTGTTTTAGGTTCTAAGGTTAGTGACTTATTTACAGTTCACTGAAAATGTATCTACTGTATGAAACTGAAACTGAAATTTCAATTACTCTAACTTACATTATTCGAGAAAACTAACTAACTAGCCACAAAACTCAATAGTCTGTAGTTACTTGCACTGATAATAAGTCTCCTTTTTTCTCTTTTTCCATGAAGTACTTTGACGTCTTTACAGAATGTATTATGAGTGTAGTTAAATTGCTGTATGGCGAAGGAGGAGATAAAAATTATTGTATGGTCTTTAATTATAATCAATAGAGTAATGCATAATCTGAAGAACCTTATATCGTGTTAGCTATGATAATGGTTATATGGAAATAATCTGATTTACGAATTTCGGAATATTCCATCAAAATAGAGGGAAGATAAAAATACACTTACAGAAGGATTGGGAGAAAGGTTTTACATTATGCTTCTTTGGTATGAAGTGACCCAATTGTGAACTAAGAGAAATAATGGGACTGAATACGTCTGTTTGGTTCGGTTTCATTCTATTATTCTCGATGACTCCTCTTACGAAGAGGAGAAATAATCTCAGTCCTAATAATAGATCATATGAGACTTGATATAGAACCGAAAACGCTTCGTTCACTTTATAAATCCGGTATTTATTAAGTAGGGAGGGACAGTACTATGCAATGACTTGATGATTTACTTCCTTGATCAGCCTGAAGCACATTAGATAGAGTGCTAAATTTAGCAATAAAACACTTGCAGTCAAAAGTGTTATGCTCAAGTGTTGAATTTTAGCTTTATTTTCTGTCCATTTCAGTAAAATATTTAAACTTGATAAGTCATTTTATGTCTTTTTATTTGTAACATATGAATCATAATTCAACAAAACAATGATAATTTGAGTGGTATATATAATCTAAATACTACTATAATGGTTCCCTAATCGCTATTCTGTCTTTATGTTTTTGTTATCAGGTTTTACTATTTCCCGTACTGTTATATAATTTCATGAAGTTGAGGTAATGACCTTATTTTTAGAAAACGCTATACAATAAGAGTACTTCACTGTTATCTTAATTTTGAAATGGTTTCAAGTTGATTTTTGTCTATTTCAGTATTGAGTATATATGAGAGTCACGTACTAACGGCTTTGAAAATAGTGACAAAATATGAAGAATTGATTAGAACTAGAAACTCAAATCAATGGATGCCAGATCAGTAATAATAAGGTTAAGCACTTGCTGCAAGACCTGAGTGTCCTGAGTTCAATCCCTAAAGTGGTCGTACACAGGTACTACAATGACAAAACAGCTATATATTTCTTTCTGGTTTTCAACGGTTAGCTAACTAAGATGAGTTCATGATGTGAACTGTGAAATTCAACTATCTCTGTATATTGTCTATTGTAAAAACAGATAATACCCTGATTTGCTTACATTTATTATAATATATTCAAATAATTTTATTGAAAAAATTTAGAAGGGGTAATAATACACTTCAGTGCCTTTTATTTACAATTCATAATGTCATCATGATAAAAATGGCCATGACTAAATGAATTAAGGTCGTTTCATTAATAACGACTGTACGAAATTGAGTATTATCAATCAGAATATACGTAAAGCAAATACTTAAAAGATTTATTCTCACTTTGATAAAAGAACATCACATTCGATGGAAAAAAGATAATTTAGTATGTATAAACTCATGGTTTACTTTAACATGTATTCCATCTAAACGAAGCTAAACAGCAGTGTGATGTAATCGTTTTTTCACTTCATAAAAACATTTTATTTAAACCATTGGGATTGTAATCATAGAGGGATTTTGTGGATACTATAGTAATTTTAATAGTTGAATTCATGAGTCAACTGAATCTAGACCACCATGGAAAACCTGAACGCACTGGACGGCCTTCACGTCCTATTGCGGGACTCCTCAAAAGTGAGCATTCACGATCCCGCCCTCCGCGAGATTCGAACACAGAGCCTATCAGTCTCTCACACGAGAGCTTAACCAATAGACCACTGAGCCGGCATCCAACGGTGTTAATGTCTAAATTCAACCAATCCACGAAGTTGCGCCACCGTCCGGCGGGATCGTGGATGCGCACTACTGAAGAGTCCCATACTAGGATGAAACAGCCGTCTGTGATTTCAGGTTTTCTATGGTGATCTAGCTTCAATTGACTTATGAATTCAACTATCAGAAACAACAGTAGGATTGTGTTAATAAATAGTCTGATTTCGGATTATATTTGTTACGTCACACCTCTACTCCTTACTTTCTCATTACAAATAAACATTATATAACAAATTGACTTATTAGTGAGATTAATTCGATTCTTTCACTATACTAAATAAATTAATTCATCCCGATTTTAAGATTCAAATAATATTCATTAATTAGAAAGTAAATCCTTTTTATCATTAGTGTAATTCATGTAAGAAAGTTTTTATAAAACTAATACACAGCTTCGTTTTAATAAATTTCGTCTATGTTCATTATGCATTAGATCGGAATAAATTATTCAGGACGGTTTATTATATACTTTCAAGTTTTTTTTCAATAGGATTCGATCTCATCTCACACATATAACACAAGTCGTAAGGTTTCTTCATATTTAAAAACTCGCCTATACATATCTCTCCCCTAACAGAATAAGAGTTCGTGAATAGTTTTTCAAATTCTTAATACTGGTTTAAATCATTCATTCTGGTTGTTTAAATATGTTCAGCCCAAGTGGATTGCCTTGATATCGCCATTAAGTCACAAATATTTTTTAGACTTAGATGGTAGCTAGCAGTGGGATCAATAGCGCGCATTTCATCCTACTTGAGACTCGTCAGAAGTATGTAGCAATTTGTTTGTTTATTGTCTTAACCTCTTACATACCTCTTTCATGCTATTTACATTTTTGATCTTATTGTTTACTTATATCTTTTAACAGAGCAATTTTTAATACTTAATATCTTAACAAACTGATTTTTTCAATCTCTGACCTACCCTATATGTCAGTAGAAACGTTCATGTTATTAGGATGTTTATTAATCATATTTTTACTACTTTACCTGTCGGTTACTATCAGTTTTTTTCACTTTACTTATTATGTTTGGTCATGTTATCCTCCTTCACTGTTACCACTGTCTCGTAAATTCCTTTGATTGGTTTAATACTTTTCATACAAGCACGCAAACATTAAAGTATATAAGAGTGAAGCTCGATGATGATCTACTGAGAAACAATTATATTTGGTCAAATGTCTCAATTCAATTTACACGACTGGAATTTTCGATACTTTATAACTTTTAAAAATTAGAAACAACTGATAAGCAATCTAATTTTAATTCGGTACTACTCTGAACTGTAAATTCATAACCTCAAACTGTATAGAACCCATGCTCTACAAATCGGAAATGAAGCACTTCAACTTTAACCCAATAAGTTAAAACCTAGTGTCTACAATTTGAACTATAATCAGTTAGCGATGAAGTGAAATACCTCCATTTTTAGTATCAGTCCCACTTGTGATGCACAACATAATTATTAAGATAGTTTTTTCCATACAATTTGACCAGTGTGCTTGATAAATTTAAGCACATCAAATTGGACGAAATGGCCGTCCAGTGCTTCCAGGTTTTCCTCGGTGATCTAGTTTCAATTGACTCATGATCTCAGCTATTAAAATTACTATAATATACACAAAATTCCTTTCTGGTACTTCAAAAATAGTTAAATTCACAGAATAAAGTAAGTTAATATTATTTCACGGCTTCTTTGCGTTATCTTTAAATATCGTTACAAAGATTTCATGTACTTATCACTAAGTAAATGATATATTATGAGAGAAATTGATAGAGTATATTACAGTAATACGTACAAAGAATACAAAAATCATCTCAAGATGCTTTTCAACAAATCAAAGTGCCTAGTTAGTATAAAATACAATCATTATATTTCAGATTCTTGATTCAAAAAGAAACAGTTTTGTTTAATCTCTTATAGCTTCACCATCATTTACTGATCCAGAAACAAGTGTGATTTATGCACCAATTTATGGTCAATTGGAATTAAAATGTACATTTAGTCCTGTTAATGCTGAAAATGAAACACGTTTCAATTGGTATTTTGATGGTAAATTGTTAGATACAAATGGTATGTTATCATATTATCATTATTATCAGTACTATTTTACATTTATATTTACCCTGAATAAAATTGCATGTAGAATTCTATGAACTATTTTAACTAGTCATGAAATAATTCTATGAAGTTTACTACTAACTATAGTTAGTGTTGATGTCATTACACAATGTGACAATAACAGCTGATCAGTTAAATTAGGCAAAGATGGATAGTAGCTAGCAGCGGAATCCAGGACGAACGTTTCGTTCTAATTTAAACTCGTCGGCTGGTTGTACTTGCATCTCACAGTTGATATTCACTCGGGGACTCGAACCCAATACCATTAGCCTCAAATGCCATTGCGTTATCCACTTAGCTGTTGTGCCCTGATTGCCACCTGCTTGTGCAATGTACATATGTCAACATGAGACTGATCAATTGCAGTCCTAAATAACAATGGGAAGATACGAGTAAAATAACACCAAGTGAATTTATTCAGTTAAATATTCTAGGTTATAGAATGAATAGTCATGTAAAATATGTACAAACTTTCTTTATTTATGAACATCAAAAAATGACATACTTAAGATTCATGAAACTGAAGAGAGAAAGATAAGTGTTATATATATGTGGTTCATCTAATGAATCATAACTTAGTAAAGAAAGAAATATAGATGATATCTTCTGTTGACACCTTTTTTCACCTGTAGTGAAATTCCTGTTCATTTACAAGATTTTCAACTGATCATTGTTAATGATAGGAAACAAACAAACATAAAATGACGACATAAAGAAAGATATTGGAAGATTTGTTGTCAACTACAAATTTCTTTGTTTTATGAACACAAAAACAACAAACGAAATCACAGTTAGATTGATTGACATGAAACGGTATTTTATCCCATATCAAAATAGGAGCAGGACCATTTTTAAAAAAAAGGCTAACACATATTTTATTTATCCAAGAAAAAACGGATTTAAAGAGTTCTGCAAATGCCATATGACTATTGACAGTCATCACGACATCTGTAGCTATGATCTTCCAAAAATTCTATATCCTTCATTGAGATTTTATTTATATACAGGCGAATACAAACTTGAGATTTTTGTTTTGAAAAACTACTTCTATAGTTTTGATACTAATTAAAAAGAATTCTAAAATAGTGTTATCTAGTTTATTGGTTACTTCCTTATTTTTGAGTCCATGCATCGTAGTAACTACACAAGAATTTGAAGGGAGATTAACCATTAAACTTCTACCTGAAGTGTGTGCTGATGATGTCGTTCGGAAGTACAATGAAAGCTCAAAGATCAAACCATCTAGCTTAAAAAAAACTCCATCATAATCATCAGACACTTGTTAATATATGCTTTAAAATATGTTATTAAAATTCATAATGTGGAATGAACTCAGCAGTATAAATTACAGTATATTTGTTGATAATACATGATAGAAAATATATAATTTAAAAAGATTCTAATAAATTCAAATAGTGTTATTTTACTCGTATCTTCTCATTGTTATTTAGGACTGCAATTGATCAGTCTCATGTTGGCATATGTGCATCCTGTGTGAACTGCCTCGATATTGTTTGAAGTCACGAGCTTTATAAGCAAAGATGTATAGTGGTTAGTACTTGAATCCAGTTTGATGCGCGTCTCGTCCCATTTGGGACTGGTCAGCTGGATGTACCTGTATCTCAGAGTTAATGTTCACCCCAAGACTTCAACCCATTAACATCCGCTTCAAACGCCATCGCGTTGTTCACTTAGTTACTGAGTCCCGATATACACCCGCTTGTGCAATGGAGTGAAGTTTAAATTCACTTGATGTTGTTTTACTTGCATCTTCTCATTGTTATTTATGACTACAATTGATCGGTCTCTTGTTAGCATACATGCATCCTGTGCGGAATGCCTCGATATAGCTTTAAGTCACAGACTTTGCTCAAAAAAATTTCTAATATTTAGAAGTTTTATTTATTTAGATTAAAAGTGGGATTTATGGGAGATAAACACTAAGTGTTTAAATAATCATTAAAATAATACTACTAACAATAAACTGACTATATTTTATTTTAGTAAATACTATTTATCCAACTTTAAATCAGAAATTTTATAGTACAGTATCCAAGTCTGGAGATACAGCTGTATTACATTTGAATGGTTTAAGTGAAAATGATTTTGGTTCATACATCTGTAAAGCAGTGCATATATTGGGTACTAGTGAAAAAGAATTTGTCGTAAAAATGGCAGGTAAGTATAAGATAATTTTTTTTAAAAAATTGAGGACATATTAATTTGAACTGATTAGTAACACAGTAACAATAAATTTCAAATCAATCTCTTGTTTATCATTACTGATAACCAAGATAACTTAAATGGAGAACGTTTCATTGAATCAAATTAATCATGAACTTTTTGTTTATTAGGGATAATCGTTAATTTAAATGATTGTTAATATGAAATTTTGTCACAGAACAGTGTAAACTAATTCACTTAGTTCGGTCTAAACAATTTCGTGCGCTGTATATTGAAAATATTTAACCCTGAGATAAGTTAAGATAGAGGAATACTTCATGCCAATCATATCAAGAAATCTGTAATGATCCGTAAAATATATGATCAATGGATGAATTGATTGAATTTCGGAGATAGTATCAAAATTCGGCTAAAACGTATAGTCGGTTATACGGAATCAAATAAGCTTAATTTTTTTACTTTGTGAAATAAACTCCTACTAACAAATTATTAGTCTCATTTTTATAACTTTTATGTTTATTGGAAGTGAAATAGTTTAATCCCAAGTGACTTTCAACTGAAATAAGCAAGGTATAAAATATATTCTTGTAGATTGTGAAATGAACACAAACAAGTATAAAATCCACTTGGTGTTTTTTTACCTGTATCTTCCCATTGTTATTTAGGATCTCAGTTGATCAGTCTTATTGGCATATGTGCATACTGTGTGTATTGCTTCGATATTGCCTTGATTCACAAGCATTCTAGGCGAAGATGGATAGTGGCTAGCAGTGGAATCCAGGACAAAGCGAGTTTCGTCTTATTTAGGACTCGTCAGCTGGATTTACCTGCGTCGCAGAGTTGATGTTGGCTCCGGGACTCAAACCAAGTATCGTTCGCTTCAAACGCCATCGCGTTATGTATAAAATACGAATCTCGTGAATTATGTAACTAATTCTATCGAGTTTATGTATCAAAATGTCTGACCAATTCACATATTATTCCTTAAGACTATTCGTTTTATTGAGCAACACATTCATAGATAAACTGTTCAATAACTCAAGCCACCGCATTTTTTCCTCTACTGAACTTTTTGACAAGAATATAACATAACTATAAATCCTATAGTTAACAATGTAATATGAACTTAATTTGTATCTATATGAGTTTTTTGTAGTGGAAAACATTTTTCCCCTACTTTCATACGATTTGCTTTTTTTCCACATATTTTAGATGCTCCTGTATTTTTAGAAGTTCCTACTCCATTGTTGACTGTGAAGTTACATTCACGTTTTGAATTGCCTTGTTACATTGATGCGTTACCACCTCCAACGATAATTTGGACTAGAGATTCAAAAAGAATTGTTGAATCACATCGTACAAAAATTGGTAAAGCTGAAAAACAATCACTCAATAGAACGCCTCGTATGTCAAACTGTGAATTTAGTACAGATGCAACGTTATCAGTAAAAAAATGTATTTATCAAGATTCAGGCTTGTATACGTTAACAGCTGAAAATATAGCTGGTCGAATAATGACTAGTTGTTTGATTCACGTTGAAGGTATTCAAACAATATGGGCGGTATTTTATTTTTAAACTATTTATGCTTAAACTGAGCACGAACTAAGAGGTTTGTAGTAATTTGTTCAGAAAATCTAACAGAGGCCTTTCATACAATTCTTCCTATATACAGGTTACCGCAGGTACATGTAAATTCATTGATCCGTATGAGGTGACATCAGAAGGGTATATAAACATCAATGTTAGCAATGTTTATTCATACACTTTATATTCTATTCCTCTCATGAATATGATTTCGGTTGCATTTTGAACAATTATCTCAACCTTACGAACTAATGGACGCTAAACATTTTTTTAAGAATTCTAGTCATAATTATAATTTTAGGTTGTATGCAGCTGGTGAAAAACCGTTCACCAGAATATATACATATTATTCTACAAACCTTATTGTTTTTGCTCTGTTTAAATTTAACAAAAGGTCTTGTTGTATGAAATATTTGTGTTCATACTGATAATATTACTTATTGATTAGGTGTAATTTTTTGTCAAATAGGGATATTTATAGATACGTTTATCGATTAAATAGTGTAACGAATTCGCTATCACTTATCATATACATGGGTACATATTTTGGTATTTCTTTGGACATTTTAATTGGATAGTCAGTCCCTAAACTGTTTAGTATTACTAATTTTCATTAAAAACATATAATAAACAATGAATCATCAAAAGGCAAGATGTGTTATCTTTTACCTAGTAGTTGAAAACTCCTCAGTACTTTACACAAACGATAAATGCTTCTTTATGCTTATCATCTTTCTCAATTAGATGTCAGTTCATAGTAAAAACCAGTTTGACATTTGTATTTTGCTTATCAGTTAACTGTAACATCTGTGTACTAGTCCGAAAACAAAAACCAACCAACGTAATCTACTCTACATCATAAAGAAGGGAAAATGGCGTAAATTTTATAGCCATTTATTATAGCAGCACATTGCCATAGGTTAGGTTAACATAGCCCTACTTTTATGATCTCCATGATTTTAAATACTCATCAATTTTTTTATTTCCTGAAAAGTTTCCATGTTCCTATTGTTTACATTCAGGATTATTTTTAATCAGCTTCTATTTACATGTGGTCTTCTTAAACGGATGATATGCCGTAAAACTTAACGCCATTTCGTCTTGTAATTGATGATAGAAATCTCGAGAAACGAATTTCAGGATATCACTTGCTTCCCTAGTAAATAATGAATTTAAAATTGCAACCAGTTTTAATTTTTGATTCCTTGTTCAGAAAGAGATTCTCTAAAACCCTAACTTTGAAACAAAATCTGGTGCATAATTTCTAGAAATAATCGCTGACTACTTACTTGTAATGTGTTCATTATTGTATCACTTTGTTTTATTTATGATTTAGAAAATCCAACACCGACTAAAATAACTTTGAGATGGACAAACATTGAAAAGCATTATTTTGTACTGAGACGACTTGAAAGGTAAATTATGAGTGATATTTCATGAGCAACTATTCTTATATCTTTTTTTAGCTTGATTTAATTATTGTCCAAATATATCAAACAGTTGTTACAAAAAGGATGATGGGAAAAATCCTCTTAGGATGTACGCATACCAATAAAGATTAACTAGAGTTCATAAGTTTGACAGCTAAAGGATTCAAACTCTTAGATATAACTCCATAAATACTGAACACATTAGCTATTATCCTTACCCAGTACCCTGGTGGATGGTCCACGGAACTTTGAAGAAATAACCGCCCAGTTCATTTCTCACTTTGAATATAAACGTGGAGACGTTAACTAGTCCAAAACAAGACGAAATATGCATTTTTGTTCTTACTGCTAGCTAAATTCCAGTCGTTATCTGTACACTCATTCCAACCATAAACGTCAGCAGTAGTTAAAATGTTGATGAGAGGTGATCTTATTAACTCTATTGTAATATCAACAAATCTATTATCATTTGTAAGTATTATGTTGTGCAGATTGTTGAGTCTCAATAAAATCATGAACCGATCCATGGTAGACACCTATTTAAAACCTAGAAGCACTGAGTGGCCATGTCGTCCTATTATGCGTTTGTGCGCGAGTCCTGTGTCCGGTTTCCGCATGTAGAGTCATGGATGAGCACTGCTGCGGAGTCGCATCATAGAACGAAACGGTCGTTCGGTGCTTCAAAGTTTCCAGTGGCGATCTAACGTTGATCGGTTCATGATTTCAATAAAATTTATTATCAGGTTGAACATTCAAGTATAAGCTCTCATGTACACCAAAGATCAAGTTTAACAAACATTCATGATAGTAATGATATCATTGTACTATAAATTTAACAAAGGTCTTCTAGCCTTCTAGATTGTTTACGCAGCTGCATACATTTTCAAGAACAACTAAGATAAAATCGGCAATTAAAAGAATTCTCATTGCTAATATTCAAAACTTAATTTGATCAGCCTCTGAGGACATGCTTTTTTCTGAATAATATCGTCCAAATCTTAAATAGTAGCGACCAGTAGAAACTAAGACTCGTTTTCATCTTTGACACGATTTGTCAGTAGCAGCTACCTCAATCTAAGAATTGCGGTATACACTCAGACAACATTAGAGTCTCTATCATTCCGAAGTCTATCATAATACATATTTTCTTAACTTAAGCGTTTACAACTATGTAACTGATTCTTTCATTTTGAGTTGCAGAATTTTGTTTGGCAACAAGTGAAATAAAGCTACTTAAAATCAGACGTTTTCTAACGGAACTTTATTGGTAAAAATAAATAATTCGAAATAATTCATATTTATCTTCACCGTTATCTAGAAGCAACTCCACCCGTAGCTCTTTTGGGGCTACTGTCGGTCCCAAGCCCCAGTAAAGAAAGAGTGTTAGGCATGGGGTTAGCAACCCCATCCGGTATAAAATAACCTTTCTAAAAAACGATAACCAGACTAAACAATTTACACCACTAAAACTTTGTCCGCTGAGTTAAAGGAAGAATTTCGACGCCTCAGGATGAAAGCCGAGATCCTTCGGAGGTCATGAGGCCGATGCATCTTCTAACAACCAGCGCAACAATTTTTATAGGTACATGGAACGGCCGGACAATGTGGGAGACCTGGACGACCGGTCAAATAGCAACGGAAATGAGGAGATACAACTTGGCGATTCTCGGAATCAGTGAAACCAATTAGACCCAAGCTGGACAGCCAACTTCGAGATCAACAAATTGGATTCCGTAGGGATCGGTCGTGAACAGACAAAATCGCGACTCTACGGGTCATCTTTGAACAATTAGTTGAGTGGGACTCGTCACTATACACCAACTTCCATGTCTATGAGAAAGAATTTGACCGCGTGGATAGAACATTATGAAAACTTCTTCGACACTATGGAGTACTTTAAAAGATCTTCAACATCATCGGGAATTCATACGACGGGCTACAATGCAAAGTCGTGCATGGAGGGAAGCTGACAGACTCAGGCAGACAAGGCTACCTATTCTCCTCCTTTTTCTTTCTTCTGGTGTTTGACCAGATTACGAAGACCTCGACATCTGAGGGTAAGCACGGAATACAATGGACAGCTTGACTGCGACTAAACGATTTTGACTTCGCAGACGACCTGGCCCTACTATCCCATACCCACTAACAAATGCAGATGAAGACAACTAGTGTAACAGCAACTTCTGCATCAGTAAGCCTCAACATACATAAAGGAAAAAGCATGATCCTGAAATACAACATGGATAACACCAACACAATCACACTTAAAGAAGAAGCTCTGAAGGATTTGGAAACTTCCTTGTACTCGGAAAGCATCATCGATGAACAAGGAGGATCTGATGCTAATGTAGAGGTAAGGATTGATAAATCAATGGCAGAATCCCTACAGTTGAAGAACATATGGAACTTGAAACAACTTTTAACCAAAATCAAAGTCTAAATCTTTACTACGAACATCAAGACAGTTCCGCTACGCGGAGCTGCAACGTGGTGAACTATAATAATCATCTTCAAAACGGTACAAATATTTATCAACGGTAGTCTATGCAAGATACTCAATATCCGTGAGCTAGATACCATCAGCAATAGCCTACTGTGAGAGAGGACAAACCAGTTGTTATTCATTTTTGTATTCCAAGTTTCATGGATCGTTTCCAAAGTAGGAAATATCACCGATTCTTAACTTTTCGCTCGACAGAGATCTAGTCAATGTTTTTTCTATGATATCATCTTTCATAAAAACTGACTTCAAAAAATAAAAGTATATTGTTTTTATGAGGAGGGGTTTTGTGGAGATTTTAGCAATCTCAATAATTGAAATCATGATTCAATTGAAGCTAGCCCACCATGGAAAACCTGGAAATTGGACATAAACACCGTTGGATACCGGCTCAATGAACTAATGGGTGGGCGCTCGTGCGCGAGATTTATGGGTCCTGGTTCCGAATCTCGCGGGGGGCGGGATCGTGGATGCGCACTGCTGATGAGTATATTATTTTTATTTAAAATTAATTCAAAATTTCTTAGTATGAATTTGTGTCATTCACAGAAGTGTAAGTTTATAAATTCTTCCATGCCGCTTCACTTTTTATCATAACCAGACATACATGATGATTAATAATTAATAACTAGTTACACACTCATATACTTACCTAAGAACAACACTTTATGTATTAAAGTTAGTGATGATACCTTATTGCTCAAACTGAAATGCATAGTGTTCGATTTAAATTTGTAATCTGGTGTGTGGAAGTCAAACATCTTAATCAATGATCCATCTATTACGTAATACGTATACATCAAACTATTTATGTATATTTCCCTTATCTTTTTTAGTGATTCATTTTCAGAAACTCACCTATTAATTGATAAAAAAACAAATCATGAATATATTGGGAAATTATTTAAATTAAATAATACAATCAGTCGTATAAATGGTGCACGTGAAATGGAATGTTTAACACGTTTATGTCATAAAAATGTTTTACAATTAATAGATGCATTTATCAGTGATAATGTTCTTATTTTAGTTTATGAAAAGTAAGTTACCATGGTGATTATTATTATTTTTTTAATTTTAAATAGATTGAATATTTTGTCTGAAAATGGCTTACTCTTAAAAAAAAAATAAGATTTGTCGTTTAAGCAGTTGTTTATTAAGAAATGTAATTCTGAATAATCCAAGATTAAGTAATATTGTGATATATGCTACTGATGTTGATAGATATATAAGTAGTATGTATCATTAATTAAAAGTGAAATACCCAGAGACAGAAAATTAAGAAGAATAAAGAAAAGAGAACGAGAACAAAGAATGATTGGTGTGGAAACGAAAGAATAATGAAGTCTGAGACGATTGACTAATATTAGTAAAAGGAACATTCAAGTTTGAGACAATTAATTGACATTTTGAAAATGAAGTGTTTACTGTATAGTTCTTAGACTTTACTAAGATGTTCTGTAATTTTCAATCAAATCGATTGATTAGCCAGGATTTAATGAAACCAGGTAAGTAGCATAAAACGAGCTAAAAGCGAGTTGTCGTTGCTGAAATAATCTTTTTACAACCATTGGATGCTATACGTATTGGAGAGTCTTGGAGGAAGTTTGGACAATTTCTTACAACAAAAGGATAACCGGAGAATACAATACAAAGAAACCGTCCAAACTTATACTATTTTTACAGCTGCAATATTTAAAAGACTTAGTGATATTACGTTTATTTTTTTACATGGACCTATGTCAACGTGACTAATTTAATGACTACGAAACCCAAAAGCAATGATATCTAGAAAATGAGATGGCTTGAAGATATGAACATTATGTACCAACCAGATCATTAACTTTTGTCAGGTCCTGGAGTATTGGCAAAGTTCTCTACAATCCTATTTTACTCTGCTATGATACGATATCTCTGTCGACTGAAATGATAATGAAGGAGATCCCTAATAAGTAAACCATACTACTGGAGGTACTTCATTTGAAATAAGAGGGTCGTAAAGCATCATCACGTGAGGTGATCCCGAATGGTATCTACCAAGGATTCTACTGTTAACGTTTCAATTTAGATTTTTCATAAAGATATTAATAGAGTTCACTTTGTTTAACTTCAAACAGTGTAAAATTGAATAAGTATAAAGTAGTAATCAGGTTTATACGGTCTTTTAGCAACGATTTTGTTTTGATTCCAAGTCATACGAGCAATCCGAAAAGTCCACAAATTATTAATGCAAGTTTTACATAGGAAAATGTAAGTAAATGTTCTACTGTTGATATGGTGTGAAACATAGTTGAGAAAAGCAAGGTGAAGTAGGTGAACGTGTAGATCACTGTAAATTTAGATTTGTACTAAGGTTGATAAATATTCATCAAGGAAAACGATACAGCCATGGAAATTTTAATTAATATTCATCAACGTATTTATAAACCTCTCTTAGTTACTAGATGTCACATTGCACTTTAATCAAATTTTTGAAATATACATGTAATAGTTCTAAAAATCAAAATTGGTACTGGATGGTAGGAGACAGGCACAAAGATCTGTGAACATATACTATACATAAATGACCACCTATCTATTCATGATGTGTGCAGACAAGGTTTGATCGAGACAAATATCTAAGAAACAAATAATTGATTAATTTCACATAGTAGACTGGGATTAGATATAAATATAGATATAAAAAGGTCCTTCAAGGTTACGATATGATAATTTCCTCTTATTTACTAAACAGCACGAAGTTTTCAAACTGATCAAATTTAAATCTTCGACTTGAAGTTATATTCTTCAACTGAAACTTTCCTACATACTGACCAGTCTGAAAAAAGTATCCTTTCATTCGACAAAACAGCAATAACAACAACAACAAAACACTAATAACGAGTTCATTAAAAAGTCTGTAAGAAATTTCACTTTTTAAATTACAATCTATAATATCAACTTTGTAATCATTATTCAATGATTTCATAAATTAATTATAATAATTTCAATACTTTTTCAAGATTGTCCGGTTCAAATCTACTTGATTCAGTTCTGGCATGTGAAAATTGGTCAGAAATGGGAACAGCAGCTGTTATTCGTTCAATACTGGAAGCATTAGAGCATATTCATAATCAAGGAGTAGTTCATTATGATATTCAAGTAATATTTGTTTATTCAATTAAAATTGTGATTATGTATACATACTGATTGTGAATTTTGTGGAACTGCTAAACGTTTTCTTTACAGCATCATAGTTTTTTTTTATTTCGCTGTTTCGGAGACCAGCAGTAGAGATAATTTAAGTCTTCTGTAGAGAATAATCTGGTGACCAAAAACCTAATTTGTCATTGATAACTAATGTTTCTTCTGTTTGATCCTTTTCTTTTCCTTTCCAAATAGCTTTTTTTCAGTCCCAACATAATATCCTGCTAATCTACTGAATTGAGATTAGTATAGTGAACAACTGATGTGCTTGATACTTTTTTAGTTGCTTTCTCAGAAAGATTATGAAAACACGTGAAATAAAAGGCTAAGACCATAGCTTAATTCATTAAAAATCGCAGAATCTTCGAACGACACGTCTCTCATACTGTATATAGGTTCTTATGATTCACATGGCTAATTTAAGCTAATATACCTAAGAAGCGGAAAATTCAACCGATGTTTTAATTGATGCATTAAATGGAAAATGTGGTGAAAGGTGAGTAGAAATACTCTCCCCATTTTGTTTGCATATGTTGTAAGGACAGTACTGTGGCAAAGGCAAAACAAATAGTGCATTTCTACTGCTTTATTGGAATTAAGCTTCAGGTATTCCAATATATTTAAAATCAAGAAGGTAGGAGAAAGCATTACAACGATAAAATTCCTGCCCGTCTAATCACAAGCCGAGTTCTCTTACTTTACAAAATATCCTATAGAACAACTCAGGCAAATAATTGAAGTACGCTGATCAAAGATTTCTGAAATCAACCAAGTATTAAAGTTTACTCATTTCATTTCTCAGTTATTATTCAAACAAATACAATCAATTAAAATTCAATGGAACACATTAAACAGTAGACCAAGTTTATTGCTAACCCAAGTCACAAATGATATAATACTCAGAATAACTTTGTAACTTACGCGTTTATAAGCAACAATTTTTTGAGTTTACTATAAAACAGTAAACAGAACCTGATGCTAGCACTTTGTAGTTTTCTTCCCCACCAACCTTTCATCTTCACTCTGTATTATCTTTAATCTAACTTAATAGTATTGTATTGGTCATATAAATTTAACATATAAATGACCAAATTATCTAAGTTGTGCAAATTCGATCAATCAAATGAGAACACTACAAAATTATCAAGTACATAGTAAAGTTTGTAACCGTCAAAATAAATTTATTTATTACACCAAATTATATTTTAATGATAAAATAATATCTTTTGAACAAATTACAACTAAAGTTCAAATTATCATAAGTTAAAACACGATCTACAATTTCTGCTTTTTTAGCCTGAAAATCTACTTTTTGTAAAGAAAACAATCGATAACTATGATTGTGGAAATTCATCGAACAATCCTGATTTACTAAGGGCTCTTGCTTCTCTAGTAACTGATGTATTGAGTCAAACAGATCGTCATAAAATGAATGTTTTCAGTAATTTGCTCAAAGTTACAGGATTTTCTACAGCACAAACGTATATTACTAATTCCCAACATTGTGTAACATGTGTACCTCCATTACGGTACAGGCCGGAATATGTTTCTCCAGAAATTTTATTACTAGCACAACAAACTAATGAAACAGTTCCTGAAACTATTCACACTTATTCTGAAAATTTAGGTCCACCTTCAGATATATGGAGTCTCGGAGTATTAACGTATATCCTGTGAGTTTAATAAACAAAATAATCTAATTTAGCACTAAATAATTCAGTGTATAATTTCTAAACCATTAAAAAGGGATTTATTTTTGGATGGTTTTACCATTAAAAAATTAAACCACTCAGAAAAAAACATACACTGCACACCACTGGATAAATATTCTGTTATAGTTTGTTACTAAATAATACGAGACTTTCAAGCTAGTGATCTAACCTGAAAGTTCCAGGTTCCATGAAGAATGTATAACTAAAACTTCACATATTATCCCATACTAGTTACATGAATAGGTTTAAAGTGAGAAGCAAACATTGCTTTCGTTGTTTAATATCATATAATAACTAGGTTTTAGGGATTTAAGTGATTCAACTAGAACCTTATAGCTTAATGGTAACATACTTATAAATTAGGCAGAAGGGAAATCCATATTATGCAAAAAAATTCTAAGTTAAGATGAAACAATTACATTGACCTTGGAGATCGTCAATGACTTCACAAATTATTGCAACTTATAAGTCTATCGAATTTAATATTTATTTTAAAATCTTTCGGAGGAATATTTTTGATTGACAATCTTCCTAGTAATGATAATGTTAATAGTTTAACAAAACTTGAATTTTTCTCTATACTGTCAATCACATTAATTTTTAACTACCACTATACTACATCGTTTGATTAGTTAGTTTAGTTTGAGTTTAAATTTCATGAACTAGTAGTTCTTAACACAAAATCAGCTACTATATTGTTTAAAAAAACATTTGCTACCAATTATGTCAACTACTTATAAGTAGTAACATAATTTATTGAAAAGACTAATGACACAAGTCATTTTAACTCAGCTTTTAATGATTTAATTTTTTTGTACAATAGCAAAACAACTAGTCGCTAAAACGTTGCTTGAATACTTTGACAGTTGGTAAAATGATTTTTAAAAAACGGGTGAAATGCACTGGACACAGATCATCGTAGGAAATGTAGAACAAGGCTTACTGCTAAAAATGTTTAAAAAACTAATTCGTCAATGACAGTGGTATTGGTTTCCTCTTTGATCACAGGTTTTGTTTTATATTAATATTAGGCCAATGTATGATAAATGAACGTAAAGTTTTTATCGACATTGGGGGCCCTTATGTAAACCCAATGATATTGTATTAACTGGTGGCTAGTTATGATAAATTTAATGTTTGGTCATAACCTTAGACAGACTACCAGTTCACATATATCCATGTACTTCTAACTGATTATTTCCAAATGCGGCACGATTTAAATTTCGCATTCAACTGTCAGTTACTATCAAGAGTAATACAGAATTCAGGATTCCTGAAAATTTTCACTTATGTATATCAAAATCGGGATGTGAAGATTGTTGAATTTGAGATCACTAGCCGATATAAGTTAAACAACCGTCGAAAACTTGGAAGTGATGGACAGTCGTTTGATTCTAGTACGAGACCCCTTAACAATGTGGATTCACGGCAATGCTACCTGCATTCGGTCTCTCACGCGAACGCCTAACCTCCAAACACCGGGTCAGGAACCCATGGTATTGAAGTCCAAATTCAATCAGTAACCGATATTGTGCAACCATCTTTCATCGTCTTCAGTGGGTAAATTCTTCACGCTTAATACAGTTGAGGTCAATTGGTCAAGACATAATACTAGAGCGCTGTAAATTTCCCCCCGATGCTGATCACTACTGAGCACATGCAATTATATCGTCCCTCCAGGTTTTCAATTGTTTTCTAAACAAGATCGGTTCCTGATCCCAACCATATGTTTAAGAAAATAAGCTTAAAATTCATTATTCTGTTCAATAGCAATCAAATAATCTATATTCATTTCATGATAAAGAATTACCATATATTATGTTAATAAAAAACACAACTTTAGAAAATACAATAAAACCACTATTTGAGAATAGTATATCCCTTATTTGATGTACCCCAGTATTTATCTAATGAATACAAAATGAAATAAAAACAGCCTTACAACACTTGGTTTAAAATTTATTTTGAGTCGTGTTTTCATACAGTGTTCATTGATTTATCCCTGTTATTTCTATTATCTGCAGACTTGTCGGTTGGCCTCCTTTATTGATTATGAGACAGGTAGTATTCTAACTGACAATATATTACAAGCTATTATTCCATTCGATGTACCAGAATTGGAAAATATTTCAAATGAAGGCAAAGATTTTATTTCACAACTTTTACAAGCTGACCCTACGTAAGTGTTAGTATTGTGTAATTACTTGACATAGAACTGTACAATAAGGATTCATTTTCAAGACATTATTCCCTTGAAATCTTTAGTATGAGTGAGATAATGTGTCCTAAAACAAACATCAGTGTATATCAACGAATTAATGATATAACGCTACTTTCAGATTGTCTTTTGGAAACGTAACAGTAGCTGTATATAGTTACTGTGTACATCAATGAAGTACTTTTGCTAGTACTGTATCCCCTAGGCTGAACGAAATTCGGAAGGTCCTTCCCATTCAGTTTGAGACTAATCATTTGGATATACCTATTTTACTCACTAGCTCAGTAGATAACGCGTTGGGATTAGAAGCGAAGAGTACTGGATTTGAATCACTGAGTGAAGCTTAACACGGATGCAGGTAAATCTAGTTGACCAATTCCAAGAAAAATGCGTCTGGATTTTCATTGCTAGTTACTATCTCTAGTTAAAATACTTGTAATTTGATGTCAATACTAAGCTAACGCGCTTAGCAGGTACATATGTTCAGAATTATTTATCAAAATTAAATTCTTAACATCAACGGGAAGACCCAAATATTTACAAATAAATAATATTTCCGAACTAAAAAATCATTCAGACGTGGATTTGATGAAAAAATGAGAAATCAAATCCTGTGTATGTGTTTTAATTAATTGTTTCAGTTTACCCCGAAAGCAAAACCTCTAATCACTATTCATAGGGATTTGTTCTCCATAACCATCAATCTCAGAAAAACACAAATGAATCGGTTATATTTACTATTATGTGTAGTAATAGTAGTAATATCGAATATATTATACTAGCTAATACGTTCCCAGATCTAAGCAGTATGTTGTCTTAACAGGACTAAAGATAAAGAACTCAATGCACACACTTGTATGTATTGTATTGAACTTTGAACTACACAGTAAAATATGAGCGACACATTTATTACTGCAAGCGAACACTACGGTTTTTGTTTTATGAAGCATAACAAAACAAAGCTTGAATAGAAATCGCTTTATTATAATATCAATGCATTATTAATATGGAAACTCGTTAATTTTAGACTTCAGTATATAAATGATAGATTAATATTTTGAAATATTTCAGAAAAAGACCTTCAGCTAAAGAATGTTTATCTCATCCATGGATTCAAATATTTTCACATTCTGAAAATAAATCAGAATATATACTAAAAAATTGAAGAAATATAAAGAGTTCTATAATTCAATAGTAAGTAAATAAATTGTTTTTAGATAGTTATTACCTTGAAGTGAGCAAGAATAAAGAATTAACTCATGATTTCAACTATTCGAATTTCTAAGTTCCCCACAGAACACCTTCTGATAATAATCATTTGCTCATTAGTGACTGACTTCAAGAGACACTTCTGTAGTTCTAGTGAGAAGCCGTTACCAGTGGAGTTCAACAAGGTCTGTTGTGAGATATCAGCTCACTGAAGAAAACAGTGTACGGTGGAGCAATTTGGTGGATCGGTTGAAGTTAGACATTAAAACCATTGGATGCTGGCTGTCTCAGTGATTTAATGGTTAAGCGCTCGCGCGCGAGACTGATAGGTTTTGGGTTCGAATCTCGCGGAGGGTGGGATCGTGGATGCACACTGTTGAGGAGTCCCACACTGGGAAGAAACGGCCGTCCAGTTCTTCCAGGTTTTTCATGGTGGTTTAGCTTCGATTGGCTCATGATTTCAACTATTGAAACAAAGAATAGGACAGAATAAAATGAATTCATTTTACTTACCTTTCTTGTTAACTTTCTTGATATTCTATAGAGTATTGTCAACAAGTAATTTAGTGATTTGAATGATTATACAACGCAGTGATTTTCCAGAAGATTCATACATATAAGTTATTTAATGAATTCAGGTTATTCTATTTAATTGTTTGTTCTTGCTATCTACAATTTATGGAATTTTTTTAGCCATCTATTTATATATCCATCTGCAAATATGTATTATTAGTTTTTACTTGATATCAGTTAAAGCATTTAGAAACCAAATAGTGTTCAGCTTATACTTCACTCAAATTTAAGATTATTTAAAAGACGTCCACCGCTTAATATAATCCATAGATGAAAAAACTAATAATATTGAATAATCTCTTTGGAAATAAACAGAGTCTGAGAAGCTTTCTAGTTCATTACAATAAATAACATTGAAAAAATATATAGGCATACATCATGTGCTTGTTTATAAATCAAAATGTGATCATACTACCCGTCGGTATTAGGTTTAATTGAAATATTAGTCATGTGAAGCGAATTAATTATCTTTAAAAGTATATATTAACTGAAAGGTTAAATGATTTTACATGCAGTTCTATGAGTCGTTGTTTCAGAGTAATACAAAGATGACTTAATAAATTTCGCTGATAAGCTGACCAATGTCACGTTTCAATCCATAACGTTCAGAAATATATGGGTAAAACCACTTAAAGATTATACAATAGGCTGAGGATTAATAACTTGGTTGATTTCCAATGTTTATTATACAAACAAATAATGATTCGGGTACTGGTAACTAATATCAGCTGATGCTTTCGATAATATATTATACTTAACGTTATTTAGTAAATTCAATTTTTTCATAAAAAAAATCTTAATCTAAATATTTTAATTCCCCATTGATGTAACTTTAAAATGTCCATAAAGTTTTATCTAACATAGATGTTTACTAATGTAGCATTCAATATACAAAAAGAAACTATTCTACCCAAAGAATTCATATTAATTACAATCTTCTTAAATGAATTTCAATTAATTTAGATAATGGATAAGTAAAACTCATAGTTTTTTATGAAATAAGACATTTCACAACCGGTATATTTTGTAAGTGTACTCAATTACATATTAACATAACAAACAAATGTACTAGAAAGTTTTTGTAATGTATTTAGAAATAAAATCCTGTGATCTTCACTTTAAATAACATAATATCTACAGAGATCAAGGTGGATAAGTTTATTTTCACAATATTTCCTGCACTTTTATTGTATATATTAATCTTTTTATTTTTATTTTTCAGCAACCAGTTTACCTTATCAGTGATGAGAAAAATTATAATTCTGATTTGAAAAATCATTTAGCTTCTATGATAAGGCAACCAACTCCAAGTGAAGATACAGAAAGTGTACTTTCCTCACGATCATCATCAATTCTTGGTTTACGAGAAAGTTCCGAGCCATATAGGTAAAACAAATATTGGAAAAGTTTCTCATCAGTTACTAATAAACGACTTGTGAAAATTGATTCATTTGTTCTCAATGCTATTTTATTGATTTATTAGGATCATTCTTTGGATTTACAATATGTTCATGATGTAACAAAGGAATCTAATAAGATTTATATTTTCTCAGGTGATACAACTGGTAGATACGATAATAGACTGGGCACAATAGACCACCATGTTAGATAGTACAGTAGATTATTATACCACTACACTAGATCACGTGATACACCAATACACAATTCCGATTAACCATTGAGAACAAGATAATGTAAACCAAAATAACCTTTCATTTATACAGTGTAAAATCCCAAATCCAGTTTGGTGAAATCAGTAGTAGTAAAGAGTTCACAGTTGTATTTTGTCTCTATCTCCACTCACCAACCAATATCGGATCACTAATCCATGAATTAGTTTACCGTCTACCCACTGATTTTTAAATAATAATGGGCCTTCATCATTTCAACATTTGTGTATATATGCAGACACCTTTATATATCTATTAACGGTGGTTTCAAGTCTCAAGAATGGGCACTGCTACAAAAGCAATGTTATTATATTACCTGTTTTCAGCTAGCTAATCAGACGATCAAGAACTCAATGTGTATGACTCACAGTCATTTGATATAATTATCATATCAGTAAATGACGACTATAAATACTGGTAAAACTAATTATATGGTTGTCATAAATTAATCTTAGTAGGTGTGCCATTAAAATTTCAGGAAGAAACAACTATGCAGTCCTCCCCAGTTTTTAATGATATTCAATGATATCCCGACCAAAGTCAGTCTGTGATGACTGTCATCTGTAAAATGAATAACTCTCTTCAAAACTCTTTTATAGTTCGCATAAAATCAACTGTAATTTGGCTCAAATTATCAGCTTCAGATAAACCATTAAGCGAACATTTATCCTGCATATCATTTTGATTGATCAGATCTCCAATTTCATTCAATTTAGATAAAAACATACACATTTCAGTTCGAAATACACCGAAACGATCACTAAAATTTCATTGGCTAGACACTACTACAATTGCTTCTTGAATCCAAACATAATATCAAGAACAATAACTAATCAGAATAACCAAACGTTTTTGTCCACGTATTTCAATATTTGTTATAATTTAAATTCAGAATACGTATTTTTTCCCATCTTGGAGTTGGTAAAACAATCAGAATATGAAACCATGGACTAACAATGTATACATTTAGGGACTCCATACGTCAGACGAGAATGAAGGTTTATTCAGAACATACCATCTAATCTGAGATTCTAACCTTTGAATAAAACAATAATAATTGAAGAGATTTTTTGTAGTCATCCACTTACTCAAAAAGATTAGACACTCCTTCTACAAGAAACGCCAACAAATTTCACTATTATGTTTAACATTCTAAATACTTCACTGAGTAATCACAGTTACAAATGGGGTGAGACATATAAATCCGATAATGACAACGGTTAAATTTATTATATACTATTTCCTTTAAAAATATTTCCTTTGACTAAATAATTCCTTTTTTTTCTGGAAGTGAATCTCAATCACAACTGCTTGATCGATATGAGGCACATGATTTTATTGATGAAAGATTTATAATTCCACCAAACACCAATATTCCTACTGCAGATGACGCGTCGGAAATAATTGAGGAGAAATTCAATTTACAAAGACAAAATACTCTTACAGAAGCTACTTCCTTAGAAGAATCAACTTATACATTAATAAAAGAACAAGAAAAATCATCAGTGAATCCTGATCAAGAAAATCAACCCACTTCAGTAAAACGTAATGAGATTGAAAATAAATTTAGTGGTAGGTCGTCTTTAATAATTTGTTTTTGTAGAAAAACTTGAAATCAAAAAATCAGAAATATTTTAATTACGCTGTGTTCCTTTCCACGATATACTACTTGTGCCAGTTTTAAATGAGTGAAACGTTCGCTTGTTGTTTATATTATTGGTAATTTAAACTTACAGCCCTACATTTTCTCATATTTTCGCATATTTTAACAGATTATTACTTTTTTCTATTAAGTAACCAATTGAAATTGAGAGAAATCAAGAGCTTTTAGGAACAACTAAAAGATTTCTTAGTATGAAATAACTAACCCCTTTGACTTCAAGAAGCAGTCACTTACATACTAATCTGAATAATTGTATTATATTGAATTTCATTCATTTAGATGTGATAAAAACTGTATCTGTTTCAATCAACACTGATTTTTAAAAAAAAACGATTTTTTCTCTTGATTTAGCTCCAGTGTTTGCTAGTCTACTTCGAGATGCATATTTCAGCGTCCATACAAGAGAAGTGAGATTTACTTGTCAACTTGCTAGTGCTCCCTACCTTCCAGAGGGTATTAGTGATTATGAAGAAATTATCAGTGAAATATATCCAACCGGCTTGAATTTAATAAAATCACTAGTTCTTCGGCTGCTGCCGCATGGTACTTAGATGGTTGTTTACTTTCCGATGGTCCAGGTGTTAGTTTAGGTGTAGAACAAGGGGGATGGTTATGGCTTTGCTTAAGTGATCTTCGTCCGGAACAAGATCGCAGTGTTATTGAATGCGTGGTAAGAAATCGTGCTGGAAAATCAAGAACAAAAGCACGACTTTTATTTAGTGGTAAGTTTCAATAGTCTTCATTTTTCGTAATTTGTCCTTTAATTTAAATAATCCTATTTTTCATAAGTAATGTATTGTGCATCATGATCCCAATCACTTCATTCAAATATCTAGTCGTTTTGCCATTGCACGAGTTATCCCCAATCTATACTTTGTATTTTTTGTGAGATACATGAAATATGCTAGTATCAAACTTATTTTTCTTTATTACAGATATGCCGAAACCCCCTGGTAGACCAGGTCTTATCGATATTCGTCCTACAGAAGCATTGATTAGTTGGCTATCTTCAACATCAGATTCGAATGAAGATCTGATTTATCGCCTTGATATCAAATATTCAGGTAAAAATATCCTTATATAAAAAGATACTATTTTGACTGTGACAGACAATAATTGTGCTTATTTGTGTAAAAAGTTACCTTGACCAGATATAAAAACGTATTATATATATATATATATATATATATATATATATATATATATTAATTTTCAGATCTTTTATTTCAGAAGTTATTTGATTAAAGGCAGTCATCAGAAATCTCTGAATCTTGGTTTCGAACCGTTCGGTATTCGTCAACTAAGCATATCCAGCATTTTAAAGGAATAGATGCTCTTCATGAGATTTAAATCTGTACCATCCACTATCACAGACAGAGACATTATCAATGAAAAATTCATGTCGCAAGTCACCTCCTGTAGGACTGCATAAAATGTCAAATCACTAAATGACTAGAAGTCACGTTGTAACTTGATTTATAGGATTTAAGCAGCATTATGGATTGATTAATTATTCGTCATTAATTACAAAGTATTTTTACGGTCGATAACGTTAACAGTTTAAATGCATAAGAGGATAAATATCATGGCTCTACAAGACGTATACATTTTAGTTACATATTAAATTAGTAGTCATATTGCGGTGAACAAGAACACGAGTGGGGACAATCGAATGTATTTGACAGGAAATTACAGAACTTGTAAATAAAATATAACAACCATATATTAAATGCTCAATTTGCAAAATGACCGTCAGTTGTCTCAAAATGGCTCAGACATCATTGTTCTTGTATTTTCATACAAATCGCATTCTGTTTCCATTCTTTACTGTTCGATCCTCTCGTCCCTCTGCTGCCAGACATTCTGTCCTGACTAACGTCATATACTACTTATATCAATATAAGCAGCACACACCACAATATGAATGTTATAGGGTATATGATAGCATTAATAAATTTATAATTATTCTTGAAAACTACAAAGAATCGATCAAGAAATAAGCCATAAAACACTTTAGATAAATACAATCAGCATTAAATAATTTAAGAGAAATGTATGTCAACTTATGTCAATTTAATCGGTTAATTCACCTGATAAGATTCACTAACAAATATTGTAGAAGTAAATTAATTCATTTCACTTCATATACAACTACATACTTCACACATACAAATTTTCGAAGTGTGATGTTTTATAAATGTTTATTACGAAATATATACCAAATAATAAGCAGTTAATTTAAATATTTATAATTATAATCAATGACAGTTACAGACTTTATTCTAACTCCAATTGACCTTAATTCATATACATCACTTAGGCTAAGCCTCATCGATTCCTTTAAGATCATACGTTCATCTTACTGACGAGTCCCAAACAGTACGAAACATAAGTTCAAGTTTTTCCCTGACGACTACTGTCAAACACCGTCTTACATCATGACCCTAACTTGTACAATGACAATATTGAAAAGCCAACTTTGAAATGTAGCTGAATACATAATATTTCATATATTCACATACACATAAGTGAAAATTGAATAAATGAGACTGCTTGGTTTGGTTATACGACATCTTTTTTATGAGCTTACGCATAGTTCAGATAGACAAAGAATAGGATAAACCATAAATCGAAATACGCATAAATAAAGAGCACTTACATACGTACATTGATAAAAGATTAAAAATTATTAGGAGAATGCAAATGACTGAATAATAACATCCTGTCTGAATTGATAATATCAGTCAAAAAATAAGAATTTACGCAAGGAGATTCTTATACGTTGTTACACAGTAATTACATTAATAACACCACTAAATTTGCCATTCTAAGGATAAAATTTAAGTAGATTAATAAATTTGATATCAATCTAAATTCAACGATCCTCACAACCCTATACGGAAAATTTGAAAAAGCTTGAAGATTTCAGTAGCTAAAGTGTTCGGGTCTTCATTATTTCTTTTAAGTAATGATAAAAATGATAATTATGATCAAACGAACTGTGAATATGTTTATGTAATCATTGAGGTTGAAGGAAACATATGACCAAGATCAACGAGCAATATTAAATCACTATGGTTACGTCACGTGAACTGCAAATCTGTTTTGGAGCATCCCAGCAAAGGGCTTCTGTAAAATACAATGATCAATACTTCTATTTGTTAAGGATCTGCTACGTACCCCAATCACTGGTGTTTGTTTATAGCACTACTAGTTAGTCTACGGACATTAACTGCTAATCTTTTGATACTTGTTCAGAGATCCTCTCTCAGTTATTGGTAAGCAAATAAGAAATCTGTGTTATAAGTAGATATCAGTTACACAGGATGATATTTTAAGAGCTGAATCATCTAACTAGATTTTTGGAAGATATTCAGGCTGCAACTGGCCTCATACGAGACTGAGATGTTTTAAATGATTGATTACTAAGTAGTAATCAATATCGTGTTTGTCTAGTCTTTTAGTGCTGAGCAAATTCAGATGAACAAGTTTTACTGTTGCCACTAGTACAACTGTTCTCAGATTATTTGATGAAAGTCACCAGGTAACTCTGGACGTAGGTTTTGTGCTAGCTGGGAATCGTCAGAAAGCCGTAAGTGGAATATTGAGCGAACCAATGTATTTTATAGAATTGGAACTCACAACATCCACGTTCCTAGCTATCACCTTCTACTTAAATCTTTGAGCTAGACACAACTAATCTAATATTCTACTAGTTAAGTTATAAAATATACTTTCCAACCACGTTCCAGAGAGTTTTCGTAATGCTTCTATACACTAGCATTTTGTAAGACTACTTCCCTAACTACCATGGGTAGAATACTGGATTAAGCTACATATTGAGTTATCTGACTTCCGAGATACTTGTAATGTGGCTACCATACAAATAGTTCTCATCTAAAATATACTTCAAGGTAAAAGTAGAATCATAGAGAAGTAAACTTTTTCTGTTAGATACCTAATAAGCCTACAGATTCCCATCGATAATATCTCAAAAGAACTCTGGTGATTTATAGTTCCAGGTACTTTTACAACTGATATTTACCATGGAAAATAGCCATAGAAATTAATGAGGGTATTACAACCGAAAAGCGTAAAGTTACTAATTAATGTTCCCGCTTATTCTACACTTTCTTTAAACAATTTGACCAAACAAGTAACTTTTTAATAATTTCTTTTCTGTTATCAGAACGTGATAATGAACCACCTTCATGGCATCGACTTGGATTCACCGTAGATTGTCGTTATCTTATTAATAATCTTAAACCTGGTGTATATTATCGTGTCCGTGTATCCGCCAGAAATTCATTCGGTTGGGGCAATTACAGCATTGCATCTTCTGATTTCCGTACTCCTATTGGTAAGTTAAAACCTTACTCAATAAAAATGTGCATCAAATCCTTAACGGTAACTTAGACTTACAAATATTACTATTGCATTGAATTACCAAATTTCATTATTCACCCAGGTTTCATGCCTATCATTTAGTAAAATAATTATATAGCGATTCTTATTGTAGTATTTTGTCCAGTCCGTCTACAATGCACAATCCTAATTGTTTAACAACCAAATTAGGCAGCGAGAAGAGACGAAGACACTATAACAACCTATAAAGTCTGGATAAAGATATCTGGAATCTATCTACATATTTTCTAAGGGTTAGAATGTAGAATTTGACTAGCCTTTGTAAATAATCCACCAATATTTACACAAACCACTGATCGACAGTTAAACAAATCGCACAGTTATTAGTTCTGATCAATTTCTTTTCTACAAGTAGTTGTGCTGAACAAATCAGATATTAGTATCTGATAAGTCGTAGATCTGTTAATTTGATGATTTAATTTTTCAGAAATGACTTTTTCTCCGCTAATAATCTCATGTTTTACTATTGTTCTGATAAGTTTCTATGGATCAGTCACCAACTATTCTATCGCCCAATGAACGAACATGGATCTTCAACTGGCGTCAATCAGCAAATATCTACGCATTAAGCGATCATCCAATAGCTTTACAATATGCAATCGATCAGCCAATCAGTGTACCTCCACCACCAGACAAAATTTTACAGAAACTCAATCGATATAATGGGATAATTCCAAGTTTAGATGTATTGAAATCCATATGTAGACCAATTCGTTTGATAAATAAGTAAGTAATCATGACTGAGAAATGCTTATTGGAGAAACTGTTGTTCAAATATGTGACATAACCATTATTTTCATGTGATATTTATTTTAACTGATTTCCATAAACATATAATAATGGTTAGTTTCTCATCAATGGTTTGTTTAAAGACTTCTGTTTAAAGATTTAATAAAATCCTATTACCTTATTAGAAAGTGAGGTAGATGATACTAGACAACTGCCATACTATATCACTAGTCAGCTTATGCTGAAAATGTTGGGTATTAAACTCTTGGTCAGCGAAACAATAGTGCTGAGCTCTTCATAAGATCATCAAGGACGTAAGTTACATTTTATATGGTTCATTAATATGAATTTCTGATGAGCTGTAAGCTATGACAGAATATCCATTGTTTCCTTGTTTTCAGTGATTCTCCAACTGAAAATAACGTAATGAAACTAACTAAATCTTTACAACGTTAATATGTTTTTGTGAATTAAATTATAAGTAATATATATGTGAATTGATTTTGTTCGATAAATAGAGAACAAATTCAATCCGTTTAATTTACCCTTCTAGTAACTTTTCATCTAACTTTTAATGTATTTTTTAGAGGAACATATACAAAACTTATTCTTGGAAAAACTCATCCAATGCTAAATGAAGGAGTGAATTTCAATAATGTTCGACATCAAAGCATATCTCTTCCACCTAGATTACTAAGCAAAATCACATATCTTAACTTAGAAGATAATAATCTATTGAAAAAAGCCCGTCGTGAAGCACTAATGCTTACTATTCTTCATGGATCTTGTGGTGGAACATATTCTTCATTTGAAGATTTTTATAGTGAACAACATAACTCATATCTTTATACTAGTCAACGACAATTACTACCATCTGGTTGGTCAATTGGTTGGTTAGAAGATGATGCAGTTAAACCGACACTAAGTATATCAGTAATGCAATGGATTCCTGGCGGACGTCTTATTGATGTTTTGTGCGGTCGAGTAGAATATACTGAATTTTCTGTTATGATGTGGAGTCAACAAATTCTTTCAGCGTTAAAATGGTTCTACGCATGCTTTTTAGGACAACCACATGGAAATATTTGTCCGGAACATATACTTGTTGCACGACGGACATCTTCGCTTCCAGATATTGTATTGACTGGGTTCGGTCATGAATCTGTTTTAGATGAAACCAACAACTACTTTTCAGGTAAATTTTAAGGAATTTTAATCCACATAGTTTGTTGCTTACAAACATATAATTATTATATTCAGCGCTTAAGCTTAGCACGTAGCTATTGTAAATGATCTAAAACTTAGTAATTATTATATTTCAAGTGGTATTTGGAAAATTGAACCTGCATAAACCTTTTCAAATTCACTAAAAATTAAACGTAAACATCAACCTAGTAAATTACTACTGAGGTTCATGAAAAACATTGTATTTCAGTTGTTTTTGTAGTACTACTAAAAATAAAGTATACGTATTACAACGATAAAAGCGGTGTAACTTTGATTCAGTAATCAATCATCTGTATTAATTAAAGGCTAATTAGGCCAAGTAAGAGATGAGGGTGTTGCAAATTTCTTATGAACATAAAGACTTGGATTTTTAGATCGAATCCTTATGGCTGCTACGGTGTGTAAGAGACAACATCGAACTCCACCTGTCATTACGATATCAATTTATACCATTTACTGAATATGTTCATTTATATGATCTACTTCACTGTAATCACTGACTCGTAAACTCCCTTGATTGGTTTCATAATTTCATATATGCGTGCAAATATTGTTGTATACGAGAGTAAAGCTTGATGAGGATCTAATTAAAAACTATGTTGTTCTAATTCATAATAAAATCTTGTATGCATCAGCTAATAGATAAACAAATATTGATTAAAGTTTCTAAGTGATAGTTTATGAACCATTTAATGGTGATATGACTTCCATAGAAGTATCGGATAACAGTTTTATTAATTATACGCAAGAAAAGAACAATTCAACTATTGTATTTTGAGTTCAAAGTGATATCAGTCCGTTAAACGCAAATTAGAACTCAGTACAGATGTAAATCGGTTCAATTTGCTATAATACATTAACACAGTGAGACTAAATCATTAGAGAGAATCCTAGGGTATTAGATGTAATAACAGTTCCAAAGGCATTAGAAAAGATTACGCATCCAAGATAGGATTCGAGAGAATATAAATCAGTGTAATAAAAAAATTATGAGGAATTGAAAAGCTTAGCATTTGGGCGAAGACCGTGATACAGGAGATATAAAATTTATAAATCTTGAATATAGTGTGCATTCTTCTAGCGAACAAGTGATTACGAAGTATTTTTTTTTAGTTTTCTGTGATTTTTAAAATGCCATCTAATGGTATTAGCAGACGGTTTGTAATCTTGGTTTATTGATAATGACTACAAATGATCAGTTTCCGTTGATGTATTTACATCCTCAACGAACTGTCTCTACGTAGTCACAAGGTTTTAGTATATTCGATATTTGGCTATCAATGGAACGTAGGACATGAGTTTATTCTTATTTGAAACTGAATATCAACAATGGAAAACCATGAATCCTTACGAATACCTTCAAACCAGTTGAAAAAGTTGGTTACTAGGACGACTCAGCAGTTCAGTGAGTAATGCATCAGCGTTTGTGAATATAGACGTTATGATGCAAATAAATCTAGGTGATGAGTGTCAAATAGCAGGAAACGTGAGTCCTATGTTTCCTATCCGAAACTGTTATGATTATTAGCAACAACTTTTAAAATAAAAACTAACCATGTTGGAAAAATAAATAAACATACGTATGAAAGATTAAGGCATATAATAAAAATATTTATTTTTAGGATTATTTATATCTGTCTCAGTGTTTAATTCTGTTGAGTTTATTAGTTCGTTTTTTCTTTATTTATTTATAAACTAGCTCCCGAATTATGCAAGAATCAGCCGAAATCAATGGCTTCAGATTTGTGGAGTGTTGGAGCTGTCATGAGACTATTGTAAGTTTCATAAAATTCGAATGACTTGTAAGTTAGGTGGTTTGTGAAGATGCAGTATAATTTCAAGATGATTGTCATCAGAAACCGTCTTCAGCTGGAAGTGAACTGCCCAAAGTTCTTACGCCAAGCCCCGATCTGTAGAGCTCAATGATCTCAGGATTCAAGAATTTATAGTTAGTAGAATTGGATGAAGATTGCTCTACATCACAAATCAACATAAATTCACGGTGTAGATAGTAAAATTGTGGCTTAATTATATCCTACTGACTGCGCGATGTTTAAGAATTCTATACAAGGGCGAGAGAGGTTTATAGTGTACTACTTTCAAATAGTCTTTCAATTGACGTCAGTTCGTAGTGATAATTATTTTATCGGAAAACGTGATAATTATGCTAGACAGAATATCTCTCAACATTACAAACCTTATCCCAGTAATCCTGAGGCCAATATTAAATTTAGTAGCCTTCAACAAACTGGAACTTCTCATTTAAGTATCTCTTTTTCAGGCAAGGATTGTTTCCAGCTTGAATACTGTTTGATGGCTGAGCGTAATCATAGAGAGGTCTCGCAGCTATGTTTTGTGTTAAATGATGCCAACCAATAAAATTAATCTACATTCTTGACAAATTAATGCTTAAGTTAGCATTCAATTCTGTCCTGTCTAATATTGAATTGGGAAGCGTAAAAACTGGACTATTTCCGTCCCTACTGACTTCCCGTAGGACTGAAATGTTTAAATTAATCGCTTATTGAGCATTAACTTATATAATTTGTTATTAAAAATGATGAATCCTCTAACAATAAAAATCCCTTTCAGTCAGAATTTCTTAAATCATTATTCTTTAAATTAATAATCATCTACAGAAAATAAATAAGGTTTAGCATACACTTAATACTTCTAGTTTCGACTGTGACTAGAAGGGAGATCTAGGACACATTTTATCTTATTTTTAACTCACAAGCTGGATGCAATTGTATTCTAGTGTTAATAAGCCTAAGTCGATTAAGACTGATTAAAGTTCAGTCCTAAATATCAACAGCGAGATAACAGAAACCTTTAAAAATATACATGTTATATTGTTGATAAAACCTCACAGTATCTATCACTTTTTTAAACTTCAAGGTTTATACTTACTTATTCTATTTGTTTTGTGTATTTAGACTAACAGGTGAAAATCCAAATGAAATTGATGTTCAAAGAAAAAATTCGACATCTGATGAATCAATAAAACAGCAATATGATAAAACCAAGATTAAACAATCTAATGAATTGTCATCTACAATTAATTCTGAAAATACTTTACCTACTTATTCACCAAATCATTTAAATACTAAAAAATTGAAAAGGTTTTCCAAACCTGCAAGAAAATTTATATACAATTGTCTTAATCCTTCACCAAGGTAAATCTTCCGGTTATATATATATATATATATATATATATATATATATATATATATATATATATATATATATATATATATATATGCTCGTTAATCAATTGATAAACATGTAGGTGGTAAAATACTTAAATCCAATGGGGAGAAAACAAATTCGGTGTCATGATTTAACTAAATCAATGAAAGGGGGATTTGGTTTCAATGTACTGTAGTTGGGATTTGTTTGAGCTATGAAATGACACTTTTGCTTAAAAAGCGACTGAATATGTGAAACCTTTAGACAACTGTTTCGTGTTAGTTTAAGACCCCCTTACCCATGATTTATAATGAGACCTTAAGACATCTATATAGATCGTTTAGTTTCCTTCAGGAAACTAATAGATAACACATTTTCAGGAAATTTCAAATTGTGTTCCGTTACTTAAGATGGCTCTCTCCTTTAATCATATAGGTTAGACGCCTGAACCATGCGTTCTTTAAAATAAAATACTCTCATCGCCTGACCTTTCAGGAATTGATCTTCTACCAAGAGATTCACTTGTTGACTTGGAATACTCATATGATAGTTTTATTTGGTGAAGATGCAGACAAAATGCAGTCTTCTGACCACTTTGAGCAACAATCCAAGCATATTTGGGATGTGATTCTCTCCTTCCAAATGTAAAATGTTGCTTCATGATTGGTCTTCATCAGCGGCTGAATCAATTGTGAGGAGTGAAGTAACTGAACATATCGATCGCTCCACTTATCTTGGAAGTCTCACCAGCCATAATGGTCTGGTATCTGACGAAATCTCGCAACCGATTCGGAAGGCTCAATTAGCTTTCCCAAGTTGCATCACCAAAGGACGAGTTTATTGTTCAGCATCTCGCTCCGTTCTACCCTATGGTAGTGAAACATGACTATTAGGAATAAAGGATTTTCTTAGTTTACTAGTGCTTGGTCATAGGTGTCTTTGGAGCACATCGCTCGTGTATCTTGAGACCATCGATTAAGCAATGTCTGGGTTAAAAATAGGGTACTACGTAGGGATGGTAGGTCGATTGGTGAGATAGTAAATATTCATCGACTGGAGCGATTGAGACATGTGTTACGTTTGTCCAATCACCACCTACTAGACGCGCGATGTTTTTTGGTGTAGAAGTAGGCTAGAAGAAAGCAGAGGGCGACCAAGCCAAAACATGGCACCAGTTTGACGTTACTGACAACTGTACTAGGTCATGTTAATAGATGTATATTATCTGACATGGGTTCGACTGGTTACCAGTGGTTGAAGACTTTGAATGACATGGCTCAAAATCGTTCGCAATGGCGCAGGTGCACCCATTTTTTGTCTTTCCCCAAACTCAAAGTTTACGAGCCATAGTTGTCGAAGCAGTATTCAAAATCAGAGTACTTTAAGTTTCTGACATCTTTCATAATAAACACATTCAATCAGCAAGGTGTACCTGTAATCTTGAGGGAACTGGTGCTCCCTGGCGGATTCGATCTCGTGTCACCTCCTGTAGGACTGAGATGTAATCACAATTGATTGATCACTGGGTGGTGATCAATGTCATGCTTGTCTAGTCCTTATTAGTGCAGATCGAATGCTATCGATCATGTTGCAATGTGGCCACCAGTCTAGGTGACTCGACACTGCGGGCACTATGTATTGAGATTTAGATGGACTAGACAAGCATGACATTGATCACCACCCAGTGATCAATCAATTGTGATTACATCTCAGTCCTACAGGAGGTTAGTCACGGCTCGGATAGCTCAGTGGTAACGTCTCTGACTGTGAAGCTGGGTGACACGAGATCGAATCCACCAGGGAGCACTAGTTCCCTCAAGATTGCAGGTACACCTTGCTGACGAGTGCCAAGTAGCACGAAACCCGGGTCCAGGGTTTCCTGTTGACTACCTCCAAATACCATCTAAATCTCAATACATAGTGCCCGCAGTGTCGAGTCACCTAGACTGGTGGCCACATTGCAACATGATCGATAGCATTCGATCTGCACTAATAAGGACTAGACAAGCATGACATTGATCACCACCCAGTGATCAATCAATTGTGAAACACATTCAATCATAAGATTCAGTCAAGTCTCATTTTCTTAATCATACTAATATGAATATAGATACAAAATATTATGAGCGACTTGTGGGAATATTTCAATTTATAGTGTACATCACAGGCTGATCTTATTCAGACAACCAACGAAAGCCAGGAACCACCGGACATCTGTTCCCACCTAGTATGGAACTCAATACACAACACCACCGACTATCTAATATTTAGGTCTTGCAGTGAGCGCGTAATACTTGGGCTACGGCATCGGCATCCAATGGTCTACATTGCGATAATAACCAACTATCGCCTAGAGCTACTGATGGGATGTTGGATGCTAGTTGTTACTACTACAAAACAGCTGTTTGGTGTCTTACAGTTGCAGTGGTTGTCTAAATTCAGTCCGTGATGTAAACTATACATCCATGAACATCCCAAATAAATAAGTCTTTTTATATTGACAGGAAACGTGGAACAGTTGATTTTTGGCTTAATTCTCATTGGTTCAATTTCAATGCTGAAAATGTGAACAATTTAACTTCAGTGATCATTCCCACAAATTTACTAAGATCATGCAAAGTTGTTCTAGATCAAAAAACAAATGTTGACGAAACAGAAGAACTACAGTTTCCTTGATACAAGAAAAACAGAATCATTTCTTCCTTTCCCTATTTTCGTCTTTTATCCCTTATATTACAAAAGTGCAATTAATGACCAGTAAAAATTCCTTTAGTTATATATATATATATATATGTGATTTGCTGCCTCATTGTGACAGTCACAAACCCACCATTATTCCTTTGGCTAGTTAACAGTAAGTGAAATATGGTTATAACATTTCAGGATACATCCTTTTATGCATAAATACTACCTAATCTGTTTCAAATATCATAACAAACATAATTCTCCGTATTTTGTTTATTAAAACCCGTTCCTAACCTTTTTCTTTAAATGTCCCGTTTCCCATTTAACCTACATTAGAATAAAGATGATTCTTCCTTTAAAATTTCGAAGCATTTTTTTCGATTTCCTTACCATTTCGTAACTACTGCGTTCACATTTTCACACCAAAAGCATGTAAAAGAATTAGCTAAAGTATAGATACACGAGCACACACATATCTACTTCTTTATACATGAAACATACTCCTATCATAGTCTCAGAAACATTATATCATTCAAGAAAAATAGTTGCTTGAAAAATTATTCCGAAGGAATATATCAGAAAAGATAATTGCAAATGTATACTGACTTTTCGCTTTCTCGAACAATGTTAATGTCAGTTCGAATGACCTACACTAACAGGCCATGGGCTCGAACTGCACTTCGACTATTTTGATTCGGGTAGTCGGGTCGTATCATATCTAAAAGCTAAATTATGTTGTGGCAAAATGTTTTCAATAAATTAGTAGGAAAATCTGTGAAGTTTACGACTTAACTCGTATTAAACTAGACAAAATTAGAGATGATACCTACCAGTTTCATACTATACAATTGTAGATGAAAGGTTAACTAGCTAACTGACAGTTGAATAAAACAACTGTCTAACGAAAAACACCGTAACACACTTATTCAGTAAACCTATTTGAATTTTACACACACATACATAAGAGCGCATACGAAGTGAAACGATAATTTCTCGAGAAAGCACTGAAACACAATCAACAAGTAAATAAGTATATATAAGTAGTACAGACAGGTTTTAAAAACACAGTTTAAATAAGAATAAAAATGAACTTCAATTCTATAAAAATTGAGTATTTCTATTGATCATCAGCATTAAAAAATTGATTCAATTTTAGACCCGTCTGATAGCATTTTTGGCAGTCGAGCTGCGTCCCTTCAGGGATCGGTTCAATGAAGTAACACCTAACAGCAGAAAATAAATTCAAACGATTTTTACTAACTACTGTTTATTTTTACCCCAGCAGCAGTAGATGTAACTATCCCGTGTAGGGATAGTTATTAGGCCTTATTGTTCTGTGGTACTTTATCACAATAGAGGATTTACAACTCAATTTTGTTACTGAATGTAGCCAGCCCATCAGCAACAACACCGACCCGATATAAAGAACCACCAGACATCTTCAGTTCAAATAGTCAGGGTTTTACATGCATAAACCAAATCTATCGACGTTGTGCGCTTGAAATTCTAGTCAAACTAGATATCCCTATAAGTAGATGGATATTCTTTACCGCGATACCACAGGCACACACTACTGCATGAATACAAACTTCGCAACTACTTTTTTTATTGTTGTAACGTGTGGGACTGCAGGTTATGGATGGAGCAGCGTTTTATTGATCGAATCAGTGACACGTAAAACACGTACGAACGACCTAGTGCTCTGACTGGTCCCACTTCCCTGTCTAACCCAGCCAGTTGAGTCCAGAACGCAAGTCTTAGCCTCTGAGATATGAATCATTGTATTTAAGACATACTCTGTTTATATACCAACCAAACAAACCACATCGTACCATAAAATAGAAAACAACATTTACCCAATATTTAACAAGTGAAATAAATATCGACCAATAGGAAATGTCCATTTAACGTCCAAGGACACTAATCGACTTAACACGATAATTATTGGTATATTCCTCTGCATACCTAACATTTATAGCTTAACAACAATTGTGAGTATATACAGATGTATCTACTAGCCATTTAGAAATGATTTTCAATACAATTGGTCCAAGGCGCAAATGATACTAGCGAACACTAACTAGATATTTGATGTTTGAGTAATTTTTACGTTAGTGGAACGAACAATCTTTATCTGAGTGACCAACCACAAACATCTATGTGATAACTAGAAGGCTAAATCACGTAAATGGAGACACTCTTGTCCGACTGTTTGATTAAAAAATAAATATTAATAACACAAGTTATATTAACATGAATAAAAAGTGGGTATAAGGGCTTCGTAATATACGAATTCAGTCAACAATATACAAAGATGTCTGCCACCTCTCTCTAACCCTTCTTAGGTCAAATTGTCTAACCACATTGCCCTACCTCAGTGAGAATTATTGTTAAGCTGTCGTCGATGGGACGTTAGGACCGAATATCTGATTTGCAGCAATTGAGAAGTAATAATAATTCCTCACGTTACCCCAGGTATTCTTACGAACAGCTTTTAAATGTTTATAAACATCTCAAACACCTCTATGAAACTGAAAGTATATCATGAGCTTAATGGAGTCCTAATGTTAAAAGATACAAAAACTATTTCGTTGAAATACTTGATGCTTAGGAATTTGGCGAAAGTCAAAGGTACAACCAATACACCCACGACCAGAACGAATTGAGATTTACTTTCCGTGAAATTACCTTCCAAGCACTTTGGACAATCGGCATATTGAGTGAAAAGCAACTACTTCAGACGCATCTGGTATCAAAAATGCACCTGATGACCGGCACTTACATCATGCAAGCCATTTCCAAAGAGGATCACGACAATCGATTCACTCCAAAGGGATGAAATACTCCAATGTCATCAAAATATGTTAGACAAGAGAGTCACCTTCTTCCCCTCACTTTGCTCTCAAATAAAGGTTAAGATTTCTTATGAACAATTAATAACTTTCTCCCACCTCAGTTTAGATGATCTTAACACCTATTTATATTTTTAAACCACACTGTATTTGCAATTTATAACTTGACCTATATTTCCATCTATTATTCTGATTACGATTCTATAAACTATTCTGTTTGTCGACGTCAACTATGTTACATACAGCTTATTAAAAAAAAACAAATTTACTGAAGTTGAACTTAGCAGTTATACGATAGTCAAGCAACCAGCTTAACAGTCAACCCCTAATCGATTAGAACGTGACTTACAAGCTGATTTTTTCCGAATCTTTCGCGTTATATTACACCTTTGTGTTGATATTTTGCTGACAAGCATTTCATTTTTTTTTACATGAAAACAACCTCATTCTTCTGACTAGTAATTTTTCAAGAGGGACTGACGTCAAGAATTTAGTTCTGCGTACAAACATCACTCGGCCATATTTTGTATTACTGTACATCAGTGGTCAATCAACATGCTATTTTCGTTAATACTAATGCATAGAAATCAGCTACATCTTTTACTTGACAATAATAATACGAAGAACTATCCGATTAGAGTCTTATGCACATAAATCTAAAAGTACAACTACGATAATACTAAAATAGGAGTGTGATAATAATGACAATAAAGAAACTTTAATTCGTATCATATTCAGTACACTGTATAGGTTTAACAAATTGAGAGAAAATCTTATACACTTGAGGCCAAATTTCATTTGTACGACATCCATGGAATATATGTAAAATCTTCTGTTTCTTAATTTGCATATAAAGAAATGAAAGGAGAAAAAAAGGGAGAAATATATCACTTCCCTATTCCTGTTAAATATTAGAATAACGAGATAAAAAAAACCTCATACACCTTGACTGTGTGATAAATATAATTACACTGGTTCCAGATTCGTGTTAACTTTGTATAATTCTTAGACTAATCCAGTTGTATAACCATAAAGAGACTCGATAACACGATATCAAGAATTCTGAAACAGCATCTTTCGAAATGGACATATTTCAGACAAAATGTAACCAGCACACTTAAACGTGTATTATTCTTATTTAAACACATAAACGTTGGTACAAGAAGGCACCAAATATATATGCGTCACATAAATCATTTGATTTGTGCGAGGGCTGGAATACTGCCCGGGAGAGCAAACCGAATCAGGTGATTTTCTGAGAGGGCTACGTCCCGAGCCTTTGGCCTCCAGATCTAATCCACGAGGCAGTGGAGCAACGTCAGGAGATGCAGTTCCATGGTAGTCGGTGACCAACAATAGGTTCATACGCCACTTGTTCCCTCAGGATACTGGAGCCCACGTGCACCAGTGGTTTGGATTCAGTTTTCCAACTCCCCTAGGTGGATCCTCCATATCCACCGAACCCATTAAAGCGCCGGACATTCGCTTATCGTCATATCAATTTCGTGAGAAAACACCCTCGCCGCGAAAAGGCAGTGAGTAGGACTTCCCTGGCGATAGCTGTATACGTGTGACCATGTGAGAGCATTTCGAGCGGGAGAGCTGACACTGTCCTTCGGTCGTACCAGAGCATTTGGGGGCCCTAAATGTATAAGATCTAAAAGGTGTAGGAAGTACGTGTGAGTGTGAAGGCGTGCGCGTGTAAGCGTCGAATCGCCTAATGTATGGATTAATGTAGTGACTAGTCATTGCATGAATTTTTGAATGAATTTATATAGTCGATGAAGTTAGTGCAATAACATACACAGATATGCAAACAATCACAAACATAAAGTGTGCACGAATGGAAGTAAATAATTATTTATATTGATAACCAGTACGATCGAAATGATACACATGACATATATGTGAAACCAAGTATATGCTTGAATAGGTGTATGTCCTCCTTGTTCAAAATGGATATGTAGCTACTAAGACCAAATGCATGCTTGCACAAACGAAAGGGAACAACGATTATAATTCGATGTACAACGGTAATAGTCGGATGAATAAAAATTAAACAGTGTAGTTGGGTTAAAGCATTTTAGTTTCAGTTAATTAAACCCAGTGTAAAGACTGACACTAATATGCATCGATCCATGTCGCTACATACTACTTGCCACAGCGAATTTATAGACTACCACAATTAGTGTCAACATTCTAACTATTATCTCACCATTGATTCAAAATCGCGTTATTAAGTGTTACGCCACTGCCAAAATAGATTTAATAGCAACACTAAATGAATCTATATCAGTTCAGAAGGGCTCTGAATTCATCTATAATGTGAGGTTCAATGCTACTAAATAAATCCCCAAACTGAGTGCCCAAACAATTTATTTAGTTATTTATTACACATACAATACTGTAAAAATAAGAAAGTACAGGATTTCCAGTCTTTTATTAAATAAAATGGGTGGTTTAACAACATAGAAAATGCCAACCAATTTTGAAGGACCTACTCTCAATACAGTATCTACCGACCATTTTTAAGTTAGATGACTTCTGGACGCTACTGAAAACTAGAATAGGTAATGTAGTCAAACTGGAGCAGTAAAGAGAACGTTTAATGCAGCCAACCTCTGTCTATTGTACTCGACCCGATCTGTGGTGATTCCCCAACTAAAGGATAAGTTATCTGGTTATGCCACTTCTATGTGTATTTACGAATTCAGCTGCTCTTGTGGGGAAAGCTATATTGGGCGCACTACCAGGCAACTGAACCAAAGAGTTAGTGAACACCTCACTTCGTGGTTAGGAAAACGTACTGTTAAGACGATACGCAGCTCGGTTCTATCACACTTGATCGATAGCGGTCATATAGTAGACAGAAATAAGTCCTTTAAAGTTATTTATCGTATTCCTACTAGTTTTCCTTATAGTATTTGATCTCGCCTCTTACGCATAGCAGAAGCTATAAGAATTCGAGCCAACAAGTTTTTGTGTTCATAAGAAATTTGTAACACCCTTATCTCTCCCTTGACCTTAATAAATGATTTTATCCATTATTATTTTCTATACTCTCTCTTCGTTTATTATTTTTCTCTTCACCGCCTCGCACCATTTTATTTTATTTTCTCTCAAATATACGTTTCACGGTTCAATCATCTGAACACTTCTTATTACATAATCTTATAATTTTTATAAATGTTATCTCACTGTCTATATTTTTCTAATAATTTCCGATTATGCAACATTGATTTAAGCCTTTGTTATTCTGTCATCAATATCAATTTGTACTTTTCACTTATTATGTAATATTTTCCATTGTTATCATTGACTCATAAACTGCCTTGATTGGTTTAATAATTTTGTATATGCATATAAGTATTGCTGTATATTAGAGTAAAGTCTGATGAGGATCTAATCGAAAACAATATTGTTTGCTTATATATATTGTTCTAAACCAAATATAAATTATCAGCTTTACACCACGATTCAGTAAAGTGATTATAAAGAACAATCGACACATACGGTAACACATGATGGTTATTTAATTGAAGATTTAAAAAAACATCATTAGTCAAAATTGTACAGAAATTATTAACATCCTAGATTTATAAGTATTGTATGATTAGCTTTCAAATATACATCAACTACATTGAATAATGAAGCCAAGTAATACTGTTTACTCCAATAGTGTTACACTAAACAATGAACAACTGGGAGTGAGTTTTTGAGTAGTTAGATAGTTAAAATACTGAAGGTTTCAGGTTTTAAATTAGCCTAACTGTCTTTCATTGGGAGTAGGATCTTTGACTCAAGGTAGCTCTTACACAAGATTGCTCACAACTGAGTACGCTATTACATTTTAGTTATTCGGTTTTATTATTTAATTGTACTGCAAACTATAAATTAAAAATGTTAACTTGTTTCAATCAAGTATTAAATGAAAATTTGCATACACTTTACAATAAAAACTACAAGTAAAATAATTGCTCTAATATATTACAAACACTTCCAAAAGAAAACGTCGAAGTTAACGTACCCGTAATAATCAAGCAATGGTAAAGTAGAAAGTTGATAAACATCCAAACGTTTACGAACAGTTATCAGGTCATCATCATCTCTGCGTGTTAGAGGTTCTCCAGTCACATCATCAAATCCCTATTTCAAAATAAAAGTAGTGATAAAAGAGGATGGTTCATGGGTTACATTAAGTTATAAACTGATGACTATATTTCTCCAATATGAACACAGGACACTGGAGACGAACGCAAATATAAACATAAAACCCCCGTAAACACAGCACGGTTTTGACTGCAACGGAACTGTAACACATTTATATTGGATGACTTGTTTCAACATCTTATCTGTTAAGCTTAAGCTGACACAATAAAGTTATCGGATTACATACTATTTTCGTCTAATTTACGGAACATCGAATATTTACGGTCAGTGAAATGAAGTTAGGGATAAGACAGCATTCCAGGTAATCCCGGTATTCTTCTGTGGATGTGATCAGAATTAAAATAAGAGACCCACTTGTGAATGACAATAGTAATTATCTTGTCCTTGTAAAGCTTAAATTCAACCCCCAACTGACAGACATTTTTCCACAAAGCAGTGGCTATATTTAGGAAGATCGAACATACATTTGGCTAACCTTACATACAAGCGAGAGAAAGACTGCTCATCACTAAGTGACAGAAATACGCAGAAATAAATAGTTTGAGCTCACTAAATGAGTTGGATCCAAGACGCTTATAATATTGCTAAATACACCCACTAAATTTTTTTGACATCGAAATAGCAGCAAGCACATAATGGTATGTTTCTAGAATTGTTAAAATTACCAAAAAATTAAAACTCCCAAAATTTTATGGTATTGGTATGATCAATATATAGTGAGAAGTAGTAGCATTTTATCTCACAAGTGTTAGTAATATAAATCAATGAGTAAAATTCCACATAACAAGACATAGGAAGAAAATCTTTATAGTGAGACTTCCCGTCATTAATTTCCATGAACCTACTGAAGGATTGTTGTACCTGATTTAGAAGTATACAACCGACAAATCCAAGCATATTATTTAGTGTCTCTCCAACGCTTTATAAAGGTGGTGATCTAACAGGAAGATAATTGATCCTAGTACTAAGTGTCAGTCAGTCACTATCAACGTAAAACCTGGCAAAGATGTATATCGGCCCCAGTTGTCGTACCATAATATTACGAAAACATGAAACTAAGATGAACAGCCAAAGCGATCGAAATAATATGATACTTACGGTGACAGATTGAATAAGAACATGGACCTGATAGGCAGAGTGGAAAATGCATGTATGAATAGATCCTGGAACTCAAGACCAAGAAGATAAGCAGTGAACGCATCTGTACAATTATGGACGATGCAACATCTTATTGCCCAAAGTCTCCAACCACTGATCGCAGTTATCACGCGCACCTCAATCAGGTAGTCCGAATCAACCAACAATCAATGGCTTCATGAGCTAAGGTTGTCTTAGTTTGATTATCCCTAACTTGCTTTCAACGTATTTAAAGTAAGCATGGTAGTTAAGCACATGTAATACACATCCTAATCACTTCAGTTGACGAGAATCATAGATCGACTTGCCAACTGACCGTGTAGACTGTAATGATTTTGTGACAGCATCATGACAGCAAAGATTACTACGTAATTCACTTACCTAGTAAATGTTTGTGTACTGTTTCGAGCCCAATTATTCATGGCTCAGGGAAAGAGACTAACCAGTGTTTTTACCAAACCCTCTTGGAAACGAGACGAAATAAACTTACGGTTGATTCTGAACTCATAAGAACTGAAAATCTGCAAAAGTTAGTACTAATGAACTTAAATCTACATGGACGATGATGATCAAAACGGGAAATTCATTACACACACAACTTACCAGTACACCCAAAGGTATTAAAGATCCAAGCCGCATTGGTCACAAAAATTAAATGTAAAGATACAATATAATAGCAATGAGTAAAAGCTATCAAGTAATATAGTTTACAAGGTCATATCATACTAACTTTGCGCTTTGGAGGGTTAAAATTATCATTGTACGTCCTACCACTTGGGACATGAGTGTATCTCCCACTGATTCTATTTATGATTTCTTCAAAGGGTACATCTAAGCAAAGAACACAGCTGACAGGAAGTTGTTTTTGAACGTCTTCAGCTTGTATCATAGTTCTCGGAAATCCATCAATGAGTAAGTTATCGCTTGCATAACTCTGACACTCAGCAATCATCATTTTAGTGACTAAACTGTCCGAAACAAGTGAACCATTCTGGACAAACCTGCTTACCTGCTTCCCAATATCTAAGATATAAAACATACACGGGAAGATGTGCATACCTGTTTTTAAAGCAACATGGTTTCTTAGCATATCGCCACAGCAGATATATTTCAAAGCAAAGTCTTTCTGTAAACGCAAAGAGATGGTAGCCTTTCCTGAACCAGGAGGTCCAATAATAACAGCTCTGACATTAGATGTAAACACCTGAGAAAACCTCATACGGAGCTCACTCCTTGATGTTTTGGTACCGTTCAAGGTTCTTAATAGCGTCCAATGGGCAGTATTCTGGCTACTTGACTGCACTCGATCTAGTCAGTTTAATAGTCTTCTTGAATGTTTTTATATCTTGTAATCTGGAAGTCTGGAAGATTCGACATGTCCAGCATAGATAACTGTTAGGCTTTAAAAGTCAGGATGGATGAAAAGCTAGGTCAGGGTCAGATCTACCTCCACGACCTTGAGTAGCTTAGTTCTAAACGGGGATTCCGTATTTGAAGTGCTCAGGACTGGTTACGCGTAAACTTGTATGAATACGTAAAGTTCGCATTAGTAGTTTTCGATGTCTGAAAGCCCTAAAAACATTCGTTAAAAACCATATTAGGGATGTTATTGTCCTTATTTTAGTGCTAAAACTACATTCATGTTTAAGCGCCTGTCCATTGGAAAGTTAAAGGTTTCATTACATTCAAAATTAACGTAATGTCTGCAAAAACTATGACATGTAATTCTAGGAGCTGTTTATTTACGTTTGCACAGGAATGTCTAACGCTATCGGTCGAGCTTTCAGTTTCCTTAATGTTTCCGTTGACATAATTGAACAATTTAGACTTCTGATGCTGAGCACAATTTTCCTTGTCTCGAGAGATTTCCCGAAGGCATTTTATAAATTTCAAAGTGTAGGTTGAGGGTAGTTTGACTGCTTTGTAGATAACTATATCCAAGTGCAGAAACATCTGATCCTTGTGAATGGATTGTAGCGGCAAATAAATCCCCAATATAAATAGCTCTGTAAGTTCTCGACATTAGATGCTGACCATATGTTTAAGTGGACTCGTCTAGCTGAAGGCGCTCGGTCAGGCATCCGCACCAGATCACGTGTGGTAACGCTGTGCTCAACATCTACCGCAGTCGCTAGCCAGATTAGATCAGAGAATTCCGATATATAGGTAATCGCCAAATACACTCTTCCGATCTCCTCGACTCTGTCTTTTGATTTCTCTTGGTGGGAACGAATTATATTAGAAGGTTTTACTGGTAGAAGCTTTCTCGAACACTGAATACCTGTGTCATCTTCATTGGTGAGACCGACGTGATCTGGTACACCTAATTGCAACTGTGAGTCTGTTCCTTTTTGGGATTTTTATATATCATTGCCTTATTTTTTAAACATTGTGATTTTTTTCGTGTTTTTTCTTGGATATATATATATATTGCCCTCGTTCATTATCGTACTTCACATTTCATCATGACTGAACAGACACCCAAAGTACTTAAGCTTAAGACTTTGTCGCCACCTTCGTTTCAACTGATGCCCTTCTGGCCAGACAACATCGAAGCCTGGTTTTGCTACGCAAAGGCCGACTTCTCCGAGCACGGTGTGATCGACACACGTGCACAATTCCTCGCAGTAGTCAAGGCACTACCGCAGGAATTCAACAGGTACGTAACACCTAGTATGTTTACTAGTGATTTTTCTGAACCTTACAAAACACTGAAACGTTCTATTCTTAAACGAGGAGACCTAACCGATAGACAAAGGTTAGACCAACTTCTCAATAACATCGACCAGCAACACGGTTCTGCGACGGACATGTTGCAAAGGATGAAAGAGGTTATAGGCGTAAGAACTTTCGACGAAGGCCTATTTAAACAACTTTTCTTGTCCAAACTTCTCCAACAGGTGCAAGCGGTTCTGGTCTCGTTTCAAAACAACGCCTTAGACGAACTGGCTGCATCTGCCGATCGTATCTTAGGGATTACGAAATCTTTTACTACAGAGATTTTTTCAGTCAAAGAAAAGCCTCAAACGTCTCAGAACGATATAACAGAGTTATGTCATACACTCACGCGTTATCTTAATCTTCGTAACGACCGTAATCGCTCACACACCCCACGTAGAAGCACTTCACGTAAGCGATCTGTCTCTAGACCACGAGAGACGGATAACCCCGACTAGTGCTGGTATTACAACCAGTTGGAAAGTCTTCCAGAAATTGCAGAAAACCCTGCAATTTTCACAACACGAAACCGAGTGACTGAAAAAACAACTTGGGAAACTTCCAAGCCGGCACGCGTTAATGGCAACCGTAGCCAGCGAACATAGGCGTCTGTTGTACGTCACAGATGTAACAACGAGAGTTCGCTACCTCGTCGACACTGGCGCAGAAGTAACCATTCTCCCAGCAAATCCTAACGGCCGGCTTCATGAATCGACTTTAAACTTACAGGCGGCAAACGCAAACCTATCTCTACGTATGGCAAAATATACGTTTGCCTTGACGTGGGCTTACACAATTCCATTCACTGGATCTTCGTTGTTGCAGATGTTTCTATGCCAATCATTGGTATGGACCTTCTACAACACCATAATCTGATCATCGATACGCGCAAACGGAGGCTAGTAGACGGAAACACTAATTTATCCGTTTGCGTAACTCCTTTTTCTGGTTGCAGATTATCCCCAGTCACAATTAAGCATATGATAGACCCACTCTATCAACCACTAGAGTGGAAAGCTGATGAAAAACAGCCACGAAGTAGCTCATATTAACTTGGTGTTGATGTTATTTTGTGCTATCCTAACCGGTTGATGGGTGACAGGCTCCATAGATGGAAGACTACTGGTGGTGAGTGGTCGACTGTGCGGTTCTTCTGACTTGTTAAGCGTGAGCGTCCCTTGGCGATTGATTATAGTTGAGCAGCGTCGATAGGTCCACTGAGTCAACTATCTACTTCAAGTAAAAAATTAAGGAGGGAAATGCTTCTAATATTACTTCGGAGTAGGAAAGTAAGGAAAACTGAAATTAGAGTCCAATTTGGTCTAAACATGTAGAGGGCCTGTGATGTCTGAGTAGGACGCAAATGTGTTCGACCGTGCCAGATTAGTGCAAGTGGGGGCTCTATCAAGAAGTCTTACAAACGCATGTAATCCATCTGCCATGCGTATTTCAGATGGAAGACTGTCCCCTAATAATGCATACTTGATGAGAAGTTTTCCAGAGTTTTCTATTTGTATTTCTCAAAGCTGACCGTAGATACTTTGTCTCGAAGATCGTATTCATGTAAGCCCTTTGCCAGAACTATGTTACATGTGGAATAAGTAAGGTTTTTGAGAGGTTTGAAGTAAACGATCAAATCGGACCTAAGCCTTGTTTTCCATAGGTGTTCTAGTCCTAAGATGTGGCACTGAGAACTGTAAACAATGAGTGGGTCGATCCGGTTGTTTTTTTCAACTTTATGTGTGTCGGATAGGTGTAAGTTGAAAAACAAGAACGAACAGTATTCAACAATAGGTCTTACAAGTAACTTGTAAAGAATGATTTTAATAATAATAATATATTTCTGCATGTGCAGGTACACACCGTTTTTACAGGCATGATCTATTAATTACAACATATGTTGGTTCGCAAAATGCTTCCCAACTTATTAAGTTATAGTTGTTATAAAGTGAAATCATATCAGTACGCGCGCTATTTAAAAAGGACAGTGGTATTTTTCCTCGCTGAGTAAATTTCATTGTTTTGATCGTTTATTACGTATCAAGACTACTGTTTTTCACTTTAATTGAATTTATTTCAGTTAAAGTATTTGACTAAAGTATCGTTTTTACTGTTTTTGTCGTTGGTACTCTTTAGTACCTCTTTTTCAACTGTATCTGTTAGTACTTTTGGTCCTAGCAATCTACAGCTCTTCACTTTTTTGGTCATTGATAATTTTTTTGTTTCTGGGTATCATCGCATATTGAAAAAACCCCTCCTAAATGACCGGACAGTGTAAAAAAAGCAGTTGCCAACGTCCGGGTTGTCGTTATCCTGTTGAAAGCGGCATGCAGTGCGACGAGTGCAAAGGCTGGTACCACGAAGTTTGCACGAACTTAACGCCTGCTGCTTTCAAACGGTTCAGTAAGAAGGGTTGTGTGTGGCTTTGTCAACAGTGCTGCTCGGATGCAAACAGCTTGTTAACCGAGGCCATCTCACTGGTTGATGCTGCAAAGAAGTGTTTCAACAAGCATAGTCGGAACGCGTCAAACAGCACTCGATCTGTTGACACGCAAATCAATGTGAAGGAAACTAAGGTGAGTCCGGTGATAGATGACTCACGCCCGTCAAAGAAGGAAAAGCAGTCTCCAAAGGGGCCTGCCTTAAACAAAAGCTCAAGAAAAGTAGGGTCTTCTGTTCCCCGTCTCCCAGATGGGATCCAACAGGAAACACCTAGGAGCCGCAATCGCAAGGCTCGATCGGTTTCAAATGGTAAACATAACACGACCCCTCAGGTCGTCGACAACCCCCCAAAACCCAACACTAGGTTTGACGCAACTGCTATTGCTTCTACCAGCACCGTTGACGAATGGGTAAAGGTTGTAAGGAAGAAAAGTATTGATATAAAAGGGAAACCTGCCCCCGTAAAAGTGGTTGAAAAATCGAAAGCTGATCATAGCGACAGATCAGCTATTTTTCATAGAATCAAGGAGAGCGATAGCTCTGAACCTAAAGCTCGTTTTGAGCATGACATTGTACTGATTAGGCAGCTGCTTAATCAACTCATGCCTCAAAATATGACCGGGGTCACCTTGCTAAAGGTGTACAGACTAGGGAGTCTAACGGACTCGAAACCAAATCATTCCAGACTGCTTAAAGTAGTATTCGGCTCTTCGAACGAACGTGACCTAATTTTACAAAATGGACACAAATTAAAGGGTTCAGGAGTCTTTATCCGAAAGGACCTACCGTTGGCAGACCGTGTTAAAAGACGGGAAGCCGAGAAAGAACTACAACATAGGTTAGACGCTGGCGAAAAGGACCTGAAAATTGTAAATTTTCGGGTTGTAAGACTTCGACAGAGAATGATGCCGAAGCCACTCTGGGTGAAGCACGAAGGCACTTAAACAGGCTTCGGATCTGTTACACCAATGCACGAAGCTTACTTAATAAGCGATCGGAACTAGGTGTGCAGATTGACTCTATAAAGCCAGATATAATCGCAGTAACAGAAACCTGGCTGACACAGGCTATAGATAGTATAGAACTTGATTTCGAGGGCTTTACGTTAGTAAGGGCCGACAGAACACAAAAGCGCAAAGGAGGGGGAGTAGCTCTATTCATTAGGAATGCTATCCCATTTACCATTATCGATAGTGTATCCCATGAGAGTGGGACGTGTGAATTAGTTAGTCTTCGCTTAAAATGCAAGGGACAAGAGCTGCTGATTGGTTTGGTCTATCGCAGTCCAAGCTGTGAGGCAAATGAGATCCTGTTAAGCAGTCTCAATACTTGGTCCCAAAGTGGTCGATGTCTAATCCTAGGGGACTTTAATGCACCTATGGTAGACTGGGAAAATCTGCGAACTAAATCGTCGGAGAATTCTTCCGAGCAGGAACTAGTTGATGCGGTTATCACATGTGCTCTAGTGCAACATGTGAAAGAAGCGACAAGGTACGATCCGGACACTGAATCATCCTTATTAGATCTTATACTGACTCACTATGAGGATGATGTTGCGAACCTCCATCATATGCCACCCTTAGGTAAAAGTGACCACGCAGTTTTAACTTTCGACTTCCATATAACTGCCAGTCATGAGGACGCGTCAGTCCAGTCCAGACCCAACGTCTGGAAAGCAAACATACCAGACATCATGCACTCAGCATCGTTAATAGATTGGACAATAGACCCAGAGTCCTCCATTGAAACGGCCTGGGACGCATTTCGAAATTCATACTTAAAAGTTACCACACCTCACATCCCTTGGACTATACCAAAGGGGCCGAAAAACTCACCACCATGGTTCAGTAGGGAGGTCCGTATCCTTCTCCGTAAGAAAAGGAAAATGTGGGATAGATTTAGGTTACTGGGGACTGATGAGTCAAAATCTCAGTATCGAAAGGCTCGGAACACTTGTGCCTCGACCCTCCGTAAGTCTAGAAAATTGTACGAAGAAAAACTTGTTAAGGAATCCATAGAATGTCCTAAACGCTTGTATTCCTATATAAACCAAAGGACAAGGAGAAAAGGAAATATTCCTGCTCTATGGGGAGACAGTACTGCTTCATCATTAGTGGAGGACGACTTTGGTAAGGCTCAAGCGTTCTCGAACTACTTTAGCAACGTGTATACCATAGAAGCGCCCTTCTCGTCAGCGTATACAGATCCCCCCATACATACACTGGATAGCGTGACCATTAAAGAACTCGATGTCTTTGGTCTGCTAAATAAGCTTGACATAGGTAAATCCACGGGGCCCGATGAATTACATCCTAGGCTACTGAAGGAATTATCTAACTTCGTTGCAAGCCCTTTAAGTACATGCTTTAACCTATCCGTTACGCAGGGTCGCTTACCGAAAGATTGGAAAAACGCCATAGTAAGTCCTGTCTTCAAAACAGGCACGAAACACAAACCTGAGAACTACCGCCCCGTTAGCCTAACTAGTGTGGTTGTTAAAATATTAGAAAAGATTATTCGGAAGGAGCTGTTTAAGTATCTCGATAAAAACCGGATCCTCTCGGAGAAGCAGCACGGCTTCAGAATAGGTTATTCTTGTCTCACTAACTTATTAGTGGCTCGTGAAAGCTGGTGCGCTCTTAAGGACCAAAAGCTACCTGTAGACGTCGCCTTCATTGATTTCAGTAAAGCTTTTGATAAAGTTCCGCACAACCGGCTGTTATATAAGTTAAGAAATGTCGGGATTGGAGGCAATTTATTGATGTGGATAAAAGACTTCTTAGTTGGGCGTCAACAAAGAGTACGGGTGAACTCAAAGTTATCTAGCTGGGAAACTGTGCTTAGTGGAGTGCCCCAGGGTACAGTTTTGGGGCCAGTGCTATTCCTCTTGTATGTAAATGACCTTCCTTGTCTCCTATCATCATCGGTCTTGCTATATGCTGACGATGTCAAGATATGGAAAACGATACGATGTAAGAGTGATAGCTTAGAACTTCAAAATGACCTGAAGAAATTATCTGAATGGTCTCAAACATGGCAGTTGCCGATAAATACTTCCAAGTGTGTTGTGATGCATATCGGTCATCAAGGCACAGATACATACACGATGAATAACACTGAGCTACCTGTCGTCCAGACATATAATGACTTAGGAGTTATCGTTAGTCAAGACTTAAAGACTACTGCACACTGCCGTGCAATAGCCGCCAAAAGTTTTAGAACGTTATGGTCAATACGTAGGGCTTTTAGTCATGTCGACGCTAAGACGTTTTTGACTTTGTATACAGTGTTCGTTCGTCCTAAACTTGAGTACTGCATACAAGCGGCTAGCCCCTGCTTAAAAAAGACAGTGAGCTTCTGGAAAAGGTTCAGAGAACGGCGACTAAGCTGGTTCCCGGAATAGCGAAGCTTCCGTATGAATCTCGACTGGCCAAGCTGAACCTTTTCCCGTTGTCATATCGCAGAACTAGAGGCGACTTGATTACAGTCTACAAATTGCTTAGTGATAAATTTGCACCTAACATGCCCTCATTTTTCTTGTCTTCCAAAACAGAGAATTTACGAGGACACTCCAAAAAAGTTCATAAGCCGAGAACAAATTACTTGTCAGCTGACTATCGACTTTCCCATCGAATCATCAACGAGTGGAATTCACTACCTCAGCACGTGGTTGAGGCTCCATCCGTCGACTCTTTCAAAAGAAAGTTGGATCAACTGAGAGACCACCATTGCCAGGACTAACATAGGCCATCGAGCCTCCTGTCCTTCCCAAACTGAAACTGAAACTGAAAGTGAAATCGTAGAGCGCTTGCTGTAAACTATGACCTTGAGAGGACGCGTACGTCAAGTTCGCTCCAAACGTCAGAAGTTTCATAGCTGTGCTCTCAGAGCAAGATTCTGAAGGAGAAAAAAAAGAGAAACAGAAGAGCAGCAAGGCACTTGGATATGAACGCCAAAGGTTGCTTAACATTGTGTAGTAGAGCGGACAGAGGTATAATAAATTAGAATAAATTCATATAATGTCTTGTTAGAGTGAAGTGAAGTCAGAGGCTCCATATTAGAGAATGTACTAATAAAGAACAACGAGTTGTGATGTTTAACAAGTTGGAGTAAGCTCACATGAAGGAAGGGAAGTCAAGGTTGGTACAAGGAAAGCGGTTTATTAGAAGGGTGTGTATATAGAGGGTGAAGTGTTAATTTTACTAGTGACTATATCTTTCATTGTCTTTTTTCTTTTCTTTTTTTGTCCATCCGATGTCAGCCACGCAATCCTAGTGTAAAAGTCCGAGTTAGCATGTTATAGGTTGTCTTAGTAGAATAGCTAATCCAGCATATTATTGGAAACATGAGTCTGAGTGGTGAGCGTAGGAAGACAATCTATATCTTAGATTGACTGTCTTATTCTCAATTATAAAGAGCCTGATACATACAAAATGTTCTGTCCCCACAAACACGGGTGGATTGAAGTTATCGCCCTCACCATCAATGCTTGCTGGTCAGTAACTCCACCCTCCCTCCTTTTGTGATGTTAGGCTCACTTAGGCTTATTTTTGTATATACGTCATACCTCACACAATCCTCTGTTTCACAACTTGTTGGAAAGCACTATTTCTATAAGTACCATTTTACAAGCTTATCAGGCAGTTACAAGCTATGGACTGTGGGTAAAGCATCGATGCAGTGCCTCTGTTGACTATAGTATAAAGTATAGTTTGCCAAACAGAGTATAAGCGTTAAGAAGGGTATATTGTAGGATAGTTGTTTATTTAAGCAGGCGGAAAAAGTATAGAAGTATATGAGTTGTGGATAAGGGAACGAGTGGAGAAATAATATTAATTGCTAGTCAACATAGTGTACAGAAGAGTAAAAAGTTAATACAGGATAAACAGGAAGGAACTCACAGTAACTTGGTGCTGATGTTATTTTCTGTTGTCTTAACCAGTTGATTGGTAACAGGCTCCATAGATGCAAGACCACTGGTAGTAGGCAGCCGATTGTGCGGTCCTCTTGACTTTTTAGGGTGGTAGTGAGTGTCCCTTATCGACCGAGTTTAGTTTAATAGTAATGATAGGTCCAGTGAGTTACCTGTCTACTTCAAGTGAAGAAATGGGGTGGAAAAAGTAATTAATACAACTGCAAAGTAGGAAAAATAAGGCAAACTGAACTTGAAGTCCATTTTGGTCTAGACATGGAGAGAGCCTATGATGTCTGAGTGGGGTGCAGATGTGTTCGTACGTGCAAGATCAGTGCGAGTGAGGGCTTGATCAAGCAGTTTGACAAACGTATGTAGTTCATCTGCCATGCGAGTCTCGGAGGGAAGACTGTTCCATATTATTGCATACTTGGTGAGGAAGAAGTTTTCCCGAGTTTTTGATCTGTATTTCTCAACTTTGACCGTAGATACTTTGTTTCGAAGTCCGTATTCATGTGAATCTCGGGCAAGAATTATCTGACATGTTGAGTAAGTAAGGTTTTTGAGTAGTTTGAAGTAGAGAATCAAATTAGACCTAAGCCTTCTCTCCCAAAGGGGTGCTATTCCTAAGATTTGGCATCGAGAACTGTAGTCAATGACCGAGTCAGTCTTAAGTACTTTGCGGGTGAAGTCTCGTTGTATTCCTTCCACCTTTAGTATATCAGATAGACGTAGGTTGGAAAATAAGAACGAGCAGTATTCAACGATAGGTCTTACACAAACTTTGTAAAGAAGGATTTTAGATTCATTTTGATAGAAATTACGGAGAATGAAGCCAAGCAATTTCCGCATTTTGGATGCTTTGGCTGAGATGTGTTCAGAGAAATTAAGACTGTGTGAGTAATGTACCCCTAGGTCAGTTACTGATGCCAGTCTGGGCAGTGTGTGATCGCTAAGTGTTAGTTTCATTTTAAGAGACGTGTCTCCTATACATAACCAGCCGCATTTCTCTATGTTGAGCTCTAACCTCCAGCGTTTGCACCAGTCATCTACCATGTTGAGTTCATGTTGGATTGTTTGCATAGTACTGCGTAAATCGCAAATGTCAGTTTTATAGATGACTTTTAAGTCATCGGCATAGAGGTAGGTCTTACCTGTGCTAAAACACCTGCATATGTTGTTGATGTAGATTATAAAGAGCAATGGACCCAAGACACTACCCTGCACAACACCACTGGTTATCGGTCGAGGTGTAGATGTATTAGAGTTAATCTTGGTTATTTGATATCTGTTCGTAAGAAAAGACTTGATCCATTGCAAAAGGGGATTTATAATTCCAACTGACTTCAGTCTGTTGATTAGAAGATTATGAGGTACTTTATCAAAGGCTTTCTTAATATCGAAGTATAGTATAATAACTAGTTTCTTCTGGTCACGCATACGAGTAACCTCGTTAAAGAAGTCTATCAGGCATGTACTGCACGACCTTGTTCTAATGAAGCCGTGTTGTGACGGGT